CTAGTTAGTAAACGGCCTCGGCCAAAGTCTTACATAGCCTCGAGCTCACTAGACTCTAATGGAACAATAATAATAATAAGTGTAGCATCAACCTGTACAAAGGCATCAGACAGCACATCTTCAAGTCTACGCTCCTCAACACACAGTATCATTCAAACCAGATACGATAGGAAATTAATATCACCCACAATGAAGTTCTTCCTCCTCCTTACAACATCAATCTACACAGCCACCGTTCTGGCAGCACCAGGCGCCGTACGTCTTATCCGTCTTTCCCTGATCCCAACACCTCACTCCCGCCAGTAACTGGGCTAATCGGCATCCCCGTAGATTTCTCTCAACCGCTCCTTCAAAACTCTAGCTACCCGCGCAGACAGCGATGCTGAAGGCACAATTCACATTGCTTGCGTCGAGTGTCCGTGTAATGTAGGTGTAGTTTTTTTGGCTTCCCTCTTATCATTCCTGCCCAGCGGTATTTATCTGGATGGATTGTAAGGTGAAGTTTATGATTGGTTGGCTGACTCTGGGAACAGGGTTTCACGGGAGCATGCCAGTGCGTGAACAATGGATGTTGCTGTGGCCAGACTGTTCCGGGGCAGCCACCGGCTGGGGGGTGGAAGAGGACGGAGTAAGTTGTGTATTTGGGCGGCTTTTGGTAAGGAACATTATTTGGAAATGGGTTGGGGGGAGTTTGTGGAGCGATTAGGTGTTGATGTTTTGGTTTCAGTGTGGTTATATATGAGAGCAAATGCGTTGTTACCAAGCTTTCACAAATGTAAATTGTTGATTCAGCGCATGGTGATTTATTTGAAAGGATTATCTGGTGTACTAATAAAGAATACGGTATCGGTTCCAACCCAGTGTCACATCTTCCGACCAAAGGATTGGCCATGACTTACCAACCTTTTCGAACTTTCTCTGAGACTCGACATACAAGGGAGAGATCGTGTTTTCATCATGTCATTTAAAAGCGCAATCAATGGGAGTAGGAAACAACAGCACAGCAAGGGTTTCCAGTAGGAATCGTTCAATTTTCTCTACCTTTGATAGCTATCCTCTTGATACCAAACCCGAAATCAATCCTGTGCATCTACTATGCCATGATATGTAGTTACAGTACCAGCATCTTGCTAAGCTATGATAAAGCAGCTGAGCTGTCCTGGACTACCTGCATGTTCACTGCCCTCTATCCATCCATAGCCCGATTGCGCTTGAGAGCTGCGCCATCGCTTCTGCCCAGAGACCCGGTGAAAACGTGCACGTTCACGACCTCACTCCTACTGAAGCTTCAGCTCCTTTTGCGGCGCAGCTACGTATTTTCGTTTCCATGAGCCGTGAGAGTTGCAGTGGCGTCTTCAGCAACTGCGGTGCCGTTGGCGTTTGATGTGTTGGTAGCCTTGTTTTTAGAGTGAATGGGAAGATTGAGATGTTCCACGTTCCCTTCGTCCTCCTTCTCGACTTGAGCAAGCTCAACCGGGCCTTCACAGTGATGTCCAGGCTCGTCATGTTTATCATCCTCCATAATTTCGTCATCGTCGACAATTCCGTGCATCTCTCTACCCCTCCCTTCGTGCTCATCGTATTCTGCGTCGGTGGCGGGTCCGAATACAGGGCCTTCAAGATCTTCCCTCCTGGCGTCTTCAAACCGCTCCAGTTCCTGTCGTATCTTTTCTAGCACACGAAGGTCATCTTCATCCTCCAGCCTTGCTGCCCAAGTACGACACTTAGCATACTCTTCCTTAGCCTTGTCCAGGTACGGTTCTGCGGCAGTCCAGCTTTTCACGGCATATACGATGAGAATATAGTCCTTGCTTCGATAGTAAGGAGGGAGGGTAGGATCCCTAACATGACCAAAAAACAGTTAGCTGTAAAAAAAGCGATCAGGATTTCTGAGATGCCGTGCACTTACGTCAAGTTGTATTTTGCTGCTTCCAGACATTCGTCATCGCGACCCTCGTCGTAGAGAGTGCCTGCGTGTTCGTACTGCTCTTTATAGAGCCGGTTACCATGCGGGTCTTTGAAAGAGAATGTTACGGGTTGCATAGACATATCCGACTGATGACTTTTCCTTGAATTAAGTTGAATCTAGAAAGTTTGGAATCGAACGGCGAGCGAAAGTAGGAGTAGGCTGTAGGCTGTGTGCCAAGCTTTGTAACACCTCGCCTGACAGTCTAAGACGCGCAGGTGCAAACAGACCCGCGGCTATACCCACGTTACCTCACCAGAACTAGCAAGTGGGTTGCTTCACCGAATTTCTTTCCACTATTTTCACTAGTGACTCTATGGAAGCACAAAGAACTTTGTTTTCTATCACGTCATAGAATAATAGCGGCATGGATAGGACGGCAACAATTTCAACTTCCAGACAATCAAATCTCTGGCTTGGTGAGGCACATTTGAGCTAGCACAGTAGTTTGATGGTACTACAATCAATACCCCCATACTGATGTGCGCTTTTGAAGACCTCTCTCTTGCTTTCATTTCATGTATATCTAAAATGAATAGTTATTGTCCAGAAAAAGCCCTGCACCAATGTATTCACTTCCATCTGTGGAGGCAATCAAACGTAAATCTACAAGTATACAATCATCTGACAGACGTTTGAACTGAGAGATAGAGATCTCAACGCCTTTCAAGTACGGGATTGGCAAGTAATCGCATCACAGCGTGCCCAAGCAAATAGTGAAAGGCCATACGCTAAGCTTTGTACTTTCACTCATCAAGCGAAGCCCCGTGAACACAAATAAACCGATTTCCAGTTGATGTAAAGAAATAAAAGAGGGTCCTGAAAATTTGATCGCTTTAGACTCAACCTATTTACCACTACATATCCCCTCACCTGCAGCCTTTGATACAACACTTTTATTGAAGAGTGTGAAGTATATATTGTTAATTGAAGCTCCACCTCGGGGCAGCTACATAATATACAGACCTAGCACCATTCTGCTAAGGGCTCCAAGGCTCCGAATGGGCCTTCGACATATATACAGACTGCACTTTCTACAACTTTATCTTCCCCTATCGCAACGACCTGTCATCTCGCTGAACTGGGTCGACAACGACAACAAGTGAGTAGAATCTGCAAGAAGAGCACTTGGTACAAAAAGCTCACAAAGCCATAGTATAACCAAGCCTACCCGTACACATTCAGCCTTCCGGTCACCACCGCCAACAGAATGTAGTTTGGAGACCGTAATAGGCGGCATGTATCTTGGCCTATATTCTCCATCAGTCGGGCACTTCACGTGGAATCAGGTTGGCGCATGGTCACGGGATGGACTACCAAATATATCTCCCACAGCTTCAAACATGCCAGAAGGCCGGCATAAGGTCTGCACATTGCTACTCCAGATCGTCGCGGAAAAAGCTGAAAATCGGACGAGCAGTCCAGTATTGGCAAGGAGACGATTGTGGTCACGAATGACGTCTATGAAGCTAGATGCATTGGACGGACAATGAGGCGTGATCTGTTCGGGCGCGCGATCCATCACTGCTGATTGACGACGTGCTTGGCGGTCGCTCACCCTTTGGCAAGAAGCCGAGCTTAAGATTCGGCTCTGCTTTGATGATAAGAGGTCAACATCTTCTGCTATGAGCTGAGCCAGAAGGAGAAGTGGAGGTGAGTACATTATGAGCCTATCGTTATTGGTTATTCACAACCTACAGGTACAATCTCGGTGACGAAGGTTTCGGCTATCATTCTTCAAAGAACTAAGTGGGATGCGAAAGAGCCCTGCGTACTTTTTTCGTGTCCTGCCATGGACCGGTTTTCAACATGCTGCCGCTATACTAGGGATAGGAATAGAGTGAATAGCAATTGATCATATGGTTGCAACAGGGAATACCTGTAGGATACTCGCACCATATCCATACATACGTGCTGACGGGTTAGAGGAATCTGGGAATATCCAGGTATCCAATGAAAGTATCAGGTAGGATTACATTGTATTTTAACCACTGCTATCTCATTACTATACGATGATTCCGAATTCCATCCAGGAAGCACCTTTCTAATTCTTTTCGTTCCTCACACTGACGCTCTCGACATCGCCACCTTCTCCTCCACCAACGTATGTGCTCTCCTTTATGTTGTTCATGGCGTCTTCCTGGGCATCTGCCTTGCGGAATGTGAGGTAGAAGCCAATACCGCCCGCCAGTGCAATAACAGCGATGGAGCCATAGTTCCAGACCAGGAGGGGATCTTCGGACAAACCGACAAAAGCTTGACCCAGTGCAGACGAAACTGCAGAAGTTGATAGAGCGATAGCCTGGACTGTGGACTTCATATTGTTGGGAGCTTTGGTGTACGCGTACTCAAGCTTGGTGATGGATGCCATAATCTCGGAGAATCCGATCAACCCATATGGAACGACTTGGACCCAGACGGTAATGTCAGCATTGCAGTCGTCGCGCTCTTTGCTGAGTGCATTGATGTTGTTTCCGCATGGTGACATTTTGTAAATGTAATACTGGGTAACGCATGCTGATACCATGGCGAAAGAGCTGAGCGCAAATCCGAGCGTAATTTTCTTGATTGGCGAAAGGAATATGCCTGCCTTTCGGAGTCCAGGGTAAATGATGAAGTCCATAATCGGAATTAGGATAATAATGAATAGGGGATTCAGCTTCGAAACGATGTCGTTCGGTACCTTGCCCAAATTCATGGTATTGGCCTGGGAGACAAGATTACCCGTCATTTGGTTATATCTGCACGTAGTTAGCATTATATAATATCTTTCAAAGGAGGATTTTAATACGCTAGCCAATAAACGGGAAACCAAAGAAACACTTTGCATGCTAGAATGCCCCTTTTTACTTCATCTACCCATGCGTCGTCGAAGGTCATCCAGTCCGGAATGGGTTTGTTGTTCGCACGGAGAGCACTGGGCTTAACCCTCTCCCAGAAACCATCATCCTTAAACGTATTCTTGTGTGGGGAGTGTTTGATAGCAAGTCTTATGAGTTTAAATGCTTTCCCCATGACGGATCCTGTTGGTGGAGAGAGCTTGTAGTGCTTTTTCATTGCGATGAGGATCGCTGGACATAGTAGGTAGCAGATCGTAGGAAGTGTGAAACTCAACCAGAACCTTATTTCGAGTTAGCACAACTTTCTGAGGGCTTAAATGATGGGAAGTTCCAACCCGCAGAAATGTTCAGCGTAGACCATTGCGAGGGATCCACAGATAGAGCCGCAGTTGATCAAAAAGTAGAAGTATATGTAGATCCTGGCGGTCGTTGTGGGCGGGTCTACAATCTCCTTTTTGCCGTCCTTGCGCACGCGAACGTAAGCTTTTTGGTCCTTGTATTGCTCGGCAATTAAGGGCGAGATATTGCTTTTGAATCCTCCAGTGCCGATGCCCATGATGACGAGGCCGACGGAGAAGATGGCAATGGCAGCGTTCGGCTTAACGATGACCTGAGGGATAGCAGCCATAATCAGGATGATATGGCCGATGATTGCAACAATGTTGGAGTACTGGATGGTTTTGTAGCGTCCCCAGTACTCGTCAGCCAGCCAGGCACCGGCGAGGGGCGTTAGGTATGACCAAAAATTGTTAAAGGTAGTTAAACCAGTCGATGCGCGCTGACCCATGTCGAGAGCACCAGAGCCAGGTTTTTTGAGGAAGCCGGCACCGGTTTTGGAGCCGGGGGGAAGTGGCTTTTGGATAAAGTCTATCGAGTGCGGTCAGTGAGAGTCAGCGCACGTGACTTTTGTGCACGTGACTTGCGCCCAACTTACTCACGAAGACAGCGCTGGTACCGTAGTAACTGAACCGCTCGACAAACTCAACAACAGCTACAGTCCAGGCCTGCCATGGGATCCTACCAGGGACCCTAAGAAGAGTCGCCCATTCTTCCTCAGTGGGAGCGGGTCCCAACAGATTGTTGTTGTCGTCGTAGGATGAGGTAGAGCTGACATCCAGAGGAACAGGATCGGTGGTCAAAGTGGCTCCCTTGGTAATTTCAAGAGATGCCTTGACATCTGCGTTGGCCGCCATTGTGCTGTGCGACAGACCGGTATCTGGTCTGCCTGAGAAAAGCCAATCACAAAAGGCGCAGAGCTCGCGAACTGTACTCGCGCAACCCTATCGATGGCGCAGGAGGCAAATCAATTGAGAAAGGCAATGGATTTGAATTTCAAATGGGCGAGGCTGGGTAAATGGCCCTCTTCATATATAGTTACAAGCAAAGCTGCTCTTCCAGCCATTGAACAAGAGTTCCACGTGAATGGAACTCGGCTATCAAAGCATCCACCACCAAACTTGCCTCCCGTTCGCTCATAGGCCGTGTTATCGTTACCGTTACACCTGAAAACCACACTCCAGACCCATAGGATCTTGGCTAGTTCGGTCGAAGGATCCCCGCAAAGCGTGCTAGGCGTCTTGCCGCCATTAAGCGCGCTGTTGAAGGCATTCCAAGACCACGGGAGACCCCTTGATAATGATAAGATAGGAATGCGCAAAGGCTGGGCAACAAGGTGGTGCGGCGGAACGTTCGAAAAAGATGTGCCAAGAAGTGCTAAGCGGAAAAAAGATAACACCAGTCAAAGCTTCCCCAGGAGCCCACCCGACGTGCCAAGTCGCTCCCCATCTCTTCCTCTTGTCACCTCCCCATTCCGCCTTAGCCTCCGGGCCCACCGATTACACAACCATTCACTGGACGGAAGCTCTCGTGAGTGCGCAGGCCAAGGGCTTGGTGGTGGCACGGTCAGGATAAGCGTTTGATTATCCCAAACCTCCTTCTACAATTGACTACGCGCAGGAAGACAATCAATGGGGCGCGGTTATGATGGCTAACCAGTGTATCAGGAAGAGCAACAGGGACAGAGAGTTCTAACCATGCGCTGAGTGCGGCACACTCAGGTGGAGCGCAGACTGAGGACAGATTGCAGCATACAACTACCACGACCATTCCTTCACACCATCAATCCGCCCGGCCGATGCCAATGGATCGAGATCTTTACACATACATCTGCCATCGCAAAGCATTACCAATATGCAGTTGCCACCACGTCCTGCAAGGCGTCTTATCTTTCCTTTGGTCGGGCTCACCGAATCCTGTTGCTTGCGAGATCGCCTCCCGGGAGATGATCACATTCTCCGTGCATGTTCTAGAGTGGGTCAGTAGTCTCCATTTTTGGATACTCTGGGAGGCCGTACCTTGGGTGAAATCTCGCATGTGCATGTTGGGATGCGACACGTGAGCAGGTGCACCTAATCCATGCACTGCATCTTGTTCTTGTCCCGGCGCGGTAGCACCATAAACCTGCCTGGGCAATCGAGGATGCCATGCTTGTTGGTTCAGGGCCGGCGCTTGCAGTGGTTGGGCCGCGTAGTTGGTGCCCGTCGCCGATGGAAAAGAGTTGGCTTGAGGCAGTTGATATGGCATTTGGTAGCCGGTCCACGCCCCATAGGTCCATTGGTAAGAGGAAGGATCGCCGCCATTGTGGTTTTGCATGTGTGGAAAAACTTGCTGCTGGTACTGCGGCATGTCCATCTGCATTGGCGCAGCGATATGGGGTCCATACATGCCGTACGAACCTGTGTATGGGCCGTAAGGCTGATGGTACCCACTCATTGATCCTGAATCATACTGCGACCAAGTCATCGGTGTTCTCGACGGAATACGACCTGTGTGAGGTGCATTAGGAACATAACCCGAAGGAACGTTGTAGCCACCAATAGCATGTGGTGGTCTACCTGACTGCACCCCAAGACCGTTACGACGGTGCCTAGGATGGCCAGGATCACTGCCATGTTCGGCGTTGTTCCTCTTCTTGTCTGTTTCCCCCTCCTTATCACTAATGCTGGTACCGTTGAGCTGGTTCCGCAGGGCGTCCATCGCTGCCACATGCTGCGAGTTGGGAAACTTGCGCTTAGGTTGGGAATCGCCATCAGTCTTTCCTGGTCGTGGGAAATCCGGGCTTGCGTCTGGCCCTAGCGAGTACAGATCGTATGTTCCATGTCGGATCGCATGTCGAACAAAGATGCGGATACACAACTGCTCACCCTGTTTGATGACGCGCGTGAACTTGGTCCGCTCAGATGGCGTTAGGATATCCGGGTTGACGAGACACAAGCGCAGTCGTTCGATGGTGGATGGAAAGTCTTCGTAGAAAGGCTGCGACGTGAACTCAGCATACAGGTCAGGTAATCCGGTGTATTCCAAACATACCACCTCCGCCACTCGGATACATGAGCAACGGGCGATGGGCCTGGAGTACGTCCGTCAAATCAACAGTGCGAAGGATACTCACAATCCGGTCTAGCTTGAATCGAGCGAAGAGCACCATATGGACCCAATGAGATGTCGGCCTCTTCTCCCGCCCATATTGCTCGCCAAACACGAGCTCTAGGAACGGGATGAGCTCCCGACTAGCCCACTCGAGGTCAAGATTTCCAGGCGGCTCTGTTCTTGACGATGTCGGCATATTTCTGGTCGGATTGGATTGAGTCGGTGAGTAGAGTTGAGGGTGCGAGTTGAAGTAGACGCAATTTCAGCAAACAGGGAGAGGTTGTTTGCGCGGCAAGACTTGCAGCCTAGCGAGGTCACAGAGCGGATTAAGCAAACGTGTTCTTGTGTTTTCACATTCACTTCACCTCTGTACGTCATCGGTATAGTTACTCGCACTGACCAGCCTGGAGAAACCTCACTCATCACTTGATTCTAATTATGGCATGTGGTGAACAGTCGTGTGTGTCAAGACCCACGAACATGATACTCCTCTCCTGTTACCAAGACATAAGACAGCATATCCTTCGCATTACACATACATAATACTTCCAAGATCAAAAACACCTATCGTATCACAGAAAAAGGACTAGGATTCTTATTTTTTTTTGCAACCTGCATAACGCATATCCTATCCGAGTTCTTTCTCCTCTCTCCACCAAACCGCCTTCCTCGTATCACGACCATGTTCACTACTGCACACTCAAGAGACTTTGCAGCTAGCACACATTATCCCCGTCATTAGACTAACATTGTCTCTCCAACAATCAACCAATTAGTCAATCAACCACTTGATAAAAGTCTCATGCCCTCTTCTCCCTTGGACGAAACAGACTCTCGTGGTCCCCAGTTACCTCCAGCCTTTTCATGTTTGGGCAGTACGTACTACTGCTATATACAACCTTGTTTCAGACATCAAATCAATAAAACAGTCCTGTCGAAACATCCCTCTACGCAAGCAGACCGATACAACCTTGACGAGCATACGAAAGACATACTAGATCTAGTCTGCGAATATTAGATCCTCTCCCCCTGCCCTATCTCGATATGCATATTTCTACTCTCTGACCTTTTATGCTGATCTCACCATCTTTTTTCTTCCTCTACTCAGTCCTTTTTCATTTCTTCGTATCTCTTTTCATCGTACCTCTCTTCATTCTTTTCTTCCTTGTTCTATCCAATTCTAGTTTTATTACACGGCCAGATTCATTTCCATGGCAACTCAATCCACCAGAACTACTTGTATATAACACACACTTCCCTTAATCAATACTCGCAGCAACATCTTCGTCTACGCAATTAATTTTGATGGCGCCCTACACACAGCACCAAAGATACATTTTCACGTTGACAAGCGAGATGGTAATATGCATAGTTTATATTCGATATGCAGAGTGAGATTAGACGTGATCATTGTATGTAGAATGTGTGATTTATCCAATTCACTAGGTAAACTTGCTGTACATGTACTGATCTGTGTATACAGATAGCTAGCGTGACGCGCTTGAGTACGCACACTCAATATGTCTTTGCCCTTGACAATGGGCGACAGAATGAAGGGAGCAAGGAAGAAGACTATCTACGCAGCTATATACATTTCAAAGCAGAGACTCCTATCCATGCACGGTTCAACATACTAAGATATATGCACATATGTATGCGTGCGCGTGTGTAAGGAAAGATGTACATACAAGCAAGAACATGTGAATTTAGCAGGTGTGTGTGAACGAGTCAAAGACTGAAACTAATATTAAGCCTAAGACCGAGACCAAGACTAAGACCAAGACTTGGGAAATATGTACCCACTACCTACCTACATACCTACCTACGTACCGACTACCCCACGCAGGTACATGATGCCATACATTAGATTACACTACACCACCTACGTGATATCACTAAAAAAACATCAATAGCAACAACACAAACAGACGAGGTGAGCAAAAGGAAAGAATTTAGAAATTAATACTACAAGGTACAAGAAGCTGGGTCGGAAAAAAAAGGGGGGGGCCAAGGGGAGGGGGAAGTGAGCCAAAGTGACCACCACACCATGACCACCACCACCACCACCAATCATAGGAAGGAAGAGAAGCAAGGAAGAGAGGGGAGGAAAAACGGAAAAAAAGCATCCCGGCTTTTTCCTACCCTAGCCGGATGATGTAGAGAGAGGAAGAAGAAGAAGAAGAAGAAGGAAAAAAAGAAATTCCATCCATCTATCCCATTCCTTATTTCCTCTTTGCACGACTACAAAATCAAAGCACAAAACTCCGTCTCCCGGCCTCGACATTGTCGATCCAATTCCGCAGCGACAAGGTGTGTGTGCTTCCCTGCTCATTCAGAGTCTTTACTTCTTCGTCTCCGTCTCTGGCATCACCAGATATCAAGCTTTTCTTCCGGTAGAGTCGATGAGGTGCTTTCTAAGCAGGCGTCGTACTCCGGTCTCTCCTTAGCAGCCCGCCTCGCTTTTCCTTGTTGCTGGGTCGTGGGCTGACGCTGCCGTGCTGACTGGTGGCATCGCCTGGTTGGAAGCTAGTGCGGAGTGTGACCATGCCCCTGCCCACGCCCACGTTTTGCTCGCTACCACTGCCCTGGTCGGAGACGGTAAATTGGGCATCGCCGAGTTCCTCGTCGCGGCCAAACTTGGAGTGGTCTTTGACGATGATCTTGAAAAAGGCGTCGGCGGTACATTGCGCCTTGAAGGTTTCTTCAGACGGGTTAAATACCACAGAGCCTTGAGGGGCTTTGATGTGATCTGTCTTGTGAATCTCCTTCTTGCCAAGTTGGATGTGTGCTCGGAGGTTGGTGTTTGGAGGGAAGCCGTCAGCGCTTAGAACGGTAATGCTGGCTGTGCCGTGCTCGGCCCCGCCAATGCCGTCACCGTAGCGGCTTGAGAAACTCTGTGCACCCAGAGAACGATGCCTGTTATGGTTTGTGCTCTCTCTTGGTGGTGTGTTGGGCTCGCCTTCAATGGAGATGATGGGCGTGTCAGCCGATGGCCGGTCAGCAGTGTCTGGACGCTCGGGTTCGTCGTCGCCACCAGCTTCACCACGAGACTTTCTACGCTTGAAACCACGGCCGAGGAAGGTTCCTGCACGAACGACATTACCGCCCACAAAAGCAGCACCCTTACCGACCCCCTTTACAGGAGCACCAATCACCTTGCCTGGAACTGCAAAGGTGCCAGAAAAGGTACTTGAGCCCTGGCGAGAGCGCATGACATAGTCTGGTTTGAACAGCATGCGTAGACGAATGGCACCAGACTTTCCGTCCAGTGCGAGCGTGACTTCTTGCTGCTGGAAGGGCTCCAAAATCTCCAGGTTGATGTTGGCCCTGCCGAGGAAATCGGCCTTGTCACCAAAGTCCCAATCAAAGACGTTGACGAGAAAATCGGCTGCTGTCCGGCTTCGTACTGGCACTTCAAAATACTCGTTCCAGGCAGGGTGGAGTGTCTTCTTCTGCGTCTTCGTCTTGTACACCTCTTTGTCGTTGAGTATGAATTTGCAGTAAGGATCCGAGAAGCCGTTGCGGTCAGCTGCAGGCAGATCCGCTGCATCAAGCACATCTACTCGAAGAGTACCCTGGTTGTTGAAAGACTCGCTAGGATCGAGACGCATCTTGACAGGAATGTACTTGAGCAGGACCGTAATCTTGTTCTCACGCCCGTTCTTGTCTTTCAGAGTGAATTGGGTAGGCGTGTACTAAGCAGTCAGTACGCATCCTGTATCGAGCTTGTAGAGACTTACCAAAGCTCTTCGCAACGTATCGATAGTATTTCCGGTCAACTTGGCGACAACGTGATCGCCATGGTCCTCACCGTCGTTATCAACATGCTCAATGATACGGAGAGTGATCCTGGAAAAGTCGAGTTCTCGAATCATGGTATCTCCAACTACGTCGTGTCAGCATCGTGCAATAAGAACATCTTTTTTTCCATACCATCGTTGAAGACCATCTTGTTACTCCTGATCTTGGTGCTGGAATAGCTGGCATATGCCATGTCATCCATAATAACATCGACGTGAGCGCCAGTCCGAGCAAACTCGCCATCAATGAGCTTGAATACCAGCAAACCGGATTCTGCAAACGTCAGTAAAGTCATCTAAAATTGTAAGAATACAGGATACGGGGCTGCGGTCGGGGCGACCAACTCAGCCAGCCCAATTCCTCATTCCCACAATGGCCGCGCAACCTACCATACTGCTGCAAGTTGTCCTGGGTAAGCCTCAATTTCTCAATCTCCTTCTTTTGTTCAACAGCCTCTTCCTGTCTTTGCTCATTATTCTCAAGCTCCTTGATCATGTCCTTCTCGCTCGACTTGAGCGAAGAAATAGTTCCGACGGTATCTGCTCTGCTGATGGCAGATGAGCCAGATGTAACACGCTGATGACTGGTCTTGGAGGCTTCAGACGGAGGGCGGGTACTGCCATTGGTTGCAACCTCCTTCTTCTCTTCTTCTTCGTCTTCCTCGGGATCCCAGGTCGGGTAGGTAGGGTAGAAGGAGCAAGTGTAGTTTAGCGTACCCTTGGATTGAGTGTGCCCACTCAACCTCAAAGGTGCTGCCACGGGCTGCTTTTGTTCATAGACAAGATATTCGCCATTCGTATCTTGCGTGATATAATCGCCAGCCAAAAGCTCAATGTGTCCCAATGGGCGATCTTTGCCAAGAGTTTCCTCGTCCATGACTTCCAGTGTAAGCTTCTCGCGGGGAGTGTGGACAGGCACGTAGATGACCTCGTCCCAGTCTGGGTTCAGATTGTTCTTGAACACGACAGTACGTCCCTTTTCGATACCAGACAGCAGAACGCGGACATATGGGTCCGACTTGCCGAGCGCCTCAAGGTTGCGCAGCTCACGAGCGCTCTGGAAGTGCAGTCTCATGACACCAATGGGCGTCAGGTAGCCACTTGAATTCACAGATCCCTTGAGCGCGACCGGTTTCCAGTCGAGCTTCATCTTTACACGGCCACTCGATGCACCGGCAAGATTAAACCATTCGTGGCCCTTGGCCATCAGTTCCAGCATGTCGTCAATCGTAATTTGATAAGTACCAAGGATCGGATCAGTTGCAAGGTCGCGGTCATCCTTGACAACAAGACCCAGCTTGGCCTTCTTGCGGTCAGTAATGAGCATCTCCTTGGTCGCATCTGGCCAGATGGGTTGGTTGGTTCGCTTCATGACACGCGATTTGTGGACTTCGTGTCCGTTGAGAAGGAGAACTGCATATGGACTCAGTTGTCCAATCAAGCTCTTGCTGCCGTCCATGTCCTTGGCCTGCTCTACAGTAAACTTGCAGATACCCGTGCGCGACTCTGGCGGTGGCTCCTTGGTGCCATCTTCCAGTGTAGTGCCTTCGAGAACCGGGAAGAAGCGAATGTCGGCTGTAACCAGACCCCGCGCTCGACCGCCAGACATGACCTCAAGCTGTAGATTTTCGTTGTCAGGATTCTCCTCGAGCTGTTCCAGGGCAAAGGTAGCGGTGCCGAGATCCTTGTCCTTTCGAATGTCATTGTAGTCGAAGATGTTGATGGTGAGCGAGTCTTTGAGCGATGTGATGATGATGTTGACAGTCTCATTCCATCTCGGGTTAGGGTTTTCATGAACAGTCTTGGTACGTCCGAGCACATTGCGGTTGTTGATGGAAACAGTGGCATATGGGTCGGGGGTACCAGAGAACTTGTCGGGATTCTTGAGGCCCTGTGCACCGTGGAAATGGACTTGCAAAACGCCAATCGCTTGATCGACAGGGTTGCCAGCCAACATCTTGGCAATCTCAATGGGGAAAACGTTGGGGTCGTACATCATGGGGCCCAAATTGGCATGGATCTGCTCCATAATGAAGCTTTCCAATCCGGGAATAAAGTTGATGTCAAAACCAAATGTTTCTCCGCCCAGGGGCTTGCACACATAATCAATGGTGGGGCGGTCCAAAAAGGACATTTCGACCTTTTCAATGTGGGGAAAGGGCAGCTGCAGCTTGAACTTGAGGCGCATGAGACCGGAAAAGGCCATGTCTTCGACAATGACGTCTAGACCTTTGCTAACGAGGCCTTTGCCGACGCGAATCTCAAGCACGACTTTGGGGTTGATCTTGTTCTTGATCTGCCTCGAGGTGAGGTCAGCCGTGTCGTTGGGCGTAAAGCTAAATTTCCAATCCATGAGCACAATGTCGTCCTGGGTCTTGGGGTACGTTTTGACGTGCTCCAATCGCGGCGGCTTCGTTCCGAGGACGAATGTCTTCATCTTCAGGCTGTCGAGGAATGCTGGGGTCGATGTGGAGAGGACCTGGTCTACAGTGCCGACAATGGTGTCACACAAGACAGGGGCGTAAATGGGCCAAAACTTGACCAGAAAGCTGTTGATCCACTCGAGGGTCTCGGTATCCGTCTCCAGCTTGTTCTTTGCCATTTCGCGATTGAGATCGTCTCGCGCATTGCGGCGCACGCGACGAATCGAGGTTCGATAGTAGGTTCCGCAGACGGCGATGAATATCATGATCCAGCCCAGCCCACCGCCCAGGACACCGACAACCCACGAGCTCAGACAGGCAAAGATGATGATGCCCGTATTATGATACCAGTCACCAAAGAACTTGTCCTCCAGTCTGCCCTCCAGCCACGTCTGGTGGTCGGCCAGAGAGGGCTCCTCCTCCTGAATCTCCGAGCCCGGCATGCCGAACCGTGGCGCCCATCCGACTCGTTCCCAGCGCGCGTCGTCGTCGAAGAAGTGGCCGGGCGCGTGACCGTTTTCTTTGGGTGCTTCGGGTGGTAGTACAGCACCGGCTTTGGTGGGCGTGGGCAGGTCATACTGGCTGGGGCCATTGTCGTCGGTGTCTGTGACCAGGGCTGTTGCATTGGGGTTTCGCTCGTGGTGGAAGCCCGGGGGGACTCGCGATCGAGCCTGGGCCCGCTTCTCCTCTGGACTGGCATTGGGGTCGAATTGAAAGGCAGCGCTGCCGGCGGCCTGGGCCTGCTGCACAATGGAACGCTCCGCCTGCTGGGCCGTGATGGAGCTGTTGGGATCCTTTGCTGCATCGAGCAGGCCCTGCTGCTTCAGCTCGGATGCTCGTGATTCGGTGGCCATGTCGGGAATGTGGAGCGGAGGTCCGACCGGCTCGCGGTATATGGCAGCTGCACGACGGACAGAGCGCGCGCAATTGGGCGCTCGCAGGCGAGGAAGAGGACAGGTGGAAGCGGGCGGGAGGTGTCTGGTCTTGAGGGGAGCGGAAACCTGCTGTCTGTCTGGCGGGTTAGCTTGGCCTGGTCGCGGGCGGCAGCTATGCTTTAGCGATGCTGCAGCGTTACAGCGGCGGATGAGCACTAAGGCAGACTTACACCGAGGTATTGCCTGGTTGTGACCAGGAGCGGCTGAGGCGAGCGTGGGCAGAGGGGGCCTGGGACTGACGCGCAAGCACACGCTGCCATTCACGGGCGGGTTGCGTTGCGTTGCGTTGCGTTCAAGGAGCTCGGGTGAGCCGTGGGCCTTCCCCATCCATCAAAGGAGAGGCTCCATTGGCGCCTGCACAGCCACTCTGCCAGCTCCCCATGCGGCCGGGCTCGGAGCACCAAGACTCTGTGCGTGTGTAGTATTAATTGCTCGGCCTCCTCCTCCGCCGCCGCCGCCGCCGCCGCGGTGCATTTGCATTCTTGTTGAAACGCAAGCGGCATCGCGATTCAGTAGGGCGCGGCGCCGATTTCGCGTCCAAGTGCGAGTGGTACCTATGACGCTATTACGCTACCGCTGCATGGCGCACATGGGCTTCCTTGGGCCGACCAGGGTCTGTCCCGCTACGCCAACCACGGCCCTCTCCACCGCCACCCCGCCTCGCCAGCCCACCTCTGCCTCTGTCCGCGAAGCACCCATTGCCATCGTGCCATTGTGAGCATGAATGCATCGCCTATATACGTGTGCGTGCAGACACAACGCCCATTCACGCTGGCCATGTGTCAGTACGCCACGCGCGCCCGCCAATCAAGTGTCGTCACCCGCACCATTCGACTGCACAAGTGCAACCATGATTTCTTCTGCTGCAACAAGCAAATGTGCCCTCCTGTACCGTCTGCGTTGCTCAAACGCCGTGTCTGTGTACGAGACGCGTGCTCGCCTCGCCCTCCATGTCCGCTGTAACCGTGTGTGCATGTACTGTATGCGTGTGTGTGGACGTCTTGCAGGCCGCCTCGCCCCGTCACCATCCATCCACTCCCCCATGTCGAGCTGAGCCTGCCTGCGCCACGCCATGATGCCTCAGCCACACCGCGCCCCAGCCACACGCCGTCCAGACGCTTCCACCCCCCACGGCTAGGCTGCGGGCCCCTCCACCTCGACGCCATGAGATGGACGTGCTTACCATGAAATCTTGCCTGCATCCGGCCTCGCCTTGCATTACCTCACAGATCTTTGAGGAGCCTCACAATCTGGCCCCTAACACTACGCATTGATTTAGTAAGAAGGCCCACTAACAACGGGAAACTTCCGCCCAGGCGCTCCATCTTGCACCCCGGACACATACCTATGCACCCGTGGGTCCCGGTGTCTCTCCCTCTCCCTCTCCCTCTCCCGGCTGCCATTTCTCGAATGCACATAGTCCACATCGTCCCAGTCGTCTCGCGCCCGGTCGTGGCTCCGCGTCCGACTGTCACGCTCACGCTCGCGCTCGCGCTCCCGCGGATACTCGACATCTTCAGAGTGGCGTCGGTGTGACCGCCCGCTGCTGCCAACCCCAGGGTCAAGCCCTTCTCGCTCGCGGTGGTGATCGCGCTCCCGCGTATAGGCCGGTTCAGCATCTCGAGGCGGGCTCACCAGGTGCACGCCCGGTCCACTCCATCGCACCCCGCCGTGTGGCGCAGGCACCGGCCTGTAGCTCGTACGCGGGGGCATGGCTGGTCTGCGGTCATAGTATTTCCGCGCTTCCTGTTGAGCCTGCGCCACTTGGGTCGCAAACAGCGGTGATGTCGTCGGTCGATAAGCCGGCTGCGGCGAAGTGGCCGTAGAACTGCGTCCATCGGGTCGAAGCGAATCGTGTTGGTTCGAATATCGGCGCGCCTCCTGGTGAGCGGGGAAGTAGCCCTGCTGCGCTATAGGCGCCTCGTGAGATCGGTGCGTACGTAGTATGGGGGTACGGCGTCGAGGCGAGTGGTCTGGGTCAGAGTCCGAGTCCAAGTCGGTCGTAGATAGCGAGGGTTCGCGCCGCAGCGGACTGGGGCGCTTGTGCACGCGATATCGGGGTGCTGTCTGGGGCGGGGCAGCCATGGGTGTTGCGTCTTCGTCCGAGTAGCTATCGCTCTCGTGCCGGCCTGGCACCATCCTTTTCTTACTAGCAAATGGATTCAGCGGGTTCAGCATGTGCCGCACCCTTGACGTGACTGCCCGGCCACGATCGTCAAGAACACGTGGGGGCTGTTTCATGACATGACGCATAAAAGTAGGCCTCGGCCTCCCACTGCGGTAGAGTGGGTCTTCAAAATATCTGTATGCGCCGTGCTTCTCGTCCGCTGATGAAGCCTCGTAGTCGGCAGAGTTGCGCAGTCTCGGCTCGTCAGCGCTCCCTTGGCTCGCCTCTTCCTCTGCCTCCTTCTTAAGTCTGGCAGCGACATTTTGATACCATGCTTCCATGGCGTCATCGGGCCTGTCGGGAAAGCATTCTTTGGGAAGAATCTTGGGAAAAAAGGTGCCAGTCTCTGGGTCCGGAATGTCATCCAGTTCTACTGCTCTTTGCAGAAACGGTACGTGCTCTTCTGGCCCCAGCAGCAGCTGGATCGTCTGCCATGTTACAAACCCTTGCTTTTTCAAGGCTGGTATCGTCGGGCTCGAATACCCATCATCATCTGCCGCCGGTTGCAGGCTATGGAATGCGCCCAACGAACGGTATATGAATGCGATGGAAGAGGGCGGCGTCTCCATAAATAACACATCGTAGTCGCCGCCAACACTACGGTACCAAGCGGCGATTTGCGAGGGCGTAAGATCAGGCGAGTCGTTGGGCTCAAACTTGTGGCTCTGCAGTGACATGCATCAGCACCCGTCCATGGCCATCAGCACCCGGGTAGGGGAGCGCTCGCTCGCGCACTCACAATGACGTCTGCAATGCCTTTCAGCAGGCGATCCAGTTTCGGGGTGCCGCATTTGTCTTCCTTGAGCAGGTAGCCCCAATAGTCGTAGGCTTCGCGATGCGCTGCGTCGGCGTTGGTAGCGTTCGCCGCCTGCTCTTCCTGGTGGTCCTGCTGCTCTGTCGGTTCGGGCGCCATCATGTGCGAGTGTGGAAATAGCGGCTATCAATGATTTGGAGCATATGTATGCAACGCCTCGGTACAATGTTCGGAGCTGAGGCCTTGGAAGGTGGTGCGGTGGATCCCAGCTGTGGTGCAACCCAAACGGCGCAGGTTATGGTATCGACCGCGACGGCGCCGGGAAGCCGCTGCTGCTTATATCAGAAGAGGCGCCATGGACATGTGTGGTAATTCGGGGGGCGTAATAGTCACGCTCCGTCAATGATTCACGCATCATGATAGACAAAATGGATAACGGGCGAATAAAAATCAATAATCGTCTTCTTCAAGAGCGTGTTGGTGTGGTGCTGGACAGGCTGGGTGCGAGTGCGAGTGCGAGTGCATGTGCATGATTGCGGGGGATGATCATGATGACGGATCATGTCAGCTCGGACGGTCTAGCGTGCACGTGTAGCCGCTGGAGCCCGAACGGCCTTGTCCCCAGACGCGACCAAGACCAGGGCGGGTGCCTGATTGCTATGCCTTTGACCTCACGCCAGCTCAGCCCTGCGGCCCTATCGCGGGTGATGTCAGTATGTCACCAGCCACGCCCACGCCCACGCCCACGCCGCCCAAGCCCAAGCCCAAGCATCCCCCCCCCCACCCACTTTTGCGACTGGCTCCTGTGCAGCGCAGAGGCGCAGTCGCCCCCAGTCATTTCTCCTTTGAAACGCGATGATGCCTGCTGGCCCATAGCCGCGATCCGCTCCAGGACCATGCAAATGCTTTGCCATCCATCGCTACCCGTCGCCCCCAATAAGGCCCCTATTCTTCAAAAATCTATGTCAAATCGCAAACAAAACACCCGCTTGGTTGCTCTAGTGCTCAAGCAGCCTGAGCGAGCCCTGCACAACCACGTTCTCCAGGATGGAACCCGGCGGAATGTCGATCGTCGAGCCCTCGGTCGCCACAATGATGACGGTGCCCTTGAGCGTCACGCCGCGGCCCAGGTTGACGGGGCCGGTAATGGTGAGATGGTCGAGCTCGACAATCTTGGGGATCGAGGGGATGCGCGACTGGAAGCTCGACACCTTCTTGAAGTCGCTGCCGAGCTTGATCAGGGGGGCAGGGCCGAAGCGGTTGGGGTCAATGACCAGCTGACCGTGCTGCAGCGTGTACAGGTCAGACTTGACAAGCATGAGGTCAGAGCATGTCTTGACGGGCAAGAATCGTCTCCTGGGAACGTTGACACCATGTGCGTTCTTGAAGTGCTTGATGGCCGCACCGACAGCAGTCTCGAGCTGGAGCACAGAGATGTCGGCCTCGCCCTTCTTGTCGGCAGGGATCGACTTGCCGTTGGGGATGATTTCCATGGCAAGCTCGTTGGCCTCGACCACGCGCTTGATGGCCGCCAGGTTCATCCAGATGTTGTTGGTGTTGAAGTACTTGAACTTCTTGATCGACTTGAACTCGTTGACGTGCTCCTTGGGCACCTGGGCAATTTCAAGCAGACGCACAGAGCCCTCGTAGTCGATGATGGTACCACCCTTGACGTCGGCCTTGGTCTTGTCTGTCAGCTCCATGATGTACTCGGCCTTGGAGTCGACCATGTGCTGCAGGATGCGAACGTCAACCACGGCGCCCAAGTTGTCGGCGTTAGACAGGAAAATGTACTCGATGCCACGGTCCATGAGCTTGTCGATCATGCCCGTGTTGTACAGAGACTCGAAAACGTCACCGTGGCCGGGAGGGTACCAGTTAGCAATGTCCGACTTGTAGTCCTTGGGGGCGGGCAGCAGCGAGTCCTTGAGGATACGCGGGTACCTCGACTGGTTGAATGTGAGAATGTCAATGTTGTGGCCCTCGTACTTCTTGATGATGCTGGCAGTGTCGGTGTCGGTGTTGAACGAGTTCATCAGCACAAACGGCACGTTGACGTCGTATGTGCGGTTGAGGTACTCGATCTGTCGCACCGACAGGTCCAGGAACGACATGCCGTCACGGACCTCAATCACCGACTTGGGGCCAACGCATCCCATCGAGGTACCGAGACCACCGTTGAGCTTGACAACTGCCAGCTTGTTCAGGTATTCGACGCCCTCGGTGTTGGCGAGGTCATCGTAGTTGACAACCTGCTCGGCCTTGGGGGGAGCGATGCGGTTCCAGTCAATGGCGTTGCCCTTGGCCTTGTCGTTGAGGTAGCGGCGGAACAGGGCAAAGAAGTTGTCCATCTCCGTCTCGAAGTACTGCGTATGGTCAGCATCTTGCGTCCATGTGACGTAGTGCCCCTCTTCCGTGCCCACCGCCCAGTGTCATGACGACCTCATCACTGTGGGCCATGGACCCCAGCGAGTGTAATCTGAGTACTTCGGGCGGTATGCGGGGGTCGAAGAGGGGCAATGATCAATTGCAACTGACCTTCTTCTCAGCGGGGTCGGTGACGGTATCGGCGAGCTTGTTGAGCGCATTGCGCATTTGCGAGGCGGCGACATTGGTCGATGTGTTCTCGAAAGCCTGTATAGAGGATTCAGGTCAGCGCTGTGTAATTGGAGTAGAGCGGGTATCGTTTCCCAGCATGGTTGATGTTGCTGTTCCAAGACCACGACTGCGCGGCCGCGGAGGGTCCACCCATAAGGGGGGGCTTCGGGGCACAAGTGTTCCTGTGGAATTGCAACAGCAGTGTCTGCACGCCTTTCCGGCAATGCTCCAGGAGATTGCTGCCCGTCTGCTGTAGTCTCTGCAAAAGATGCTGCCCGCCCAGGGAGGGGGGGATGGATCTCGGCTGAGCTCAGGCTCCGATGCATGCCCTTGGCCAACTCTATGCCAGATGCAGACAGCAGAGAGAGTCGAAGGCTCAATTGGACCAACTGGGCGGGAGCAGCAGAAACGAAAGGCAAAACACAAAACGCAAGCTGGCAAACCGCCGAGCTCAAAAAGGCCGCGTACTTACCACATGGGACTGCGACTTGCCGTGGTGGCGCTGCGAGGAGAAGCCGCCGTCGCCCTCGGCAGCAGAGGGCTTCAGATGGGAAGGGATCGCGCGAGATGCCATTGTGGTCTGGGAGTGCGAGGGGGGGAGGAAGATGGAGAGGTGTGTCGAGGACAGCTGGTGCTGGGGACCTGGACTCCTTATAGGCAATGGCTCGAGCTTGGCGGTGGACGTGGGGCAAGTCGAGAACGTGCTTGGGCGTGGACACGGGCAGGCTGGGGGCTGGGAGGGTGAGAGGGGATGGAGGCGAGTAGGGAAGAGACGGTGTGCATCTGGTTTTTTATACGTGCAGCGCAGTGCAGTGCTGTGCTATTGCCGCTCAGCGACCAGAAGGGCAGTTTGGGGCGTAGCATCTCTGCATGGCAACGGCGACACCGCCAATGGATCCTGCCCACATGTCCGGTGTGCGGTTCCTCGTGTGCCTTGAGGCTGCCGTCAATGGGCTGCGTGAGCCGTGTGGTGTGCGAGGCGGCATGCTTGTTTGTTTTGCCAGGTCCAACCTCGACCAGCTCGCCAGGCCGCCGCCGTGGAGTCGCTGTCTTGGTGTCGCGGTCGCGGCGGCGCCTCTTCACCGACGTGTCTCGCTGTGCAGGCCGGCGGGGGCTTTGCGCGGTGCTCCCAGAGGCCGGCGTTGGCGAGGCTTCTCGTCGCAGCCGACCGTCTCTCCGAGTCAAGGGGCCAGAGCATCGAATGAGGCGCGCAGCCGCCTATCTGGTCGCGGTCGCGATGCACAATTGTTGAATAACTTCCGTAGGAGCTATGTCGATAAACCGAAAAGCCCCTCATCTGGCCGCCGCGCTAGCAGGGGCGTGCAGCAAACCTGACGTAGCCCGCGCGACCGCCTTTCCGTTCTGCTCCCCAACAAACGGCGCCGCCATGCGGGCAGCGTCTGAGTTTTGCTGCTGTGGCGAAGGCGACTGCAACCCTCCGGCTGGTGTTTTTCCTTGGTCGCTGCAACGTCTGGATACCCATAGCCGGCGGCAGCAGCAGTGGCAGCGGCAGCGGTGGTGGCGCCAATGCGAATGCAGGTCAACACGCTCCCACGCCGAGGGGGGGCCATGGTCGCTTAGACCACGTGGGGGATCTGCTCCGTCCTGAGGCACTCCATGTATACCACCACACTACATACATACATAGATACACACCCAGCAGCGATGCCCTGGCCAGCCACACGCCTCGATGGGCGTGAACCTCTGTCCGTGCCATGCTAACGAGTAGTACCCGCGCCCTCAGCCAGCCAGCCGACTTGTCGACGCCCGACGGAGCTGCCACTACCACCGCTACCGACAGTTGACATGGGTGGCGGGTGCAAAAAAAAAAAGACGGTCCAGCTTCCGATACACTCGGAACGCTTAGCAGCATCCGAGCTATTACCATTACCACTGCCACTGCCACTACACCTACTACGAGGCCTCACAGCGCGCCCGACAGGGAATAGATATTGGGGTGGAGACGGCATCGCTGCCGCCCACGCTAGTGGAGCTTATCCGTGGACCAAATGCGATTCAGGCACATACATTAGTTTTTTCGTCGTCTTCTCGTGTGGCTTGCACGCAATGACCCTACCACCACCACCACTACCGACAACATGCCTCAGACACGCTCATCCCTACTCCGCCCGTGCTGGCCGCGTTATCTCCACGGCGGGCGCGTCTGCAAACGGCACCGCGTGCGGCTTGCCCACTCGCAGCCTGATGCATGCTCCACGATCCACGTCGTGGGTGAAGAACTTCTGCCGCAGTTCTTCAACGAGCCACGCTAGCAGGCTCTCGATGGTCTGGAAAGAAGACCCTGAAATCAGCTGCGCCCGGTTAGCTAGCGTCCATGGCTGCTGCAGCACATACCCACCTCGAACAATAGACTTTCCAGTCGGCCATAGTCGTCGACACGGGCGTCCGCGATGCCGTCTATCCACACGTTGACGTCCACGGGTTGCTTTTGCAGCCGCTCGTTCGCATTGACGCCAATCAGACAGGGGATGCGGACGTTGCGCAGGTAGAGCACACTCGCCCGTGCTCCCGTCTCCTCGATACACCATGTCATGTGGCCCGCGCCCTCGCCGAGCATGCTTCCTTTCCGGTAGCACACATCTGTTTCGATGGCGTATATTTCTGTTGAACCTGCAACCTCGCGCACACATTGCGACACGGCCGCCGAGAGGGCAGCCGTCGACGTCCACGCCGCGGCATGGTCGCTGAAACGCGCCTGAATCGCTTTGCTGAGCGTGCCATAGTGCACCGTGCTACCATCGACCGAGTCGCTCGAAGATGCCGACGTGAAGTGCTTCCCCAGGGTCAGTGTGACGCTGATGAACGCTCGCTGCCTCTTCTCACGACCCCACACGTCTTTGCCCGCATTGACCACGACATCCAGATTCTGAACCATGATCTTGTCGCAGTGGCCGCTCTGGATAAGCTGCGCCTCCCATTGTGCCTGTCGTACGACCTGAGCCATGCTGCTGACGTCGGCGCCGAGTCGCTCTCAGTCAACTAAATACGGAAGAACGGGACGGCCAAGACCAGAAGATCACTTTCCATAAAGTTAGTCGTATGCTGCACAGCAAGTCTTTTGATACGGAAAACAAATAACATCGGAAATGCCGCAGCAAAAAGCACTCGCATTGCTGTCCCCATGGAAACCCATATCCAATTATGCGAATCAGCATGGCGGCGTCTGTACGAGATCCTACTGCAGGCAAGATTCCATGCCCTACATTTTGTACAACGAACAACCTCGTGCAATTGAATGTCGTCGTATGGCGCAAGGCGTGGACAGGGCTGGGAGACGTTGGGTTCACTCACAAGCTGAAAATGCGTCGCGTGAGGCTGAAGGCGGGGTGTGTATGACGGTCGCCCTTGAGCCCTCTAGGTAGATGCACGGACTCTTTCCCGCCAGAGCTCCGCAATCGAACATTCTAGCTACACGCCAAACTATAATTCAGAGCCTCACCCTCGGACGCCTACGCGCCAGAAAACTCACATTTGCCGTTCAGACGGAGCCTGATTTCAACTGCACCACCATGGCGGACGCACTGAAAGCAGAGGGCAACAAACTCTTCGCCGAGAAGAAGTTCGCCGAGTCGATGCAAGTTCCCCGCAAACACCGCCTAGTCAGCCATGTGCTAACAGAGTATAGCGAGAAGTTTTCCCAGGCAATCGAGCTCGACCCTACAAATCACGTCCTCTACTCGAACCGATCCGGCGCATATGCATCACTCAAAGACTGGACAAAGGCTCTCGAGGATGCGAACAAGGTCACTGAGATCAAACCCGACTGGGCAAAGGGCTGGGGCCGCAAGGGAACTGCGCTGCACGGCGAGGGTGACCTAGGTATGTAGAGCATTCGCCACGACAGACGACGACGACGACTAACAGAAGACAGTCGGTGCAACAGACGCCTTTGAACAAGCACTCAAGCTCGACCCTAACAACGCCCAAGCCAAGTCCGGCCTTGACGCTGTCAAGCGCGCAATCGAATCCGAAGCCAACAGCGATGGCGCCGGGCTCGGTGGCATGTTCAGCGACCCAAACATGTTTTCAAAGCTCGCATCCAACCCCAAGACTGCGCCTCTCCTTGCCGACGCAGAGTTCATGGGCAAGCTGCAACAGCTGCAAAAGAACCCCAACCTGGCCGGCCAGTTCATGCAGGATCCCCGCTTCCTGCAAGTCATGAGTGTGATGCTCGGCATCGACATGTCCTTTGGTCAGCCACCAGAGGCTGCAGGCGCAGGCGCAGGCGGTGCAGGCTCAAAAGTGGAAGAAGAAGACGTCGAGATGCCAGACGTGCGACCAGCACCCGAGCAACCAAAGAAGGAGCCCGAGCCCGAGCCCGAGCCGGAAGCCGTCGAGGAGACTGAAGAAGAGAAGGCTGCAAAGCAGGCCAAGGCAGACGCCGACGAGTACAAGAAGAAGGGCACCGAGTTCTACAAGAAGCGACAATTTGACGAGGCGATTGAGAACTACAACAAGGCGTGGGAGACTCACAAGGACATCACATACAAGACAAACCTGGGAGCAGCCCTGTTCGAGAAGGGTGACTACGAGGGATGCATCAAGGCATGCAACGAGGCTGTTGAATACGGTCGCGAGATCCTTGCAGACTTCAAGATCATTGCAAAGTAAGTCTGGCCAAGATGTCACAGATAGGTTACTAACACTACTCAGAGCATTTGCCCGCATTGGTACGGCTTACGAGAGGATGGGTGACCTCAGCAACGCAGTTCTCTACTACCAAAAGGCGCAGACCGAACACCGTACACCCGAGGTTCTCGCCAAACTTCGTGCCGCTGAAAAGGCCAAGATCAAGGCGGAAAAGGACGCGTACATCAACCCTGAGGAGGCCGAAAAGGCTCGTGAGCTTGGTAATGCCAAGTTCAAGGAGTCGGACTGGCCTGGTGCTGTTGAAGCATACTCGGAGATGATCAAGCGTGCGCCGGATGACCCAAGAGGATACTCGAACCGCGCTGCTTGCTTTATCAAGCTGATGGAGTTCCCATCGGCGATACAGGACTGCGACGAGGCCATTAAGCGCGATCCCGACTTCATCCGAGCCTACTTGCGAAAAGCCCAGGCATACTTTACCATGCGCGAGTACAACAAGTGTGTCAACGTGTGTACTGAAGCCATGGAGCACGACAAGGAAGGCAAGCACACGAGGGAGATCCAGGCGCAAGAAGCAAAGGCTCTGCAAGCTCAGTATGCTGCCCGTGAAGGAGAGACGGAGCAGGAGACTATGGAGCGCATCCAACGCGACCCAGAGGTAATTTGGCCCGATGACGATGCACTGTTGAAGGCTGCTAACAGGGACTTTAGATTGTCGGTATCCTGCAAGACCCCATCATGCAAGCCATTCTGCAACAAGCAAAGGAAGACCCGGCCGCGCTACAAGAGCATCTCAAGAACCCAGAAATCCGGTCCAAGGTTCAGAAGCTTGTCCATGCGGGTGTGATCCGTATGGGACGATAAGCTGGTGCTGGCCATTGATCGTGTTCAACTGGGCCTTGCTTAAAGTAATGACGACGTTTGCACGGCCGATGAAAATTACATCAGGATGACGATGGTGTATGAAATTACTTTGTATCTTTACTCCTCTGCATAGCGTTAGGATAATGAATAGTCACGACTTGATTTGACTTGACTTGATTCACTACATGACTCACTACTTGATTCGCTACTTGATCGTATTACTGCATGAATTTCTGACATGATTTTCTGAAAAGACTGTCCTGAGCTGTGATGGAATGCATGCCTCTTTTCCTCTGGTTGTATCTCCATTTCCTTTCCTCCATTTTCTCGAGTAGAATGGTTGTAGTGTATTTTCTGTTCAATTCTTGATTTCACCTCGTACTATACAAGCCCTTGCTTTCCTTATTTTCTCTCTCTCTCTCTCTCTCTCTCTCTCTCTCTCTCTCTCCATCTCTCCCTTTTCCACTATCTAAACAATTCGAATCCAGTTCTGTTACTACTATACTAGTAGCACAGCAATTCACCTTGGCTAAAAGCTAAACTCCGTTCTAACAAGTAGTCTGTCTGTGTACATGGTGTGTTTTACAGACACTTGCTACGTGTGTGCCCTTGCTAGGAAAAGTATATGGACAGATTAGATGCTGTCCTTCTTCTTCTTCTTCTTCTTCTTAGCGACCGAACGGGTAGGTAACTCACCCACTCATTCACTTCAACTTCTTGAGTCAAAAACAAAGAAAATAGTACAAGAATACAGTTTTTTTGTGTGTTTATTTGCTATATCACTACAGAGTCTTTTCCAGTCTGCATATTTCAAGGGCTACATAAGTTTTCTCTCTTGCCGAGGGAAAAAAAAGGGGGGGGGGGAAATTATGACTTTTGACTTGTGACTTTTGACTTGTGATTACTAGTAGCGGGACCAAGTACACGGAAGATGATTTTTTTTTAAAAAAACAACAACAACAACAACAACAACCACAAAAAAGTACAAGGTTTAGAGAAGAAAAAAAAACAGAAAAAAGGAAAAGATTGTTTTTTTTGGGGGGGGGGGGGACAAGATTGATGGAGAAAAGCGGGACTTGGAATCGTATAGCTTATTCCAACGGATTTTGCAGGTAGATTCTCGGTATGTGGACTTGTATTTGTGAGGGTTCTTGCGTGGTCTTTGATAATTTACTTTTACTTCTACGTCCACTATCATTGCCAATGCCACTGCCACTGCCACTGCCACTATCATGTCAAGTCACAATTGATTGTTGTGTAAGGGGTACTTGGCAGTATGTATTTATACCTGTATATTCTTCTTGTGTTGTGAATTGCTTTAGGAGGTGCATGGATTGAATATGAGGAAAGTTAGAATATCAGGTTAAGGAGTGGAGAGTGTAAGAGTTGTTGTGTATGACGGGCTTTTTTATACTAGACATGTAAACATGGGTTTGTAGTGTCGAATCCCTATCGACTATTCAGGATGGATTATAACGTGATACTTTTGTCTCGCTTGATATCATTTCATCTCTCCACTTATAGTAGACAGAAACATAAAGGTAGTCCCTCGTTCTTCCCCCCAGAAAATTCGCACGACAGCATGATAAACAAGAGAAACAGATTACAAGCCACTAATAAAATCCAACAAGCGCAACAAAGCTCCATTCTCAACCCTACACCCCTCACCCTCCCTTTGCGCACGCCGCAAGCCCTGGGCCAACCACAAGCGAATCGTGTCGGGGTCGAGATTACGAAAGTTTTGCTGGCGAATCATGACGTAGGCCTGTGCACATAGCGTGGTGCTCTCCGTGGGCGCGGGCGGCGGTCGTGTTTTGCACGATGAGCACTCGAGATCGACGGGTTGGTTGGCTGGGGGCGGGAAACTGGGGGGGTCGGAGCAGCAAGGGGGTGGACCCGTCGTGGGAGGCGGGAGGGTAGTAATAGTGGTGGTAGGTGTAGGTGTAGGAGTAGGAGTGCTAGGGGGAGGGGCAGCCAGGTAAAAGGATGGGTCGATAGGGCTGAAAAAGGATGCGTCGACTAGCGGGGAGCCATCAGGGTAGTCGCGCACGGTGTGTGGTGGTTGGATGAGAGAGAGGGAGGAGGCGGCTTGCTGACTCGATATAACATGTCTTTCGAGGAGGCTATTGCTGCTGCTGCTGATTTCCATGTCTGGGATTCCGTCGTATCCGGGTCTTTCTAGTGATGTCGAGGCAGGGCACGCGGTGGCTTCTTGCCTCAACATGGCGATCTCCGCTCGTGCTTCGGCGAGCAGCTTTTCCGTCTCGGCGAGCTTCTGCTCCAGCGAGGCGACGTGGTCGCGCTGGCGGGCGCGGTGTCTGCGCTGGTTCTCTCGCACACGGTTCAGCGTGTGCTCGGCGGACACGCGCGCCCGTCGGCTTCGGGGCGCTGGTGTGTCGGACGTGTGGTCTGTGGACGAGGAACATGGTGAAGAGGAAGCGGATGGTGAGCAAGGCATGATGTAGCGAGTTTATTATTTGTGTACGTGGATAAGCAGAGGGGTTTGGAGTGGTGGTTTGGAGGCTTTGAAGGCTTGTGCAAGAGGATCGCTGAGTTCACTGGCGGTTCTGGGGACCTCTGGAAAAGGTGGATCTGAAGCACTGCGTGTATGGGCTTGGCGGTGACATATCGATGAGGCTGCTCTGCGATTGGCCAGATGCAGGGGCCATGGTTTGCAGCCACGCCTTGTCCCTCCTCAGCAACACCATGTCAGTCTGTCGGTCAAGCTTCGCTCGCCCAACCCCCATTGCTTGCCAGAGCTTGATCTGGATGGATTGCGTCGGGAACAGTTGTCCAAACTAGTCACACCGCATGGGTAACGTCGAGATAGCGTTTTGTGATACAAGGGTCAGCCAGCCATGTCTACATAGTACAGTCTTTGCCAAGGCGCCAATAGTCTAGTTTGTAAGGATACTCGTCTCTTACTATGAACAGTAGAGCATGTGGTGTCCTTTGCATGTCGACTACATCTCCTACACGAGACGACGCAAGAACAGTTTGATCCTGTGATCCATCCACTCGGTATCCTTCTGGTTCGCTCCGCCCCCCGCAATGTGGCCCCAGATACTAGGAATCACCTCCACGATGCCGTCCTGCAGACTCTTGACTTCGTGCTGGCTGACATAGGGCCGGAAGTACTGGTCCATGTCGCACGGCATTAAGAGGACCTTGGCCGTGATACTCTTGAGTGCAGAGTCGAGGTCGCCGTCTTTTGTGCATCGACTAATGTCCCCCCGCTGCCACATGCCCAGCATGGCCAGCAAGTCATGGCCCGTCCAGTCTTGGTAGCCCTGAATGGTGGTCACATGGTCCCAGTCACGGAGCTGCTCAAAACCCATTTTCTTGTAGCATTCCTCGTCAAACCATTCGGCGCTCGTCAGCCAGGCTGAGTACGCTTTCCCAAAAGCCCTGAGGCCCCTCTCTGGACTGGCTGCATGCTGCAATGCCGCCTTTGGGCCCTCGAGAAACTGGTAGTTGTGTCGGCTGGTCTTGGCGGCAGAGCACACGATGACTGCATGCTTGATGAAAGCGGGATGCATGACCAGCCAATGGTAGGTGATTTGGCCTCCCATGGAAAACCCCATCATGACATCGACCTCTTTGATGCCAAGCCCGTGGGTGAGAAGTTGGTGTTGGGCATTGACGCAGTCCATGTATTCAATCTGGGCGGGAAAGTTTGGTGTATTTGAGGGGCTTGATGACTCGCCGTTGCCAAGCAGTGCGATGAGGATGATTTTGTGGTTCTTCAACGCAGCATTGGCGTGTGTCAAGGTCCCATTGATGCGGCCGTGGAAGCAGGTATGCACGACTGCAATCTTGGAGTTGTGGGGATTGAGAATTTTGTAGGCCAGGTTGAGCTTGGGTAGCGTGGAGCCACTGTGGAATTTGAAGTCGGAGATTTCGTATGTCTGCAGCGGCTCCGAGGTAGGCTGGGAGGACATGGTGGATGGCTGACGGCGGGGGGTGTGTATGAAGATGTTGCGACATGGTGGGGAGGCGGTGCTGAGGGGTAATGTTGCTCAGGTGAGGCCATGACGATAGTATGGGGCTGCACTTGGTCATGGGCGTGGTTGGAGCCCCACTTGCGGCTCTGAGGCCGACCACGTCGAAGCATCATTGGGCGTTGGTCTCGAAGACGAGAGTTTGTCCTGGTCTGCACGGAGCCAAGGGGGGAAGGAGTTGTCGCAGAGAAATGTGCAATTAATAGATAAGGTGCTGTCTAGGCTGTCTGCTTACGGCGGGTCGTATAGCTCTGTGCGTGGCAATAAGGCAGCATGACTGGCATGGGCGTGGTCGGCTTCGGGTTTCGGAAGCATGGCAGGAATTGATTTGGTAAGGGATTGGGAGCGGCACATGTCGAGCCAAGGTGACGCGCCCTCATCTTACGGTTAGGTGTCGAGGACAAGCGAGGCGAAGGATCAGGGCAGCTTCGGGCGCTAGTCAGCTGAGGTAAGCACCTTGTTTGCATCTCACAAGCAACGTCTGACAGAACCCCTGAGCAGCGTCGGCGAGGGGCAGGCAGGCAAGCAACACACATGTGCATCAGTACTTGGTTACGTAGGCGGCGCCGGGGGCGGCGGAGGTTGAATTTGGGCAATGCAAAGGTTAATTGCACGGACAAGGGCAGTGCAGGCGCATGTGGGAGTGGGAGTGGGAGAGGGAGTGGGAGTGGGAGAGCAGCGCCGGCAGGGCCGGGGGATCCCTATCGCCGCCTTATCACTCCACGCGCGTGGGGCGGGCGCTGGGCCGTTTCAGGGCTAGCGTGACCAGCCGTGCTCCATTTTTGGCACGCTGCTGGTGACCGAGTACCGCCAGAACCACGAGCGGCAGCGGGCAGCTCCCACGTCGAACCGCACACGGCTTTGGGGTTGCATGGCTACGGCGAGAAGGGCTTGACAGGCGTCTAGCAGCTGTCGACATGTGTGAAACGCATGCCACGTACGTCACGACGATCACGACACGCCGGGGCCAGGATCTTCGCAGACCTGGATGGCTTGGGTTGCGGCCAAGCCCAGCGCGCGCGCTGCTACTGCTGACGGCTGAGCAGAGCGAGGGGCGGGCGAGGCGGGGCGAGGGCGAGGCGAGGCAGAGGGGGACAAGGAGAAGGGAGGTGCATCGTGTGCTTGAGCCCGACTCGCTGCCGTGCTCGTATCGTATGCCCGTATTGTTGCATCTTGTCTGGCGCCAAGCGACGGGCTGCGACTGCTACCGTGACCGCCATTGAATGCCAGACGATGGCTGTGGGCGGCGGGTGGGGCACGAACACGAGACAGCAGCTTCGGGCGGGCGGCGGGCACGCGCAATCTCTCTCGGTGGCATTCGCCTTGGTGTGTCGTGTCGCGTCGTGTCGTGTCGTGTCGTGTGCTCAGCGTGAGCCCGAGCCCGAGCCCGAGCCGGTTGCGTGCAAAGCATGTTGGAGGGATGGGCGAGGGCGCGTGTAAGGATAGCGCAGGCGGGCGGCAATGCGCAGGCTTTTGTGTGCGTGCTAGCGGCGACCCTGGGCAATTTAGCTGCACGCCTACTCCGCACCTCCAGTACAAACGGCGGTTCCACCACGACCACGTTAACCTGGCCTCCCTGGCATCCCTGCCGCCGCCTGGCTGACGGCCCGTAGCCAGCTAAGTAACTAGTCCACCTGCACAGTCGGGCGGGCGTGCTGCTGCTGCTGCTGCTGCTGCTGTCCGAGTCTCTTTTCTGTCGCTGGACTGGCCGCTCCCTCACACCCTCCCCGCCCTCGCATTGCACCTCCCCGCCGTGCCATCTGCGTATCCGCATGTGCACGCGAGCCCGTTTCATGTGCCACCAGCCCGTTTGAGACGTCTCCTCGCCTCCAAACACGCCCGCCGCCGCCAATCGAGTCCAACACACGACCGCGTCTCGCAGCCTCGCAGCCGCCGCCCGCCCGCCCGCCGCCGCCACGCACGCGAGCAGATACAGACGCAGGAACGCCTCGCCAGCCCTGTCCGGCCCTGCACTGCCCTGCCCTGCCTCCCCACCCCCACCGCCTTCTCCCCGCCTAGCGCCTGAGCCAGCACCGCTGCTGCTGCTGCTGCTGCTGCTGCTGCTGCCACCGCTGCGCCCACCCGCCCGTATCTCACTACAACCACCACCACCACCGCTACCTCCACCACTACCTCCTCCTCCCCCTCGAGTCCCCCGACACCCCCACCGCCGCCACTACCGCCACCTCCACCTCCACCACCGCCACAACCACCAGCCGCGGGTCTGCAGGCACTACCACCACCACCATGGTGGAAGCACACGACGCCGCCAGCAAACTGTTCTCCAAGAGCCGCTGGAAGACAAAGATCCTCGACAAGACCAACGAGCTCGCGGCAGCCAACCAGGCCAAGAACAAGCCCGTCGACAATGACGACCTCAGCGCCTTCCTCAAGCCCTCCGTCGACCGCGCCGCCCAGCAACAACAGCAGCAGGAGGCCGCCGCCGCTGCCGCCGCCGCCTTCCTCAACCGCCCCCGTATAGACGTGAGCAGCGCCCAGCGATGGCCCGGTGCCCAGGCCATCATCAACAGTGGTGCCCAAAAGAGCCCGGGCCCGGGAGGCTTGAAGCTGGACAACCGCAAAAAGGGCCTCACCGTCAGCTTTGCGCGCACCGTACCCGATGTCATAGGCCATGGCGGCGACGAGTGCGAAGACCCAGCCATCCTGATTGCCAGGAACAAGAAGCCCGCCAGCGTGCTGCCCACAGAACAGCAGCCCCCGCAACCAGCCCCGCCAGCCGCTCCGCCAGCCGCTCCGCCAGCCGCTCCGCAAGTGCCCCCGCCAGCGCCCCAGCAAGATGACAGTCTGTTAGGCCGCATCAATGCCATTGGCAGGAGCCCGTCGCAGACCGAGTACAGAGACCCCTCACAGACCGAGTCCAGGATCAACCTCACCAGAACGCGTACAAATCCCGGCGAGCTCTCCCCCCCGCTCGGCCAGAAGATGCAGATTGGCCAGATCAACACCACAGCACAGCTCCCTCCCACACCCCCACGCTACCTGGGCACCATGGGCCTCGGCGAGCGACCCAAGGGCCTCTCGCGCGCCCCTACCGGCTTTGATAACATGATGTTGGAGTCGGGGGCGCAACAGCAGTCGGCGAGGCGGCCGAGCGAAGACTCTGTATACTCACAAGATTCAGACCTCTCGCCCATAGTCTCTAGATACCTGGCCGCGCGCGAGCCCACGATTGCAGAAGAAGACGACTTCCAACCAAAAATGCTGAAGCGCTCCCAGACTGGCTTCAGTACTCTCGGTGACGACGCAAGCGACGACTCGGCGCCCTCCGTCCCGCAAATACCCTCGCCACACACAGCCGAGCAAGAAGATGGGCACGCTTCGTTCGCAGCCAGAATCAAACAAAAGATGCGTTCAGAGGAAGGCAGAACCCTGCACGAGGCCTCGCAACGGGCAGCATCAGGCGAACGTCGAGACTCCGAGGGAAGCTCACAGCAGTCGCTTTCGGGCACCCCTCCGTCGTCCTATCGCACACTAGCAAACATAAAGAACCCATTCGACAATGCGCAGTTGGAGGGACGGGGGTCACCATGCGGCATACGCGACGTCAACGACGCCCAACGGTCAAGAGCCCGTGGACCGTCTCCGGCACAGAAACCAGTGCCGCCCGGCTCGTACCCAAACGATTTGGAAACACGGGCGCCTTCAGCGGGTCCATCGCTTCACACACCCTCCTGCACTTCCCCTCTTTCGCGCCCAGACCCTTTTACTAACCCAGCCATACAAAGAATAGCCTCTCCTGCCGACAAGCCCGTCCCCCGAGCTGCAAATGCAAGCCCTGCCGTCTCCCGAGCCACAAACGCAAGTCCTGCCGTCTCCAGCCCAGCTCAATCTTTCCAGGGAACCCCGTACTTCCAATCTTCGCAACCTCCGTCATCGCAGCCGCCCTCCCTTCCGCCCGCCCTCGCAATGCCGTCAGGACCCCCGGGCTCTCAACCGCCATCACGCTCTGGAACAAATGCCAAGCCCAGCGCCACACTTGGTCGCTCCGACACACGGTCTGCCAGCGAGCTCGCATACCAGGACTTTGCCGAACGCATTACACACATGAGAGGCATCTTTCAGCTAACCGCCCAGCTGGGTGGTAACATTAACAGTCACACGCCCATGGAGTGGCTGCGAGTCGCTACATGGTGGTTCCTCCGAGGTCGTTCTGGAATGGAAACCCTCATCCGAAGTCAGCCTAGGTCTGCCGAACCGCTGCTAGAGCGACTCTCTCAGCCTCACGTTGATTTGGCAAAGGTGTGGTGGATCATCACTGAAGTCCTGCCTAACCATCCCGGCCTACGAAAATACGGCGATGGGTCACCCGATGCCCAAGTTGAGCTTGCGCGACAGGCGGGAGACGCTGCGGGTGCAGAAGTCTATGACATTCAGAATGCCATTACCCACTACATGAAGTTGCTTATTGGGTCAATGAAGAAGCATCAGAGTATGCCGCCCACACAAGCTCTCATTCAAGGCCAGGACCAGTCAATATGGGAAGAGTACCCGTCCTTCACTCCAGATGTCGCCCCTGTACTTACTTCTGGACTCCCTGCCCCGCAAGGCGGCCAGCAACCGCCCAGTCTTTCGCAATACATTCCTCTTTCCGACACCAAGTCCGACTTTTGCTACTTCCGCATGTTTGTCAAAGCTTCGCTATCAACGGACGATCCTGCGACCGATCGCGTGCCAATGAATGCCGTCATATCTGTGCTGCGCACCAAGGACGACTATTCAGCTAAGCTTGCCATTTGCAGTCAAAACAATCTCATCAACATTCTGGTCGGTCCGAGCTCAGCAATCACGTGGAGAGACGTCAGTTGGAAGCAGCAAGCGCAGCAGATTACTGTGCAGCTGCGCCACGGATTTGTCCTCACCCTGGCATTGCATGAAATGGACTTCCGCAGTTTATGGTCTATTGTGAGCCATACCAGCCGGGTCGAGTCGGAGCTACGAGAGCGCAAGGACGAGCGATTTGCCTGCAGAATCCTTCTTCGGGAGGCCAGCTACAAGGACCCCGCAAACCCGGGCATGTTCCCCAATGAGCGTGTGCAAGGCTGCAGACTTCTCGTATTTCAGAAAATTGAACGCAGCAGTGAAGGCACCGGAAAGCGGAAACTACACCGAGGATACCGCATGGTTTTGGTGTCGCCACAGCAAGCGAAACAAGTTAGTCTGGTTACTCATGAGCTCGGGACCAAGCAAGAGCCTATGAATTTCGAATATGTCACCGAGCCGGACCAAGCCCCCGCCCTAAGGTTGCGTTTCCGTGAAGAAGGGCCCGAGAAGCGGTTGCGGGTATGCGTAGCCCACTTGGTTTTCCAGGATAGCAAAGATCGCAACAATGTATTTGGTACATTTACATCCATGAACGTCGCAGAGGGAGAGACTACCTTTGCCCAGGTCGCGCTGAAGGGATTCCATATTGAAAGTGCAGATGAGGTAGAGGGCTTCAGCTCACAAGGGAGTCGTGTACTTGAAAAGCTGCAGTGGGTCGAAGCAAAAGTTGTGAACCAAGATCCCGAATTGGCGGGATTAGAGTCTGCGCCTACTATCATGAGTGAGAGCCTGCGCATCATGTGCAGACATACTGCGGGTATTGTTTCCGATCGTATGAATCTGGGTAAGTTTACATGGCTTGTTCAAGTACAGGTGAGCCAAGGCTAACAAGGCTAGGCCCTGGTGAACTATTGGTTCGCCTTCCGGTTGACGGTAGTCCGGTACTCACCTTGCTCCGTGAAGCCCAGCAAGACATGGCTGTCGCTGTTGATGGAGGCCGAACCGATCCCAGCGTTCCTGAAGATCTCGCAAAGCTACTCCAGACTCTCACGAGCGCCTCAACCATACGACGGCTTACTTTCAACTCATTCAAAGATCTACACACTTTCCAGCTCGCTGTTACTGGCTTCAGCGTCAAGTTTGATGGGTATGTCTGCATCGATTCCATGTTTTGCGCCTTTTGTATGATGAGTAAAGTCTGCTTGTACTGACCAAACCTAGACTTGCCATTTCATTTTCTATTTCTCGTCGGCGCATGGTGGTTCCCATTTACAAGCAATGGACCGCCAACCGACTCCGTCTTCAGATTGTCGAGCAGGACAATATAGTCCAGCTCCTCGCCTTCTTTGAAGACTTTTCTCACGCCGATGCTATGAACTTTCAGCTACGCCTCACCGACACGTTTGAAAAGATAGACAAAAACGGCAAGTTTGGCGTGAAGCTGGTGGACGCAAAGTTTGCCCTGCCGGTCGACGAGCGACGTGGCGAAGGCAAGATTCAAAAAGCCGAAGGCAAACTGACCGGATGGTCGGGTATCAAGAGACGATTTGTATGCTTGGATGAAATCGAGTATCCAGGTGAACACGACGACATCCTGATCATGTTTGACTCTGCGGAAAGTAAGTATCAACCGTCTTTTAACGTCTATAGTAAATACAAGCTAATTTACCGTTCTAGCACGCGACTGCTTCGCTGATTCCCTCCCGGCTGCGACCATGGATCGTAAATTCACTGTTCGAAGAAAGATATAGATGAGCTCCTAGTTGCATCTTTGGACCTCTTTACGCCTTTTTTCGACATCTCTCTCTCTCTCTCTCTCTCTTTTATTGAACCTCACCTCACCTCACTGTTATACAGCGGCAACAACACCCACACCCACACCTATATTCCCTTTGTACAAATTCAAGTCACCCAAGCTTTTGACCATTCTCCTCCTCGGCCTCTTTGTTTTTGTTGGTAGGTTCATTGATTAGCTGTTTTTTTTCTGCTTTTTCTCGAGTCTGGCGCTTGCTTTTCTCTTCTTTTCCCGCTTCCTTTTTTTCTCTTCTTCTTCTTTTCTGTCTTTTCTTTTTTTTGCGCTTCACGTGGGGTTTGCATAGAGGCGTTTCTTCTGGGGGGGGGGGCCTCCTGCCATTGCCATTGTCTTGCGTTTTTTTTTGCTTTTCTTCGGTTCTTCTCTTGGATCGGCGCGGCGTTGGTCTAGGTTTAGGTGTAATGCTGCCTCCCTTACTTGGCCTGTCTGCTATGCGGTGCGATGCTATGCGATGCGATGCTAGCTCGAGTCAGCTTCTTTTCTGACTGACTCCCTCTCTCTCTCTCTCTTGCTTTGGGGGAAACAAAAAGGGGAGCTATTTTGATCGGTCGGTTGTTCGATTGGTTGGTTGCAAGCAGGGTGGATGTGCTGCTGTTGCTACTGTTGTTACTGTTTCTTTCTTTCTTTTTTTTGGCGTTCATACACTGGTGTGGATGGGCGGGGGTGGAGCGGTCTTCTGTCGAGTTTTTTCTTGTCTGTTAGTTTGTTTGTCCATGTCCTTTGGGTTTTTGGTCTGGTTTGGGACTTGTGCTGTTATATTTTGTAGGAAATATAAAGTGCTATAGCTACCGCTACAGCTATGGTGGATAAGGAGCTAAGAAAGATTGTTACTGCTTGTCCTTCTTCTTCTTCTTCTTCTTCCATTTCCGCTTCTTCTCCCCCATCCCATGCTTCTTCGTGTTCTTCTTCTTCTTCCTCTTTTGATACAGGATGTTTGAAAAAGCAGAGGTTTTGCCATGTTTATAATGGCATGTCTTGTTTTCGCCCTTATTCTTATTCACATTTATGTGTTTTACTTGACGTAGCAGCCACTTTCATTTGTGTGTCAAGTCTAATAGTTACACACACACACACATACATACATACATAGGGAAAGAGACAAATTGTTGCAAGAACAGTGTGCGCATGTCATTGGTATTTGAGATTTTATCCGTAGTCAGTCTGTCTGCATCGGGCCATTGTCGTTTAATTGAGCGTGCTTACGAGACAACGTCAACAGCAACGACAGCGATCAAGAGGCCAGCGACTACACATTGTACCAGAGCATGCTACAACCACAGCTAGCATAACAAATCATGCGGTACGAAAAACCGTCTCTTCTCAATCTCATCTCCGCCTAACCGTCCTTCGGAAGAAAGCAAGCAAGCAAAGCAAGCAAAGCAATGCCTGTGGCAGGAAAGAAGAAGAAGCAAGAAAGAAGAGAAGAAACAAGTGGAAGAAAACGTATTAAACCATATTCAGCCATTGAATAGAGAGAAAGAAGAAGAATTCAAAGTCGAAGCAGAAGAAGTAGAAAGAAGTAGAAAAGAAGAACAAGGTATAAAGCTGACAAGAAATCACGCTTGCTCTTCTCTCATGCCGAGGCAAAAAAAAAGAAAAAAAAAGTCTGAATAAAAAGGACTGAACTGAAACGTAGAAGAAAATATAAAGCAAAAATCTGCAAAAAAAAGTGACTAATGGTGTGTAAAGTTTCAAGGAACGCTTCAAGGCTGATGGCATAAAATGATGAATGATGATAATGATGATGATGATGATGTATCAACGAATCGAGGTATCGAGCGTGCGCGAAATTCGGAGAGTCGTTACGGTCGTAAAAAAGGGTTGCTGGTATGGGGTCATGGCATGCGTATGCTAGAATAAAGATGAGGTATATGAAGAAGGCAAATGCTTAGTATGCAGATGGCGGTGTGTGTGTGTGTGTGTGTGTGGGTGGGTGGGTAGATGGCAGTATGCCAGATATATCGCGTACTAAAAGACACGAGAGAAAAAGAAGCTAGCTTCGTAGCTTCCGACTCATGACAGCGTGGGTGAGTCAAGCGTCGTGGGATCGACGTAGTACTTTTGACCGATGCTGCGCCGAATCTTTTCCCTTCTCTTCTCGGTACGGCGCTCTTTCAGCTTCTCCTTGACTCCAGAAATACCAATGTACTGAACATGGTACTTTTTCAAGCCTGGAAGACGCTTTCCTTGTCTCCAAGAGTTGCCGCGACGCCGTGATTGTTCATATTCAATAGAGAGGTTGTCCGGAAAAGAAGTGGTGCGGCGGAGTTCGGGACTCGAGCGGCGCTTGGTAATTCCACCTCCACCATGTCGACCCAAAGGCTGTGTGGGCGCTTGAATAATGACTTTAGGTGAAGATCCACGAGGAGAGCGAGTGAAGTGTGAAGGGAGAGTGACCTGGTGGCGACGTTTGTTCGTACCGTGGCGTTCAACACCAAGCGAGTTGCCAATCAAGAAGCCACCAGAGTTACGGGAGCCACGGAGGCCCCCTTTCAGCTTCTTAAGAGTATTGGCCCGTCTTGGCGTCTCTGGCTCTGGCTCTGGGTCTTCGACATCACTTGTGTCACCGCCCTGGGGAAGCCTGTCGAGCTCTTCGTCGTCTGATTCGCTGTCCGAGAACTCATCCCAAAAGCCGCGTGGACGCCAAAAAGGATGAAGCGTACCGTCTTCATCATTCACCGTGGGCACGTGTGGATTGCGATGTGTGTGCTTTTCCGAGTCACTGTCCTGCGATCGACTGTTTCCTTTGCGAGCCCATAGTGGTGCCATGAGATTATCCGAGTACCGTCGCGCTCGCTGCAAGACAGAGAGCCGGCGTTGTGGGTGGGAATCAGAGCGCCGGGGCGGACCTGGCGGTGATGCAGCCAATGGCCTTTCAAGCTCCTCCATGGGGGTGGGCGGGATGAAGTTGATCTTGGGTGGTTCTGGCGGGTCTCGGGGGTTGAGGAGCGGCGAATCGACAGAGCCGGTCGCCAGCAGGTCGATCTGCATTGGGGGCGTTGAAGGCTCCAAGGTCAAGGTCGGCTGCGACGGCTTTTCTTCACTACTACTACTACTGTCTTGGCGAATAGGCGCAGGAGACGGCACTGTTTGTGCAAGCCGAGGATCCTGCGGGGTCAAGAGCGTGGCGCCAGTCAACTGGCGTTGTTCAGACAGCATTGAGTTACCTCGGGCCAACTGTTGCACAACAAGGAGAGAATGGTTGTTGTGGGGATAGATGCTAACAGCAGTGGCCTCGGTGACTTCAATCGTATCAGAAAACTGGGAAAACGGCGTGGACTGAGAATAGAGATGGCGGGCCATAGCATGCTCCTCGGTCCGTGAGGCTGAGCGATCGAAACTGACACGGCCATGTTCTCCAGAGTTGGCAGAGTAACGCTTCCATTCATGATCGCTGAGGCCAGATCGGGACCTCATTTCGGGCGACACGGAGGAGCGATCGTTGTGAAGAGAGAATCGCTTTGGGTCCCAGGATCCTGGCCTTGACGCGCGTGAGCCTTGGCGCATAATTGGTGACCCTTCCTTGGGCGGCGGGAGCTTGTTCAGGTTCTCAGTCGTGGCAGGATTGGGATTCGCAGCAACTACATTGGATTCCTCGGTAGCCTGAGCATCCCCAATCAGGTGTCGAACCCGATCCAGCAAGGCAGATGGCACGCGGGCTTCTCCGGGGGGATGACTGGCACCCAGGAAAAGATCACGCTCCGCCGGACCATCTACGCCCTGGTCGGGCAGGTCGGGGAGATTGTTCTCGATACCAGTCGGCAGCTTCGTGTCTGGGATAACGGGAGGCAGCTGTCGGACCTTTTTGGAAGTTGGTGATGGCTGGCGTGGCTTTGGCGAAAGCGTGGGCGATGGTACGCGCTCAGGTGCGGGTGGCTCGGTGAAGGGGGTTTTCCTAGGGCTTGGACTTGGCGGAGGCAATATTTCGGTAAAGTTTCGCGGTTTTGAGGAACGACTTGTACGTCTCGAAGGCTCGGGGGCAGAGTTGATGCGTTTGTGTTGACTACCACCCAGTCGTGCTGCTGCGCTATGTCTGCTCAGTATGTCCGCGGCAGGTTGCAGTACATGGCGTACAGACTCTTGATGCGCCATGGTATGAGCTGAGCTGTCGATGGTTTTCTGTCGCAGTGATAATGAAGGGGATAGGATGCGCTGGGAGGCCAATATGTCCGAGCCGACGCTGCCTCTGTTTCTGTCAACGATGCTGGTCCTCTTATGCACCAAACGATGGGGCGGAATGCTGTCGGCCTGGGATATCATCGAGTTGCGGCTTGAATGGGTGTCGGAGCCAAGTTCTGCTGGTGAGCTCACGTCTCTTCTGTACGCCATATTCCTCCCCGAGTGTCGCAAGGTTTGCATCCTCTGTGGCGTAGTAACGATAACATGGGCCGAAACGACTGTCGAGGCAACCGACGATGTCGACAGTCGCTTGCTGCTCGCATCGCGCTGCTTGTCGATAGACATGCGCCTGCTGTCGGCGGGCCAACCAATTGACTGGGCAAAGTTTTCGACCGAGGGCGTGACTGGGCTGCTGTGGCCGACTTCGACGCGTTTGCGCAGGCTGGGGGCGTTGCGGGCTCGGGTGGTGGGCGAGGGAGAGGCGGTTTCGACGACGGTGACGGCGGGATCCGCAGTCTTTTTAGGCGACTTTGATTGCGGTCTGCGCTTCTTGCGTATTGTTATGTTGCGCATGAGCTCGGTGTTCCACTCGCGGTCTGGGATGTCGGCCATGGTCGGGGAATCCTTGTCTGCACCTGCCTGTTTGGCGGCTGCATCCACGTCGGCCGTAGCAGGGAAGGCGGTGCGTGAGGGGGTCGTGGGCGTGACATCATTTTTGTCCTGTTCGAAAGCGAGTCGCCGTCCGCGGTCTTCTTCGACGGTGTTTGGGCGTTCGTCTGCAGGCGTCGCACACGTGCTCTCTTCGCGGTCCGAGAAAAAGGGTTCTTCTCGCGCAGTCTGGTACGACGTGGCCCGCGAAGAGGGATACGTGAGGATTGGCGGGCGTTGAAGGGTGGCGTTGGAGGTGTTGGAGGCGTTTGTTCGCGGCGGGCTTGGGTCGGGGGTTGGAGGACTGCGCGCATTGACAGGCGTGCTGAGGCACGACTTGTGGGATATGAGCGAATTGCGCACGCTGTCGGCATGCGGCGGCGGGTCTACATGGTCGACGGATTTGCCGTCCTGCGAGGCGGTGGGGGGCGTGGGCGGCAGGCCTGTGTCTGCGCCGTTTCGCATGCCTGGAGAGGCCAGGGGCGTGCTGTTTTGGCTGCAGAGAGTGGAGTCGCTGTCGTCGCCGGCGTGTGTCGAGTGCACATCAGGGCGATCCAGGGGCACCGGGGTCGAGGTTGCGTCGCGCAGCAGGTCGGGGCGGCTAGGGAAGTGCTTGGAGTGGCGGAGGTTGGGCGCGGCTTGGAAGGACGACTCGAGCCTGGCATAGAGGCCAGGCTTGGATTCAGCCATGGCTGCAAGATGGGACTGGGAGAGAGTGCTTCAGGACAGGGCCATGTCGTTGGGCGTCGGGGGGGCGGGCAGCAGCAGGACCCTGGCGTGGATTGGTCTGTGGGTGTATGTGTGTGTATGTAGGGAGCCGCCAACGATGGCGAGAACCGTGGGCGGTGACGCAGGTAGCCTCGCAGCTGCAGCGCCAAGCCAAGCGTTCACGATGGAGGCCTAGCGGGCGCACTTGGGGAGCGGTGGGAGTGGGAGAGGCGAGAATTGCTGGCGGGCGAGCGGGCGGACGGCCGACGGGATGGCGAGGCAAAAGGCGCACGAGGCGAGGCGGGCGGGCGAGGCGGGCGGGAGGGCGGGCGGGCGCGAGAGAGAAAGAGAGAAAGAGAGAAAGAGAGAAAAGAGAGAGAGGAGAGGAAGAGAGGGCTCGAGGGTTAGTGCACGTATGTATGTATGTAGGTATGTATGTGTGTGTGTGTATGTGTATGTAATGTGCAAAGGACGCAGCAGGCAGGGGAGCTGGCGCCGTGTCGATGCGCGCACACGTCTGGGCACGCAGATGGCGGCCTCCAAGGTTTCGGGCGGGCGACTGGGTGGCCGAGGGCGACGAGTCCAGCTGCGAGCGCCTCTCTCTCTCTCTCTCCTGGGGCCTGCTTCTGCGCCGTCGTCGTCGTCGTCGTCGTCGTCGGGGGCGGTGGTGATGGATGCAATGCGGCGGAGAGGCAACCGTGTAAGTATCTCTCTACCTCTCTTTCCCCCCAGCATGCACAATTGCACATGACCTTGGCGGGCGAACGTGGAGCAGCGAGCAGCGAGCAGCGAGCAGCCTAACGCTAATGCCCTCGTCCTATTCGCCCTGCCGCCCCCCCACTAAAACACCACGCCCTTCTGCGCCTTCCTCTTCACTCGCTGCTCGCCCGCCGCCGCTGCATCCACCGCCTGCAACTCCCCTCTCCCTCTCCCTCTCCCTCTCCCTCCCTCTCACACCACCCACCCCCAGGCCCAGCGGCACTCCGGCTGCCCGCATCGCCGTGCAATCATGTGCCCAGCCATCTGCCCAAGTACCAGGCACCTCGCCCGGACCGGTACCGGTACGTACCTATACCTACACCTGCCTCTCCAGCCTGGCGGCGCATGCAGCTGTCCCCACTGCACGCCCCTCTCGGCCCAGCACAGCTTGCATGCACTACCACGACTCAACGCGCCTACAGCTGTTTCAGCTTCTCGGCCTGTCCATGTCGAAAAAAAACCCCGATACAAGCTCGGAGCGGTTGTCGTACCATGACACGTCAGACGCGCTATCTTAACGCTGCCGCTAGTGAGCCACGCATTTCCACGATTCGTTCTTGGACCCTCATGAGCATGCACTAGCCCTTCAAACATTCCACAGGTACCGCCGCCAAATCAAGCACGAGATCGTCCTCTGCCTGCCATCACGATGGCGCAATCGCAGTGCTGCATTCCCCAGACCACCCTATCTGGCTGATTGCGAGCTTCACAACCACAGCCCTCAGCCTTGCAATATGCATGATGCAAGTGACGTCACGACCATCGCCGTTATCCTTACGTGCAATGTTCATCACAGCGGATCCCACGAGCCACTGCTCGATCAATCTCTGGTCATAGATGAAGGACGGATATTCCAATAGACAGAAACCCAATTGACTCACAACATGTCCCGCATCAGCTCCCAAAATGCATGCCATTGCAGTCACAGAATATGGTCCCATTGCCAATCTCAAAGCCATTGACATCCCAAATCCCTCAGATCCTCAGGGTCATGAAGTCCTCGTTCACATCCACGCCTGCTCCATAAACCCAGTCGACACCAAAGTCCGAGCGGGCACCTACGACGACTATCCCGACTACTATGAGCGTACCCCCAGCCTGCCCCAGATCCTCGGTTTCGACGGTGCTGGAGTTGTCGCGAGTGTCGGATCAGACGTCAAAGAATTCAAAGCTGGTGACGAAATTTACTATGCCGGGTCGCCTATCCGCCATGGAAGCAACGCAGAATTCCAGCTCGTAGACTCGCGAGCTGTAGCCCTGAAACCGAAGAGCTTGGACTGGGGTCAGGCTGCTGCTATGCCCTTGACGTGGATCACCGCCTACGAAGCCCTCGTCGAACGCATGGACATCCAGAAGGGCGAAAACGCCGGCATCCTTATCATCAACGGCGCAGGCGGCGTCGGGAGCGTGGCCAGTCAAATTGCGCGCCGCGTCCTCAATCTCCCGGTTGTAGTGACCACGGCATCGAGAGACGAAACAGTCAGCTTCTCAAAAGACGTCGGAGGCGCTACACATACCATCAATCATCACAATGATATTGCCGACGAGGTGGACAAGCTGAAATTAAGTGTGCCCATCAGGTACGTCTTCATCACACACACCCCGACATCAGGCTACTTGGCACCTGCAGCAAAGGTCTGCGCACCTTTTGGAAAGGTTTGCTCCATTGTCCAAGACAAGGAAATGTCCATGTACGGCACCGAGTTCATGGCAAAGAGTCTGACTTTTGTCTGGGCCCTCTTGGGGACCAAGCCGTATTATGGCGTCCAGGTCGAGAGCCACGGAAAGATATTGAGAGACCTGGCAAAAATGCTAGATGACGGGGCCATCAAGTGCCATTGTACGCAGAAGCTCAAGATCGACGAAGAGGGTATAAGAAAGGCACATGACATCATCGAGGGCGGCAAAGCCATTGGCAAAGTTGCGCTTGAATTCTGAGCGTATATAGCCATATTGGATGATAAAATTCATAGTATCGCGACGCTAGTTTCTTCCCGTCCATTCAGTCTGACGTCAACCCCCGCCATGTCGTTTCCCGTTCGGGTAAGCATTTCCCTCGACTACCACACTTGGACAATACACGATGAATATATGTCCTTGCTGCAGACCAACATCACACTCGGGTTTCAAAACATCCAAATTTCATATGCCACCATGCCTATCAAAGTCCATTCCTACAAGCTGCCCCCGACGCCACTGATCCCAAATTCGCCCTACCCGCTCCTGCACTACCCAGGCCTGCTCAAAGACACCGTCACAGCCCCAGACTTCCGCCCAACACAGCTGCTAGACGTGTACGCGAAAAACGGGTGGCAAACCCAATGGATCGCAAAGTACGGCCCAGACATCCAGTCGCACTACCACTCGACCACGCACGAGGCCATGACGGTGATATCCGGCCTTGGCGCCACCATCCGCTTTGGCGTCGCCGACTCGCCCTCATGGGAGCCAGCCCTGTATCCTCCGGGCGCGAGGGGCCCTGACGGTGAAGCAGGCGGCGTGGAGATTGAGGCGCGCATCGGCGACGTGTTTATCATTCCTGCGGGCGTGTCGCACAAGACATTTGCACCGTCACCCGAGTCGCTGGAGTTGGCATTCCACCAGCCACACGATATCGAGGCGGGAAATGCACGAGACGTCAGTGCCGAGGCTGAGGCGCAGCGAAGAGCCTTCTTTGAGCAAGTGCGCGTAAACGGCGAGTTTATGATGATGGGCGCGTATCCGTATGGGCGCGTGTGGGATTTCAAGATTGGAGGCGAGCATGAGGGGAGGGAGGGCGACGTTTGGAATCTGCCTATTCCGGAGAGCGATCCTGTGTTGGGCGAGAGTGGGGAGGGTCTTGTTGGGCTGTGGAGGTAATAGGGATGTGGTAGTGCTGGGTATGAGAGGAGTAATAGTATCAACTATTATTATATCACACATATAATTTGCTGGTATGAATGACTATAGTGATCTGGAGAGAGTACAGCATAAGACTCGTATTCGACGCTTTCTAGTCGATCACTTAACGTACCTCGTCTCAAACCCTCCTCAGTGAAAAAGGGGTGTCTATTGTGGCAGAATACAGATATATCAATAAATATCTCTATCTGTCGTTTCCATCATTCTTCTCAGATGCCCGTTTCCTACGGAATTAAGTTCATGGCGCCGCTGCCCAAGTACCTGGTCCGCTTCAAAACTCCGACTCTGCCCTTGTCGGCGCTAGTTCCCACACGCCCTACAAGCTGCAAGTGATCGAGTGGCTGTGATATATAACCCACTGCACTTCCCCGACGCATTGCACTTGGATTCGACCATTTACTTCGTCTCTTCGCCTTGTTCTTATTTGCTCACTTTTTTTCCAGGTTTTTTGACTTTACCGACACTTGTCAAGGCTCGCTGTCTCTCATGTCATGTCATGGCATGGCATCACTGGTCAGGCGCTAGACCACTTCCTTCTTAGCGCTGTTGGTTCGCCTGAAGACAAGGACAACGCAACGTCGTACTGGAAATCCTTCCACGGCCGTCCACCTACACCTAGGCATGGCAGCGCTGGCACAGGCTCGCTAACACCAACAACATGCCGCTGTTAACCGCCCCTCACATACATGGCTCGAGCCTGAAGCTTCCCAGGACAGCGATTGGAACCACTCCAACTCTGGCTAAATGGCTGGACCACCACCCGCCAAGCCATTCCGCAGGACCAAGCCCTTGCAACTGATAACACCGGAATCCAGCGCCTTTGCCTTTGCAGTCGAGCTGACGCCCAGCCCACCGCGGGGCCTCGTCGATGATGCCGCCCTGAATCCAGGCAACCCCCGTATGTCGCGTGATTGCGCTCCATCGCATGGCCAAGACGACGCCCGTTGGTACCAAGAGTGCCGCTGTTCCGCTTACGCGATTGTTACCACCGGTGGCGGTCATGCCAATATCCACCCACCCTGACAACCGCCTGTCTGGAACGGATTCGGCACCTTGCCAGGGCGCTGTTCCAGGACCGGACCAATGGCATTTACCATGGCCATGACACCCGACCCATGGGCCCTCTGGCTGGAGCGCTAGCTGAGCCACCACACAGCATCTGGGGATACCTTGGGAACAGACGCCACACTGCTAGTGCTGGTTGTAGAAGGAAGGTGGGCGATTGCTGGGGCTCGGCGATGCTTGGGCTTTTGATACGCATGGTGCAGTCGAGCATCGGGTCCCGTCGCCTGCGCTCGTTATATACCACGCTCGTTTGTTGCAAGGCTCACGGCTGAATCTGCTCTCCCTGCACCCGGCAACTTGTCCCTTGGGGAGGTTCATTGACCCCGACGCTCTGCTTGGAGTCATCAACTCTTTTTTATACACCCTCACGTGTACCCTGGTCAACGCAACATGGACGCGGCTAAAAGAATCTTGTTGAAGCTCTCGCCCGAGCCGAAAAAGGGCGAGGATGGCCGCGACATGTTCGGCAACCGCATCCAGTTCGTCCTCTGCGCCATGGGCGGTGCTGTTGGACTCGGAAACTTGCTCCGTTTCCCCTCGGTCGTATACAACAACTACGGCCTCCAGTTCTTCATTCCATACCTTATCGCCCTGTTTTTCGTTGCGCTTCCTCTCCTGGTCCTCGAGATCTCCATCGGTACCGTCTACCGTGGTGGCCCTGTTCTCGCGTGGCATAGCAACAACAAGCGGGCCAAGGGCATTGGACTCTCAATTGTCTTCAATGGTGTAAGTAAATTCTAGCTCACTTGGGAACGACACTAATGTGTCTAGTACGTTGTCGTCACCTACTACGTGCCACTCCTAGCATGGGTGATGAAGTACTTTAGTCGATCGTTCCAGAGCCCGCTGCCATGGAAAGGCCAGGATCTCAGCGAATACTTTGCTAATGTAATCGTTGCCAATGTGCCTGCGTCCTCTACCGGCAGATTAAACCCTGACGGCAGCGTCGCCTCCTACACACAGTATGCGGGTACAGGCATGTTGGGCGAGACTGCTGGTTGGGCCATCTTCACTTGGTTTGTTACCTGGCTCTGTATCTTTAGGGGTGTTGGAATGACTGGCCGCGTCATCTACGTCACCATGGGCCTTCCACTCGTTCTCATCATCATTCTGATCGGCCGTGGATGCTCCCTCCCTAATGCAGGAGAAGGTATCAAGCTGTATTTTGCCACATGGAGAACATCTGCACTTCAGAGTCCTAAGATCTGGCAAGCGGCGTTTGGCCAAATCTTCTTTTCTATCGGAGTCGGCTTTGGGTACGTAAATTGCATAAACACTAGACCTGATACTAACGACACAGATACTTCACATCCTGGGCGTCCTACTGCTCACAGCACTCCAACGCTGTCCAAGATGCTCTCATTATTGGATTCAGCAACTCGGCTGTCGAGATCATCGCCGCGTTTTCCGTGTTTGGCGTCGTTGGATACCTGGGCATCGACCCTTCGAGTGGCGCACAGCTCGGCACCTTTGTCACTGGCTTCATCACCTACCCAGAGGCTCTGGCTCAAATGCCCGGTGCACCCTTCTTCTCTGTCGTCTTCTTCTTCACCCTGTTCCTGCTGGGTCTCACCTCTGCTTTCTCCCTCCTCGATGTCATGACGACGATGATTTTGGACACCGACTGGGGCAAGAGGTTCCCTCGCTGGGTCATCTACACTACCGTGACAATCATATCCGCTCTCATTTCGCTCATCTACTGCACCGAGTTCGGTCTTCAGGCCTTGGACGCAGTCGACACCTACATCAACGACGTGGCCCTCTTCTTCGTCGTCTGGTGCGAGAGCTTTGCCGCAACATCGCTGTACCGCTGCAAGGATGTCGCCAACCAGGTCGGCTGGTCTGGCTACCTCATCTTCACCTTTGGATTCGTCACTGCCCAGGCTCTCGGTGTCGGCGTTGCTTACGGCTCGGAACCCGGTGTTGGTGCTGGCGTCGGCTTTGCCTTCTTCATCCTCTTCACATTCCTCAGTCTCTTCGCAGCAAAGGACCCAGCGATTCCCGCACCCAGGTTCTGGGGCAACAACAAGTACTTGAACCGTCTCTGGTGGGTTTCTTTCTACCCCGGCTACCAGCTCTCGCGCGACCTTAACGTCGTCATTGGCGTGGGTAAGAACTGGAGCATCCCGTACTTCTGGGCTCCCATCATGAAGGTACGTCTTTTTCACCCCTAGAAGCTCTACATTCCGCCTAAGCTAACACGAGATTCCAGTTCATCTCCGGCCCCATTCTCGCCATCGTCCTTTCTTTGGCGTTCCCCAAGTTCACCACCCAACACATGTTCGACCCCATTATGATCTACGGCTTCAGCATCGTACACCTCGTCGTTCCCACCATTGTCCTGTGCATGCTGCTCCCCTCTTGGTTCAACTTTATCGTTCCTTCCAGCAAAATTGCGCTTGGCGACAAGCCCGTGGCGCCCATGGAGACGATTGACAATGCCAACGAGATCATGGTGCTTGCCAGCGAGGAGAGCCATGTCCAAGGTACCTACAACGAGCCTCTTCAAGAGAAGCATTAGAGAGTTTTCACTTCCTGCAGATTCGATATTTGGAAGTGGTGGATGCAGTGTAGATGGATGACTTTCCAGTGCTTTTCTTTGGGTGCAGGCCGGTCGCTATAGTACGCACATGCCGCAAACTATTTAATCCAGTTTGAGATACATGTCCATGACTTGCTTTGCATGCCCAGAATCGAACATGTGAATGCTCATCTCGAATCAAACCTATACGTCATATACACCCGTTACCTAGGACTAGCTCTCGCCAGCCACGCCTTCAGCGCCTCCGCATGATTCTTCGGCAGCGCCTCCCACCGCTCTCCCTCATACGTGCCCTCAATCCCACGCACCAAATTCTGCGCCTTCCGCAACGCCAACCGCTTCGCCCCAGCCCACGGCGTCTTCTCCAAAAACGCATCCGCCTCCCCGACCAGTTCCATCCGCTTATCCCTAACTTCCTTGCCATCCTGCTCCTCGGCCTCACACAGTTTACACGCACACTTGAACCCCCACGTCTTGTGCAGAAACGCCTGGCGCGCATCATAATCCAGCGCAGCGTGGTACGCGAAGAGGATTTCCTGCCCGGCGGGGATCGCTTGCGTGGCGCGCACAACCAGCATGTCGCCGATGAACTCCTTGTCTGCATTCGGCACGCACGAGTGATTGATATACGCAGCGTGCGTCCACAGTCCTGTACTCGCGCTCTTCGCGCCAAACGGCGTGCCCGCGCTAAACGCATTGCGCGCCACTATATCGTGGACGCGGAAGACATCGACGAGGGCAGCGCCATGCTCGCCATCTACAAAGACATTGTTCCCATCCCCCGTGTAGTCGCCGAAAAGCTGCATCAGGGCTTCTGTTTTCGACGGCTCGTTGACGCATTTCTCGACTACGGCTTTGCACAGACCGACGGGCGACAACCGGATCTGAGAGTCCCGCGTGTCGTAGGTCATGGCGGTTAGGCTGGCGTCGGGTTCGTGGGCCCACGCGACGGTGAAGGCTTTTTCGCAGAGGAGCAGCTCCCCCGCGGCCATGTCGCGTGTGGTATAGAGGCCGCGGCCCTTACCCGGACTGTCTTTAACGGTGGTGTTTTTGGTGTAGGTAGCGGCGTCGAGGCGGGGGCGGGCTTTGGAGAGGGTAGCGCGGAGTTTGCTGAAGTCGTAGGCTGCGGATTCCTGTTCTCGGAGGCGCGCTTCGAGTTTCTTGAGTTGCGTCTTTGCGTCCTTGTCGTCGGGCGTGAGGGCTTGCTGCGACTGGAAGAGGGCTTGGGCTTCGTGCCATTGCCCTTGGTTGTATGCGGCGCAGCCGGCGCGGTAGTAGGCTTTGCTGTCGAGGTCCTTGGATTTCTGATCATCCCGCCCTGTAAGTGAGGCTTTGGCGTCGGCCTTGACTTCGTCGAGCCGACCCAGTAGCAGGTTCACGTAGGCGCGGTTGCGGAAGATGTCGCGTGCGAGATCGGGATTGCTTGCTACTACAATGTCTTGTTGTGCGATTCCCAGTCCCGCAGTGTATTTCTCATGGGCTAGCGGGAGATCCTGCTGCTTGAGCGCAGTGTTGCCCTGAGTCTTGAATCTAGTAGCGGCTTTTTCGGCCTTTTCCGCGTCATCGAAGTGCTTGGGATTCTGGATGTCGTCGTGGCAAACCACGAGATCCGAGGGGTGATCGATGCGAAGTGTAGGCTCGCCCTGGTCTGTAAGAGTAAAGTACGGCTCCTTGATGATGAACAGTTTGCTTGATTCCAGAATCTCCTCGCCGTGTCTCGTCTTGTGCAGCAGCATTTCTAATCGCTCTGCATCGGTACTGTCTTCGTCTTGCACCATGGTCCACGATCTGGCTACGAGCGTGACTACTGGGCTTTCGCGCTTGATGACGAGCTTGCGGCCGCGGTGATGTGTTTCCATTTTCAGATCACCCATCTTCATGGGCTCGAGCTGCGACAACGGAGTCGTACATGGGGGATATGGTTGTCCGACTCCGATGGCTGGGATCGTGTTTGCTGTCTTCCCTTGGGTTTGCAACAGATCTGGGTCCTGTGCACCGCCCATGTCGGCCATGAGGGCAGCGCCAGTGGCAGCTTGGTGTGCTGCGGTTTTGTCTCTCGGTGTTCTTGCGTTGCCATTTTGCTCGGTGCACCTTTTCAATCGCTCTTCGACAGTGGTCTTGATGCGCTCCGCCTCTTGCTCAGTGAGATAGATGGTGTTTTCTTCCTGGGATGTGTCCGCCATCTTGGAGGTTATTGGCCTATCCCTCGAACCGACAGCGGATCTCACTGGGGATGTTGTGATTTTGATTTTGAATTCGTCTTATTTCACAATGTAGTGGGGTCTTATGACGCTGCCCGTCTGGATATGCACGGTTTGAACGATCAATTTTTTCCAGAATTAATGTCGCACTGCAATTGAGGTGATTCAATTGGCTGATTTCCCGTCGATAAGCGTAGACCAGTAACTGGATCAGACTTGCGCTATTCTTGCGGCTCGAGGGTGAATTTGGAGGGGTCGAAGCTAGACGAATTTTGTTATCGATAAATGTGGGGCTCGAAGCAATACACTGGGGAAAGGGTCAAGGCATCGCATCATCACACATCAAGCTCCATGCAAGCCATTTGACCACGAAGTATCGTAATGACGACTCCATATCCTACTTCCACACACTCGAGCTTTCCGTACCAGCCTTCTTTCCTTCTTGATATGTTTCACTCAAACTATGATACAGCCCCTTTACTCGCTCAATCTCTGCCGTCAATCTATCCCTCTCCTTCTCATCACCAATCTCGCTCACTACATCTGCAAAGCTCTTCGCGGTGAAAAACTTGTTCTTGCGGTTATACAGCTCCCTCTTTTGCACTTGCTGCTCGCTCTCGCCCTCGCCCTGGACTCTGAATACCTCTTGCAAGATATCGATATCGTACGGGATCCCGAACAAATCCCGACTGTCTTCATAGGTAAACAGGTAGTAGAATTCGTTGAAGCCAGCCCACGTGATGCCGCTCAAACACAGCGAACAAGGCTCATGCGTGGCGAGGAAAATGCAATCCTTGGCTGGATGGGGACGTGTCGACGGGTTGGGAAAGTCGACTGTGCAGAATTGTTGGATGCAGTTGATTTCGCCATGAAGTAATGGCGAGACGCGCTCGTTGTTTGTGGCAAGCGTATAAGGTGTAAGGTCCTTGCGGGACAGAATAGCTGCTCCAAAGAGCTTGGATCCGCTCGAGACGCCTTGTCGTGTAAGTGGGATGATGCGCTCTTCAATCGTAGATAGAAGTTGGGAGACTAGTTTCTCAGGTGCCGGGCGCATTGCTTCCGCGCTGGTTGACATGGTGGTTGGTTCAAGAAATGCCGGTTGAACTGAAGTTGGAAGGCGCAGGCTGTTCTCCAGTCAAGAGAATGCTTGATCAGAGCGCCGTCAATTACAATTTATCATTTAGGAAGCTCGGGTTTTGGTGCATTTGAATCTGCGCGTCGGAGTCCACCGTTAGGGCGCAGTGCGGGGCTTTCCGATGGCTGATAGCGGGGCGCTGCTTTGTACATATGAAAGGCTATTCTTATCGTTCTAGATGGCAATGGACCTCTTGAAGAGTAGCGTCTTTGAGGCGGAGGTATCCGCTTGAATATCAAATGAAGATTGGGTGAAACTAGCGTGAGATGGTAGTCTCTTGTACTCATGAAGCCGCAGTAGGAACCGTGGATCCAGTGACTTATTCATGCAAATCGACATCTCTTTGCAGAATTTATGAAAACTGGAGGTATCACTGTCTGTAGAACTGAGATTGAATATTTCGAGTTGAGTATCTGCCATCGAGCCGTCTCGTTGGTGGACGTAACCAGATGTGGTCCGTTACGTCATGTCCCAATTAGGAAACCCTATGCACCAAGTCGTGCAGAGTCCCCGCCCTGTTCATGAGTTTACTTTTAGCCTGGCATCAACCTGCTGAAATTTTCCAAATTCTGAAGCACTCTTGTACCTATTAACTCCCTCGTTACTTTCAACCAATCCATCTAATTATCGAACAGTCTGTGCAGTGAGGTCTTGCACGAGAACACATCTGTCGCGTACAGAGCACTCCTATTGCGCACACCACTACTAGACTTAACGTATATATGAGTGGGGAAAGAAGATATGTTGGATATAAATCGAACTTCGAACATTTCTGGGCTATTGGAGATACCGAAACTTCCCTGCACACGCTACTTCTAGAATTTGAACTTGACAGCGCCAATATGAATGACTATAGGTAGTGAGACCATTTCAGCCGAATATCCTGGCAGCGAATATAAAAACATCTGCCAAGACTCAATGTTGAATCAAAGCTAATCTCGAGATGCCAGGTTGTTCAAGTCTCCAGGGAAGGGCAGCATCTCCTGAACACTTGGAAGTTCAGTCATCTGATATCAGATGAGAAGATATCCCGGCATGTAGAAATTGACCGAACAAAAGACCGGTATGCAAGAGTGACAGGGATTTATAGACTGTGAAGCATGCCGTCGATCTTATTACCAGGCTACACGATAACCCCAGTAACCCTTGCTACCATTTTTAGGAGTTGCTTTTGCGTTGACTCGCACATATAGCAGATGACGACAGTCAACATAACGCTAATGCAACGCTAATCATACTCTGTAAGAAGCTGGATACTAGGATTTGCTATTGATTTTTAACTTTTAAACGCTCACAAGTCAACAAATTCTCCCTTGAGTAGTGGATCATCCTGCACTTGTTTCAGGTAGCCCTCCACTTTCGCCGTCAACGCAGGGACGTCAAAGCCAAAGTACTTGTAAGCTGCCTTTCCAGGCAGACTGTGCCCGAAGCGCTTCACGCAGCACGCAGCGTCAGCGTATCTCTCCCAACCGTTGGGCGCAAACGGCTCGATTACTACTGCGGGGATACCGAGATGTCTCCGCAGTGTTTCCCGCTTGTACTGGATAGACTGGTTCTCGAAGAGGCGCTGGCAGGGGAAGCTGACGACGCGCGTCTTGATGTTTTTCGCCTTCAGCTCGTTGGCGGTCTCAACTGCGCGATGTAGTTCAGCACCCACACCGATTAGTGTTACGTCTGCGTCTTCAACTTCTTCAAGCACGTATGCGCCTTTTGCGACCATGTCGCGGTTTGTCTGGGGTAGCTGAGGTAGTGTGTGTCGTGATGTCGAAATAATGCTGGGAGTCTTCTTCGCCTCGATTGCTGTGATCCAGGCACCTGCTGTCTCTTCGCTGTCGCCTGGTCGGATGTACAAAAGATTGGGCATGGCTCGGTACAGGTTTGCGAGCTCAATGGGCTGGTGTGTTGGTCCGTCTTCACCCATTCCAATACTAGATTTGGTTAGTAATGGGTTGCAAGGGGGCGAGAAAGCGCATACCTGTCATGTGTAGCTGCGTGGATAACTTGCAGTTGCTGCAACGCGCCCATACGAACTGCGGGCGCTGCATATAAGTAGAACATGAAGAATGAAGATGTGACTGGGATGAAAGTGTTTGGTGCAAAGGCTGCTAAGCCATTTGAAACGGCCGCCATTGCGTGCTCACGAACGCCATAGTGAATATATCGGCCGCTGTAGTTGCCAGTTATGCCGCATGTTGTCTTCAGGTCAGGCTGGAGTAGGTTGGTGAAACTGCTCAATACTGGGGAATATGCGACTTACGTGCTGGAAATCGACCTTGCCCTTCCAAGTCATGTTCACTGAGGGTGTCAGATCAGCGGTACCGACCATGAAGTTGTTAATCTTCTCAGCGAGAGTGTTGAAAACAAGCCCAGATGACTTTCTCGTCGCTGTCGGTGCATCAGTGAACGAGGTTGGCACGAGAGACTTCCAATCCTCAGTCAATCGGCCTTCTATGCGGCGCCTGAAATCTGCACCTTCGTCGGGATATTTGGTCTCGTACGCCGCCACCCTCTCTTCCCATGATTTTACCAGCTCTTGGCCTCTTTCAGGTATATCCGCAAAGAACTTGCGCACCTCATCGCTAACGACAAAGTGCTCATCAGGGTTAAAGCCGTATGCCTTTTTCATATTGGCCACGTCGGTCGTGCCGAAAGCTACGCCGTGAGCAACTGCATCACCAGCAACAGCGCTGCCGACGCCAATGATGGTTCGAACATTGATAAATGTGGGCTTCTCAGTCGATGCTCGTGCCTTGTTCAGAGCCTCAATTAGACCCTCAACGTCGAAACAGCCATCTTCAACATCGACTACGTCCCAACCGCATGCCCTCATCTTAGTGTTGACGTCCTCAGTGTTTGTCAAGTCAACTGAGCCATCGCAAGTAATTTGGTTGTTGTCGTAGATGATTGTAAGGTTGTTCAGCTTCAAATGCCCAGCAAATGAAATCGCTTCCAAAGCCACTCCTTCCTGGAGACACGCATCTCCAATCATGCACCAAGTGTGGTTTGAAACCACGTCGAAATCGGGCTTGTTGTATGTTGCTTGGAGATTTTTGGTTGCCATTGCAAGGCCCACTGCGTTCGCTACACCTTGACCCAATGGGCCGGTCGTCACCTCTATTCCTTCATGCTCGATTTCCGGGTGGCCTGGACATAGGGCATCAACGCGGTCTGAATGGTAGGATTTAAGCTGGTCAAAAGTCATGGCTTTATAGCCTGTGAGGTGAAGAAATGTATATTGAAAGAGACATGTATGGCCTTTTCTGGTTAGCTGTAATCTTGGCCATATCGGCGTTCGCAAGATACTCACCATTTGAGAGAATGAATCGGTCGCGGTTGAAGTAATCTGGAGTGTGTGGTGCATATCGCATAACATATTTCCACAACGCAACTCCGATGGCCGCCATGCCGATTGCTCCTCTAAATATTTGTTAGCGATAGCTCTCGCGAATGGCTCGCAAAACTTGCCCAGGATGGCCACCATTGAATTGCTGACACAGGTCTGCAATGAGCAGTCTGAATGTCTTCAAGACATGGTCGTGCTCTTTTGATAGCTTCCGCACCGACGACTGTTCTCGCTTTTCTTCTTTCTTCAAACCGTCCACGGCACTTTTGCCATAGGCTGTGGAGCCGTTTACTTGAGGTGCGTCTTGTGCCGAATGCATCATGTGAGGTATACAAGGAATCAAGAGATTAATACTAAGAACACAGAGGCGAAGAGAAAGAGATAGGGCTACCGGACGTTCTCACGGCACAAGATATCTAAGTACTTCTTGCACTGTGTGACTGACAACAGATTTCTACGACACATAAAGGTCGAGCCGCCGGGTATACCCAAATAGGCAACCCGATGCGTTTTTCGGACGGAAGAGGACCGGTATGCTAGATTCCTATTGGTGCACGCAAGCGTCCCTACACGAATGCAGTAATGCTAACCACCGATCTTCTCCACTGACTTCTTCCCCGCAATTCAACGCCACCTGGTGCACAGCGTGGAGGGCCATGAGGAAGGAATTGCTATTTCTGCAGCGAGGGAAACAGGAGCCGCTGAACACGTGGGTCCTCTGCCACTCTGCCCTCTTACCCCAGCATTGACTGCGCTTGCTCCTGCTCTTCACAACGATAGTCTTATAATCTCTCCAGCATAGTTAGATCTCACCATGACCCCAGTCAATATTACTTCTTCATCAGATGCGCTACCATCCAAGTCGACAAACACAGCACACGCGACAATCACAACATCACTGCCAAATCCCTCTCTACAAGTTACTGCAGACCACAAGTTGAAACAACAAGATGCACCTGTCTATGCGCCGGCTAGGGGAGAAGTCTTGTTACATATCAAAGCCACGGGCGTTTGCGGGTATGGATTTCACAGCTTCTAAAGAACTGTAGAAATTGACAAGAGATTTTGCAGCTCCGACATACATGTCTGGAAAGCCGGCAGAATAGGTTCTCTAGTCGTCGAAGGAGATTGCATTCTCGGTCACGAAGCCTCAGGCATCGTGTTACAGTGTGGCGAAGACGTCACAACCTTGCAGCCTGGTACGTGACGTGCTTACTTCACCGAAAGGACTCTTCTCCTCTAACTTGATGGCTAGGCGACCGTGTAGCAGTTGAGCCTGGAGTACCGTGCGGCACATGCTTCTTGTGCATGGATGGGCGGTACAATCTGTGTGAAGATGTTCAGTTTGCAGGTGTCTACCCCTACGACGGCACCATCCAGCGATACAAAACCCATCCTGCAAAGTGGTGTCATAAGCTCCCTTCCAACATATCCTTTGCTGAAGGCGCGCTCCTTGAACCTCTTTCTGTGGTCATGCATGGCATCAAGTCCGCTGGTCTTTCTCTAGGCCGCGGTGCTGTGGTATGCGGTGCTGGACCAATTGGTCTCATTGCATTGGCAGCTGCCAGGGCAAGTGGAGCGCATCCGCTCGTCATTACAGATCTTGAGCCGAAGCGATTGGCGTTTGCGAAAAAGTTTGTGCCTTCAGCTATTACCTATCAAGTTGAACGGACTCTTGATGCAGCAGGCAACGCAAAGAAGATCAGAGAGCTGTTTGACTTTGGCATTGTAGGCGAGTATGGAGCGCCAGAGACGGTGCTGGAATGCACCGGTGTTGAAAGCAGTGTTATTACCGCTGCGTACACGGCGCGAAGGGGTGGCACCGTCATGGTTATTGGCGTTGGAAAAGAAACTATGCATAATCTGCCTTTTATGCATCTGAGCTTAGCTGAGGTATGTGAATCCGCATTTGTTTATCATGACACACCCGCCCTGATATCTCGTGTAGATTGACCTTCGATTTATCAATCGCTATCGCGATACCTGGCCTGCGGGTCTGCAGTGCTTGGCTGGTGGCATACTGGACCTCAAGCCACTTGTTACCCATACGTTTCCACTGGAAAAGGCCCTGGATGCACTGCATACATGCGCTGATCTCAACAACGGAAGCATCAAAGTGCAAATCATCGATGAAGTGGATGATGTGATCTAGTTATGGCTCGCTTCACAACTGAGTCTCATATGATGGAACATAGCATGCCAATGCTAAATCAAGCTTTTGGGGATCAGAATGGCACTGAAGAGGGCGAATAGCATGAGCTTGAGACTTTACAACAGTTCAGCAGGTATCCTGTTTCGGTCATACAAGTTCTTCGAAATCTTTCCATCTAGTATTTATCACTTATCTCAATGATCAGATGCACAACAGTCAACTACTTCAGGGCTTTATGATTTCCATCCTTGATTGAAAATGATTACTATTGACTGCATACTATGCAGAGCAAAGTATCGAGAATTGGTACCGTATATAAGAGGACCACTCCATGCAGAGTGTGTTACCGATATAAATAAATAGTCTTGGGGTGAATTACAACGGAATGAGATGCATGCAAAGCCTCCGAATGGAGGCCAGTGCTAAATGTCAAAAGTAAGAATATAAAGTACAAATACATGTACACATTTCATCCACCAGGACTACGTCGTTTGTACCATCGCCAATACTCAACTGTCTAGTTTGCATAAGCCCTCAGCGACGGCTCACTAAAAGTCTTCGACGGATCCAATAGCAACAAGCCGCCCGCGATTGGAATCATGCCGTACGTCGCCAAAACATCGTCAAGATCGAGTCCTGGGGCTGCATAGCTGCTGCAAACAGTGTTCAAATTAATCCGTGCCAGATTTCCAGGGCCCTCATTCTGCAGCGCATCGACGATGAGTGCGTAGGTAAGCGGGTTGAAAAGAACGCTGGCATGGCCGTAAAATGTACCAGCCAGCTTGCCCGCGCATACCTGCTGAACTTCATTGTTCGACACACCAACGTTGCGTACGTCGTTCATGTAAGCAGATGCTCCAGTTCCCTGCTGTGGCTGGACTACTTCATCGAAGATAGAGTAAAATGTTGTTGTAGGCACATAAGCGCTGTCTCCACCATCCTGCCTTAGGCTTCGGATGTAGTCACTTGTAGCTTCTTGCTGGATGACAGAGGGATTACATGGCAAGATGGCACCATCACTGTTTGGCGACAGGCAAAGGCCGTTTGCCAGGACCGTGCCTTTGAAATCTGGGGCTACAGGCAAGAAATCCTTGACGACCTTTCGTGTCGATGGCCAGTGCTTCAATACCCATTGGGTATCGAGACCGCCTTGTGACCAGGATATGACGGCGATGTTCTGCGCGTTTTGCCCCGAGATGGCGCTGATGTAGTTGATGGCGTAGGCAATGTACTCCGAGTTTGTTTGCGCATCGCCGAGCATGGCGCCAGGGATGTTGAGCCATACTGGATCAGCAAAGCTCTTACCCGTGAGTAGTTTTCGCAAGTTTCCAGCAAAGTTTACGCCACCGTAAGAACCAGTTCCAGGTACGAAAATGACGGGGCGCTTGGCGCCGTATGTGAAGCCGGATGGGATGTAAATTGCTTTGCGAAGAGCCGTCTCAGAAAGTGCGTATGGCGCGTCTGCATCATCTTTCTTGGGGTAGATGGGAGTCGGCGGGGGTGGGTTTGTATTGCTGACGCTGTTCTCTCCTACTGGCAAAGTACCTGTGAAAGCAGCTTTCAGTGTTTGGTCGAGAACTAAACCTCCGGCTATTTGGGTCGCAACGGCAGCAAAGAAGTCTGTTCTTGTTGGTGACTTTTTCCATATGTCAGACTGTCCTGCCACAGCCGCGGCAATGCTCGTGGGCCGCGCTGTGGGTTGAAGCTGCTCGAGTATATTGAGAACTTCTGTAGGGTTGCCGTTGGCGACGGCGGCGTTTACATCCTTGAGAAGGTTGCCAACGAGCGAAAGCACTCCAGGGACAAGGCCGGGCAAGAGATTTCCTAGGAGTTGGCGTTCCTTGATGGTTTCTGTGACGCCTTGAACAGATGGCTCCGCGATGGCCGCCGGTGCTGGTGCAGCGAGCGATTGGTGGATGGCGCTCAAAAGAGCTATCGACGAGATAGAGAAACGCATGTTGAAGACTTCTGCGCTTGAGAACCGGGACGATGCAGCCGAGAGAATGGGAATATCCAAGGCCCCTGCCGCTCATCTTCGAACACGGGGTGGCCATCTCTTTAAACGCAGCTCTTTGACATGAGTCGCGCAGCCGCTACGTCCTCACCTTCGGCCGACTACATGCCACCGGCTTTTACTACGTGGTTAGCTGATTTTTCTCGTGATAATCCTGGTGTTGCCAAGCAAGCGAAGAGATGTCGAGAACAAAGCACAGTAGGTGTATGTATCGATCCACCTGAATTTTGCACATGGCGTGCCCCTTTCAGCATTAGCTTTCCGCACCAAGCCCACTCTAATCTTGTACCTGGTGTCGATCATGATTTGAAAATAAGGTTCGGCTTCTGAGATCCGACACAGTGATTTGTAAAATCAATTGACCTGGAAAGCACGGATGGATACCCTATTACGATATGCGCGAATCGTAAAGAAGCTACAATGACGCAGCTATGGGGCAAATGTCCCAAAGCGTAGCGTCCAAGGTGTGTTAAATGCTGGACCCAAGTCAAGCTAGACTAAATTAGGACAGCCGGCGCCTCCATCCACTACTGTACTCCTATTATAAGCGAGATGTTTTTTCCAAAGAATACGGCAGTTCTAACCAACACAGCCGTAATCTAGACCAAGGCTTACGAACGAGAGGGGTTAAGAGTGGTTGCTTTTTACGAGGCGTCAAGTCTGTCAAAGCACCATCTACCTGAATTGGTACAAGTAGTGTGACGCCATTATACAACAAAAATACTTTGGGCAAAGCTCAAGGATAAATATACGGTACCATCTTGGTGACAAGGCAGCTTAGCGTTTTGATAGACAAAGGGGTCAAAGGAATACACGTCATGAACCGCCATTATATCCAGAACTGGGAGCTGGGGTCGTTGTCGAGACTGGATACTATTGTGATAAAGTATAGGCTAGGCTTCTAGTCCCAGGGACTCCTTATTTTAAGTAGAGACTTCTTACTTATTGTGAGTGAGTCACACGTAGAAGTAGAGGAATACAGAACGCAGTAGGGTACAACATCTAGCACTTGATATACTGTTTGACAAGACCATGGCATCTGCCCCCTCCCAAAAGAAATAATCTGATCTGCGAGAGAGGTATAAGAATCACCACCCGCATGTCTACCATACATGTTCGTTAAGTATTCCATGTCCATGTCTTTGTTGTCTGGATCGCTGCTTCTTCCTGATAGTGTACGCGTGTTGTGTGTGTAGAACTGCGATGTCTTTTCGGTAGATAGAGCAACGTGAAGGGCTTCCGCCCTCGGCCGTATGCTACAGCTAAGGGAGAAGAACAAAAGATCGTAAATTCAGACGAAGGATATTTTTCAGACATGTTGTATTGTTGTTGACTACCTATGGACTCGACTAGCAATTTATCTCTGGTTGTGAGTAAGCAGTACACAGTAAGCACAAGGCTCGATCACACGGTCTAAACAATACCCCCAATACATAAAGAAACGCGCGCTGGGTGGGAGTGACTCGGGTAACGACGGCCACGACAACCAGAAACGGTCTGCCGAACCGTATTCCGACAACGAAGAGTCACACGCGACAAAACGTCGACGACGCAATCACGTTACGAAAACCAAGCTCGAAGACGAAAAGGACAACATGGATGCGGATGACTCCGACGATAATATTGCCAGGAGCGTCCACACGCTGACCTTGGATCAGAAGAAGCCTCAGCGGTCAATGAGTCCTAGCGGTTTTGCCAACATCGGAATGGTGAAGCTTGTACACTGGCCTTCCGGCAGGCTTGTGGCCATGCTTGACCTAGAAGTCATCTCCGCTGGGCCTACCTCGTCATGGGCGACGCTGGAATATGAAGTGCAGGCTTTCTGCGACCCTGTGCCTCGGCACAATAGAGGCCTTTGGCCATTATTGCATCGTTGTCAGCGACAGGCTACTCGCAGCGGGCCCCGTGGCACGCTCAATCGTGTCGTTGTCGTAGTCGTTATATAACAGCGAGGTACTAAAGGGTTGAGTTGAACGAGCCGCGCGCCTCAACGACTGCGCCGGCGATCGCGATGCTACAACGTATGAAGAGTTGGATGAGCACGGTCGCATTCAAAGCTGGCTGGATTCCGGGATTGCGTATATAGTTGTCCGTTTCACAGAGAAGATGTAATGTAGTTCCACAGTAAAGTGTGGCTGGAATTTCTCTGCATGCCAGCCCTTGCTCACATATACGAGCGGTGCATATGAACTATTCGTCGTTGGCCTGCTCGTAGTGGCTATTTTTGCTATACTACCGGGTCATCAGTTCTGTATCTGAAATCCGTGTCTTACACATTGTACTTACTATACTTCATTTTCAAGTGAGTGGAGCAAGAGGATCAACCGTTGAAGTGATATATGAAAGATGTTGTAGGAATAATGAGTGGACAAGCTGTATAAATACATAATATAAGAGTGAAGCAATCAGTTTTCCGAACTCGATCCGACTGATATGCGCGTGGTCACATTCCAGATCATTCGCGTTTGTGCTTGTACACTGATTGCTTTTTCAAGCGACATGATGCTGTGATTGACTTTCTAATGCCAAGTTTGGAGTGGTTAGTTTCCTGCTTCTCTTGATCCCATGACCAGGTACATGATTGCAGCCTAGTTTGTTTGCCTTCGCTTGTCTCAGCACGTGAGCGTGACTAAGATTGGCGCAGAGCCTTTCACTGTTTGCTCTTGCCACCTGGAACCACAAACTTTCACCTTTTCCAATTACCAATTCTTTCACTCCTCCTCCCACCGAACTGCTATATCAATCCAAAATGCCGGGACAGCCCCAAACTCTGATATGGGATGGCTCGCGCGAGTCTGGGCCATACAAAAAGCTGTACGAGGACGCAGCAGCCTTGTACGAGAAGAACCGAATGGATGAAACCCTCGAGAAGATAGAGTCCAACCTGTCGTAAGCACTTTCTGATAACTACGGCAACAATTAATAACGCCAGAAAATCTGAATTCTAGGGATCCTTCTCTTCCTTCCTACTATCGCATGCAAAACTGCATCCTCGCTGCATTTGCCACATACAGCTGGTCCAGTGCACATCCTTACGTGACTTCAGCTAAACAAGAGTACGCTAGGAGCCATGCTCTAGCAGAAAATCTCGATGATCAAGGCTATCTCAAGGCGCTAGAGGAGATACGCGAGGATATAAAGACACTAGATGAACGTAGGAGGCAAGACTTTGCAGATTCCATATCCCTATACCCCACTGCAGAAGACTACGATGAATTCGAGCGCAGTGCCTTGGAAGCACAGGGGCTTGGGCTCGAAGACCTTTTGGATAACGCAGGAGAAGAAATTACATGCGAAGAAGCCGGATGCGAAATTCCAATTGAGGGTCAGAAAGAGCTTGCACACATCGAGAACATGGCGGGAAAGCATGCAGAGACCTTTAGCATTCCAATTGGTCCAAAGGGCGAAGCTACGCAAGCGCCCACTCTTAGCTTCTTCAAATTACCTGAAGAGTCGACGGAACAAGACGCAAGCAAACAGTTTGGCTACCAGAAAATTCCAACCATTAACAGGAATGGAGCCCAGCACACTCACCTACACACCATTGATGAAGAAGAGGAATTGGCGAACCCAATCGACCCACCGAAGTGGCCTCTAGATAAACGGATCGATTGCTTGCTTAATTTGGCTTCGAGCATTCCAGAAGGTCATCGCCAGTAATACACAGCAGTAGTTGAGTCCATTAGGGGGAATGTGGTCAAGAACTTGCAGCCCATTCTGCTGATGGATGACAAGGCTGCGTATGAAGTTTCACGTGCCGGATGAGCCATGCGGTGTGATCTATTCGAGCGTGCTATCCACAACATGTTTGTACGGGGAACAGTTGGAAATTACATCCTGATTGAGGATATGCTTGGATGGCCGCTCGCCCAATGGCAAGCTGGAGAGCCTCGCATCCAAAATTGCTTTGACGAGGAAGAAATCATCGGATTCTGCTTCAAGCTTAGTGAAAATCAGTAATGGAGGTGAGCTCATCTATCTCATGGGCAGATTTTACTAAGCAAACACTAACCTCTTATAGATACAAACTGGGCAATGAGGGTGTTGCCTACTGGCCTTAGGACCGACAGCGCAAGGGCTCAGTATATTCTCTCGTGCCCTCTGATGTCCGGTCCACTGTTGGGGGTGTCTTTGCGGCATTCCTATTGCATTCCAAGTTGACAAAGAGATGATTTGACGGTCTTGTAAACACATGAAATGTGGTAATAATCGAGACAAGGTTCATTTGATGGCGAGTTCTCAGTAGTAAAGGAGCAGTGTTTTGCTCTTCCAGTGAAAGCCTCCTAATCATATGCCCCCTCTTTGTTTGCCAACTCATCATGCCATGGAGATCCATTTCGTGTTTTCCCAGGTCGTTCCCGTCATGCTCGGCATGGCTAGGCAGCGCAGCCTGGGTGGATCGGAGTCGCGGTGCACTAACGGGCGCACGGACCACGCACACAGAATTTCGTTAGCGAAGCGCAACCCACCTCTTATCGAACTTCACGACGCCTTTGACAACTCCAGCGACGACGCACCCGAAACCCGCCAAATCGTATATCCTCCGCCTATAATCATCCAAAATGTCTGGCAAGCGCGGGTACGTTCTCGGCCTGGGCTGCAGAGGCAGAAGAAACTTCCGATGCTGCCCTGGAGAGGAATGCTGGCTAACGTGGACGCAGTCGAGGTTCTACCTCCGGTAACAAGCTCAAGATGACTCTTGGTCTGCCAGTGTACGTTTGATTCCGCCGCGATCGCTCCGCCGAGCCTGCCCCCGCCTGCGATGCGCCCGCAATACGAGACGAGGAATCAAGGCTAATGGAAATCTAGCGGTGCCGTCATGAACTGCTGCGACAACTCGGGTGCCCGCAACCTGTACATCATCTCCGTCAAGGGTATTGGTGCGCGTCTCAACCGCCTGCCTGCCGGTGGCGCTGGTGACATGGTCATGGCCACGGTCAAGAAGGGAAAGCCCGAGCTGAGGAAGAAGGTCATGCCCGCCGTCATTGTCCGCCAAAGCAAGCCATGGAGGCGAGCGGACGGTATCTACCTGTACTTCGAGGACAACGCCGGTGTCATTGTCAACCCCAAGGGTGAAATGAAGGGTTCCGCCATCACTGGTCCTGTCGCCAAGGAGGCCGCTGAGCTGTGGCCGGTACGTACAGCCCATGGCCGCCAAAATGTTTTGCTAATAGTGTCCAGCGTATCGCCTCCAACTCCGGTGTCGTCATGTGAGGGGTCTCTTTTCCTGCTTTCGATAACATTCATGGGTTCACGGGCACGGCGAAAATGCATTTACGGGGTGAAGGATTTGGGCGACGACATTGCAACTACGATTAGCAATGGGACGACCTTCACAGTACCAGTCAAATGAACATTACGACCAAACCACATCGTGTACCGCGACTTTCGAGTGATGGCTGACTGACTCGACTTACCATCAAGCGCAACAAGATAGTCGAGCTGAGAATAACGTTGGATCAAAAGACTTGAACTGTCATGAAAACATTGGTTTTTACTGATTTGTGGTATTGTCAAAAATATATGTACTGAATGCTAGGATCCCTAGACCCTGGGCTGGGTAGACGAGCACGAACTACGGTCGCATGCTAACATCTTGAAGTCGGCCTCCTCGGCAACTTCTTGCGCCCACCGCATCTGCACCATGCTTCTGGCTTCGAGTTCCAGGCTTCTAATGTCGTAATCGCGCTTGCGTCCGCCAACAAACTTCAAGTTCTCGTTTCCAACCACACCCTTGGTGACTGTGCCGTTGCTTGGCGCACCAATACCCTTGACTGCGCCGTTACCCCCCTGCATGACACTAGCGTAACTCGACGACATGGTCTGCACGCCAGAAACAAAGTCCTTTCCATCAAACTCACAGTGTCCTCCAGCAGGCGTGTTATCCACAGTCTGCAACTGATTGATCTGGTCTGCGGTCAAACCCGCATTAGCTCCGAGTTGCTCGTACGCTACTACAGCCTTTGGGATACTGCCTTGCAGCAACTTGAGGTCGCTCTGTGTAGACTGGAAGTGAATCCGTGTCTGGCTCATGACCGTGTCTGCATTCTGGAATTGGACCTGTGGTGCCAAGCCTCCACAGTTGAGCTCAACAGCACTGTTGGGAAAGTTCTTCATCTGCGCCGGGATGAAGAAACCACTGAGCATAAGACTTCCGCCACTGACACCTGTGAAGACAATGTTGGACATGTTTACGGCGACGCGTTTCGGGAGCTCGGTTTGGATAAAGTCGTTGACGGCTTGGGAGTGTGCTACGCCATCTGTTCGCTGCAGACCGGAACCTCCGCCCCAGAACAGGTTGTCGTCAGGTGCGAGGAGGGCAACGCCCATGGTATTAGCTTGCACAGCCTGGTTTGGCATGTCAAAGAAGCTCTGTCCTCCATCGCCATGAAGCAGCACGTTTGCTCCCAAGGTTCCGTTGCCTGATGTGGCCGCCGCACCGGGTACGCCTGAAGCCGGGAGGAACTGGTCTGCTGGAGCGGAGATCTTGAATCGTATGGGTAGGTTGTTGATCATGACAGTGTCGTCGAGGATCATGGAGCCATCGGTGGCTTTGGAGACACCCTGAGGGATTTTGGCAGCCTGTTGGAATGCAGTCTGTTTTTGGCGGCCGCCTCCATTTCGCTGTGGCAAAGCAGCCACAAGGCTCAGCAGCGAGATGGCGATGAGCTTGTACATGTTTTCCGGAATAGGTATGTTGATGGAAAAAATAAAAATTAGATAAAGATGTGGACCGGCCAAAGAGAAGAAAAGGTGGAGCACAGGAGAGGATGGGGAATACCGCACGGCAGTATACAGAGAAGGAGAAACGGAAAAGACTTGTGGGGGAGTTCACTGCATCTATACCGTTAGTCACTCAGTTGCACTTGACTGAGAGTCTCCACAGCCTCGCATTAAGACACTCGTTTGCGTAGCCAAGCTGATCAAGGAGCTTCATCCTGCGCTTGGAGAGCTCGACGGCACATCTTCCGCCACTTGGATTGGAGCGCACATAGCCTGTATCGGTGATATGTGTTTGATCCGCAGATGATGCAGCGTGTGTGGTTTGATTGATGGGGCCGCGGTGTTTCGGAGGCGCGCTTGGTGCTTCACGCTTGCAACATGGGCCAAGTCTCGGTGTCTTCTGCCTGATGCAGCATCTCCGGCCGAGCCTGGCGCCTCTACGGTAAGCCCAAGGCGTATGGTTTACCTGCCATTTGTCATTGGGATGAAGGGGAGGACAGGAGGCGTGGCCTGGTGATGCTATGGAACAGCGTCTGTGCATGACTCGTTTCATAGCTCAGCGCAGGAACACCGGTACAGTCTCGCTGTGTAAAGCATTGTCTTTGCGCAGTTCGCATTGCACTTGACTATTAACATGAAGAAGTATAGGAGAGGATGCGACTTCTACTGGTTTCTGGGACTATCTCAAAGACAGCTGGGTGTGGTGAATGTCGTGCAGGGACCTAAAGTCATGTGACCAAACGGCCAAGCCATACAAGTAAGACGGAACAACAGGGCGAAACAAAAGCCCTCGGTGTATTACAAATGCATTTGGAAACTTTCTTAATTCCCACCTGATTTGTGTCATCTGCCTGGTTTGGACGTGACAGGTCGGGGGGCTGCAAAGGCCAGCAGATGCACGTCATCAAATACCCTGACTCAAAATCCACATGCCGTACACTTACTTACTGCTTACGTGTATCTGTTCTTACTCATGGCATCCAGTAAGCGCACTCTTTCTTCCCGGACCTTTTTTTTACTTTTTTTTACTTTTTTTTTTTTAAAAAAAAAGAGGAGCCTCAAGTCCAGCAGTACCGTCTCCTCCATCCGCGACTTACCCCGCATCCGCTGCTCCACACGAGCGGACCCGCGTGGCGGGGGGGGGGGGGGAAGAATACTTTGGCACCCCGTATCCGCTACTTAGGCCTATGTATCTCTTCAGATCTCGGTGCCATGCCCCAAGGCGGTAATTGTAAACGCTGGCCCAATAGCGGTCAAGAAAGGTTCCTTGGAAAAAAATAGACTATGTATCCATATTGCGTCCACGTTGGCGTCTCGGATGTATTCCGCTTTTTTTACCCTTTCTTACCTGGTGCTGGAACGTTAAGGTTGATGCTTGCAGCTGTAAGACGTGCGCTGTATAGACCGGTGCTTATTCCATTGGACAGAAGTTTTTGGAATTGTTGCTTGTGGTGGTTGGCTAGCGCATTCTTTCTTTTGTTCTCTCGCAAATGCAATGCCGTGGCTGGCATCTTACGTGCTTGGCTGCGTTGGGAGGGCGCGCGGTTTCTTTCCGTGCAGTACGGTGCCATAAACGAGGGGTTTATATAGATCGTGCTCAACCTCGAGGTTTACGGAGATGTTGCAGCTTCAGCGGTTTTGCTTTTTGTGTTTGGTTTACAGTTGATACTACTGCCGTCATGTCTACCGAACGTATCAACGCGGCTGAGCCGGTCGAGGTTTACGATTACATTGTTTGCGGGTAAGAGTCTTGGTTTTCATACTTGAACAAAGATAGAAACAACTCATCTTGAGGTTGAGAGTAAATTCCGAATCCCTAACTATTACTAGTGGTGGCAATGCAGGCTGCGTTGTAGCGGGCCGCCTTGCTGAAGACCGAAATGCGAAGATTCTCGTACTAGAGGCTGGACCTGATAATGCAGATCTTGAGAATGTCCATATGGCAGGCGGGTAAGTCCACCATTAGCGCATGCTGTGAACCTAGCTGAACGACTTGCAGATGGAGTCAGAACTTTGACAGCGAAACGGATTGGAACATTGTCACAGAACCCATGGAGAAGATTGACAACCGCCAAGTCAAAGTCAGTAGAGGGCGATTCCTGGGTGGTTCGAGTGGTGTCAATGGCACTTTGTGTATTCGCGGGACGAAACAAGATTATGACGACTGGGGTCTGGATGAATGGACTGGCGATAAGATGTTTGATTATATGAAAAAGGTAAGAGGTACTGGCTCTACTAGGTCAGATCGAAAAACTAACGACTGCAAAGGCAGAAACATTTCACAGCAAAGATTGGCACAAGGCCGATGCGTCAGCTCACGGAACATCAGGCCCTCTTCACACAGAGCCACACGATCTAGCCCCCATTTCTGAACGAGTTCGCGAAAGCCTCATAGATCAAGGGCTCCCATACCACGCTGACATGTTTACCACGGGCGAAACAGCACATGGATGCGGCGACGTACCAAGAACGGTGCACCAGGGTATTCGAAGCACAGCCGCAGACTTTATCACCAAGACCTATCGCAGGAACAACATCACTATCAAAACTGAAGTGACCGTGGATAAAGTCATGCTAAAGAACGAGAAAAACGGGCTCACTGCGACTGGCGTCTCGACCATTTCAAAGAGCGGCAAGAGGATCGAGTATGAAGCAAAGAAAGAAGTCATAGTCAGCGCAGGAGCATACTGCAGTCCGCCAATCCTGATGCGTTCGGGAATAGGACCAAAAGAAGAGCTAGAGAAACACGGCATCGATTGTCTTGTCAATCTCCCTGGTGTCGGTGGCAACCTCATGGACCATGTTGTACGTTTCTTCCGAACAAGACTTCACTTGCTGCTGCTAACACGTAAACCAGCTCTGCTTCATCTTCTACGAGGTCTCACAACCCAACCTCACAAACGACTACCTCGCGCACCACGACAACGCCGCCGAATCCACCTACCAGCTCTGGAAAGAAAAGAAAACCGGAATCCTCTCCACATTCCCCTTTGGCATCTTCGGATGGGCGCGTCTCGACGACCGCCTCAACGACTCGCCTCTCTGGAACAAGGCCCCGCGAGAACCCGGCCGCGACCCCATGGGCCTCGCACCCAACCAGCCCAACATCGAGTTCTGGAACACGGAGCTCTACGGCGGACCCAAGCAATACACGGATTTCCCCGTCGACCGCAAACACGCGTTCGCCATGTGTGCGCTGCTGTTCAACCAGCATAGCAGAGGCAGTGTCAAGCTGCGGTCTAAAGATGCGCTTGAAAACCCCGTTGTCGATCACAAGTATCTGGATGATCCGCTCGACATGCTCGTCATGACCGAGGCGTGCAAGTTTGCAAACGAGATTGTCATGAAGGGACGAGGCACAAAGGACATTATCAAAGGGAGTTGGCCGGCGGATCTGGCACACCATGGATTTACGAAGAGGGAGGATTGGGAAAGCCACGTCAGACAGCATGCTACTACTTGTAAGTCCATGACTTTGCGCTTTTGCATCTCACTGTGCTAATGCGGGTTTCGCTTAGGTTATCACGCCTCGGGTACGTGTGCCATGGGGAAACCCGATGATGCGAATGCGGTGCTTGATTCTCGTCTTCGGGTGCGTGGTGTGCGGAACCTGCGTGTTGCCGATGTGTCGGCGGCGCCCAAGGTGAATAACGGGCATACGCAGATGGTGGCGTATGGGATTGGCGAGGGGGCTGCGGAGCTGATCAAGGAGGATGCAAAGGGGAGGGCAGTCCCGAAACTGTAGCTTGTTTTAGAGACTGGGTACGTCTATCCGCCGTGCAGCGCGCGTGCGGCAGTGAATGAAGGTAGCGCGTTGTCGTCGTGATTCTTGAACTAGAGAATCAGCAGTATATCGACGATAGAGGCAGGTTGTCCACGATGGATTGCACGCTGGGCAGGTGTCACAAGGGTGCGTCGTATGTACTATGTGGCGAGTAAATATAATAAGCAGGGTAGTATGCGTCGACTGATAAGTAACATACACAGTTCACATCCGCTGTGAGTAGGAAGTGGAGGAATGGAGGCAATAGTAGTCCCGACCTGGCTTTGATAAACACGATACTAATGAGAGGAGTGTCGCTTTACAGGGGGGTGACGAGAAAAAGTATTTGTGATTGTAGAAAGCAAGCCATGTAGCAAGCATGATAGAACTCGCGAGGAATTGCGTATCCACATCATGTCCAAACGACATGTACCTTTCTATCATGCAACAAATCTACTGTATTCAGATAACTATGCACACGAACAAAACAAATCTATATCCGGCGCTTCGTGACTTCCGTCACGGAAGCCGTTCTCCCGCCAGAGCTGCTATATACAGTCCGCTGCACCTCAGCAGGCTTTGCACGTTTCTCTAGGCCTACGGACTTGGCCTTGCCCGTCACAGCCTGGCCCATTGCTGCTTGCTCGACTGCTCGCGTGATGGCAGCACCAAGCAGGGCAATCAGCAGCACCAGATCCACGATATGGATTCCCCACCACCAATGCTGCACTCCGACGCCGCAGGTACTAAACTCAAATACCCATTCGCCTCGCTCCCCCTTTTGCTCGTCGAACCATGCAGACAGGAATCCTGCGTAGCCGGAGTACTCGCCCATCATGCTGCGCAGGGTGATTTCGCGGATATGTGGAGAGGCATTGATATCGGTGCATTCATTTTCAGGCGTGATTTCATAAGGGCGGTGTGGAAAACGGCGGGCGCGCCATTGCGGTGTTGCAGGCTCGGGGGGAGATTCTGCAACAGGCTCTGAAGACTCTGTTGAGGATTCAGACGCAGAGTCGGTATCGTTGGACGTAGGATCTTGCTCGCTTTCGTTGGCTGCGACTCCGTTCATGTCGACGCCATGAACCTCCATTGACGTAGCGATCGTAGTCTCATTGGTGGCGCTGGTCGGCCAGTAGGCATCCTCTTTCTTGATTTCCTCCGCTCGACACGTACTCTCGCCACCATCTTGTCTGATATAATGCACCACATCACAGCCAGCATGATCGTGCCCGTTCATAATGATGCCCTTTCTGCCTTGGCCTCCACCAGCCACATAGCGACTGCGACTCATGCCAAAGACGCCCTCGAGAATCGTCTTGGTGCCATGGTCTGAAAGCATGTTCTGCTCCTTGACTCCATGTCCGCTATCGTAGAAGTCAAACAATGGACTGTCGACGCATATGCCGGCTTCTTTCTCGAGGGGAATGTGTGTGAGAAGAATGGTGGCGTGGGTTTTGTCGGTGACAGGAAGCGAGCTGGTGATGATGTGGTTCATAAAGTTGTATGTTTCGGTCTGGAGTGCGGGAGACCAGGCAGGAGTATCGAGATTCATGGTATTGAGGACGACGAGGCGGAGGGTCGGGGGTCTGTCGGGGTGTCGTTTGTCCAGATCAGCCGTCTCGTTGGAACGCAGGGCATCGGGCAGTGTGAACCAAATGTCCCAATTGACACTGCCAAAAGCGCGTTCGAACCGGTCGAGACGCGACTCCGTGAGGTCTCCTGCATAGCCGACATCATGGTTTCCTGCAATGTTAATAACTCGCTTCTCCCAGTCCTTGTCTGCGCCCAAGACTTCTCTTGTGCCACCCCAATGCACCTGGCGCTCCGGCTTCTCCTCGTCAGGATCGGGTTTTTCTGACTTGGTGTCTTTATCTGTGTTTTCACCGTCGTGTTCCGCATTCTCCTCCGCAGCTGGTTCTGCCGGCGCTTCCCTCGGGACCTCGACATGGCCAGCACCAAAGACGGCATCCGGCACCCTCTCCAAACCTTTCATGACCGTGTTCCAGTATCTCCCCGCGCGTTTCCTGAACTCGCCATCAGTCACCCACTGGCTGCCCAGCAAGTCTCCCAACACGCTAACGTGCGTGGGCTCAGTCCACCACCGAAGACTTCGCACAATATGCGCGAGATACAAGTCGTTGCCCCAGAGATCAACGGCCTTTCTCTTTCCCTCTAGCCATTTCTGCGCGTCCTTGACAACGCCCTTGGCGGCCTCTCTTGCTATGTCTAGCTGCTCGGCCACGTCTGCAGCACCGCGCAGGTCGGCCACGAGGTTCTCGACTGACGGAAAGACGAGGGCATAAGGGTCAGGCAGCGAAGAGTCGCCTTCGAGCTGGGGATCACCGAGTGATAGAAGGCGAAAGGGCGCCAGGGGCTGCGCAAGGGCGGGCGGTGGTGCGGGAAATGCGCAGCCGTGAAAGACCGGGTACAGGTACAGCCATGTTGTGCTGGCCAGCGCTATGGGCAGCAGCAGCAAGGCGGTACGAAGGAAAAGGCTCGAGAGCTGCATTGAAGCATGCTTGTGTACGGCAAGGAGAGGGAGCGGTTGTTTTCACATATCGCGCGTCACGTTCACATTCATCTTGGCCGCGGGGGTGTGCGCGGAAAGTGATGCAGGGGGGTCACGGCACGGCAGCCAATAGCATGGTTGCATTTGCGGAGACCTCATTACCGGCGCACGCCAAACACAACCAACATCCCATCCGGTCTTGCTGTATTCTCGGGCGCTACACTATCGTCTTGACCAACCCATCTCAACACCCCATTTTACCCCTCAACGCCATACATTATGGGGACTAGGTGCTGCAGCATCGCTCATCCCAGCAAATCACCCAAGGCGCCACCAGCGTTGGAGCCTGACTGCGGTGTCTGAGTAGCAGGCGTACTGGCGGACGGAGCTGCCGGAGCACCCCACAGTCCTTGCGACGTCTTTTGCTTTGCTAGATCGCCCATGGTGACCTTTTGTGTGGGCGTAGCAGCCTTCTTGGGTGCGGCAGTAGCAAGCAGGGATGCGAAGGCGTCGCCGCCAGCCTTCTTGGGGGCAGCTCCTCCAATGCGCCCGCCGGCAGACATGGCAGAAGGTGTAGAGGAACTCGATTGAGGAGAAGGCTGAGGTACTGAGGTGAAGTAGTTGGGTCCTGTTGCCTGATATCCAGTCGGCTGCGGTGGCTGGGCCATGGGCGAAGCGACAGATGGGGGTCCGCCCATCCTGTTGGCGGCGGGTGGTGGCGAGACGGTCGCAAACAGGTTGTTCAGGTTGTTGTTTTGTGAGACAGACTGAGCCTGCGGTGCGGCGAACTGGGTCGAGGAAGTAATGGTAGACGTAGATGCTGGAGGCGCCATGTTGAACGCCGACGAAGCTGGCTTGGCTGCTGGAGCCGCCGGTGCTGCCGACTGGAAGTCATCGAAATCATCGTCGTCTCCAAAGTCGTCATGTGCAGCCGTAGCAGGCTTCTTTCCAGCTGCGGTCGAGGCTGGCGCAGGCTCATCGTCCCAGGCGAGCAGATCCACCACTGGCTCCGGTGCTTTGGGTTTTGGTTCTTCTTTTTTGACCTCTTTTCGGGTTGCCGAGGGTTCTTTTCTTCGTGCCGGTGCAGGAGTCGCGCTCTCACCCTCGTCGTACTCGTCGTACTCGTCGAACCGCTCTCGTCGCTGTTGTGTGTCGGCGAAGCCGCTCTGGTTGCCGCCAAAACCGCCACCGTCGCCATAAACCTCCCCTCTGTAGCCTCCATAGTCTGCCGACTCACTGCCAAACCCGCCATATCTGCCGCCTCCACTGCCTCCTGAGAAGCCTCCGCTGCCGGAGAAGCCGCCCATCGCCCCGCCCTCGACGCCACCGAACTTGTTCCGGTTCGCGCGGGCCTTCTTGCGCTCGGTTCGAATACGGTCAACATCACTCAGAAGCTCGGCGAGTTCCTTGGCGCGGTTTCGTACGTTGATGCCTTGGTCTTTGCCGTTCTGGTCAATGTAATGGAACTGGCGCAGCATCTTGAGCAGCGATACGTGAGACCGCGCGTCGTCAATCACTCGTTCGGAACCGTGCTTGATCAGGTACTCGAGAAGTTGCAAAGCCTACGCTGTCAGCTTGTGTAGTGACCCCAGCCATGTGGCGTACCTTGTAGATCTGTCGCCATTCCTCCGAAGCCTTCTCTGTAAAGCGCTTGTAGATCATGGGCATAATCTCATTCAGCAGTTGGCTGCTCCGTCAGCAGCAGTCGTGGGCTTCCCAGGAACATGACCTACTAGTTGAACGTGCCATTGGCGATCTCTTGTAATGCCGTCGACGAAGCGCCTTGCACCTTGTCAGCCTCGACTCATGCAATGCGCGCGAGCTGCTTACCCCATGGTTCGTTATTCGTCGCCTCGCGCACCTTGGCCTCCATCTCGGTGTAGTTCATGACGGCTGGGCAGCGCGTTAGCAAGGGCCAGCTGGCTTCAGTCTCGGCGGCGTACCATTTTGGGCCTTGCGGAATCCCGCCTTGAGGTCGTAGAGGGTGAGGTTGGTCACTTGGTCTTTTAAGCTGCTCAGGTCCATGATTGTGGATATTGCGCGCGTGGTCGGGAGGGTGTATGTCGTGGGTGAGCGGGTTGGGGTGGCAGCTTGGGTAGTGGAGGGCTCGGTAGCGGACCCCCGAGGGCGCCTCGCAGAAACAGGCAAAGACAAAGATGTGACACAGGTTTCAAGCCAATGGTGTGAAGACGCAGGGTCTCAGCCGCCAATTCACCTTGTCGCGCACAAGTTGCTCCTGTTTATGTTTTTACATGGCCATGAAACCCAGTCGTTGCGTGGCATGGCCGAGGGGCTCTCCGATGCCCAATCGATGCACGTGACAAGCGCCCGGGCCTCCCCGTCCCCTCAGCATGAACGCCCGTTCTGCCATCGATGCGGCGACGCAGAGACGGAAAGGCGCTCAGCTCTGGGTTGCCACGTGCTGGCGACGGCCATGGCACATGGATATGCAACGGCAGCACGGGGAGAAGCAGCCCATGTCCCCATCCTGGATGTGGGAGCAATCGACGTGCCGAATCGGGGAACGCGCCAAGGACGCTGGCGGTTTGTGCTCGAGCTCGAGGTATCCAAAGTTTTCCGCCCGTCTGCTTCAACTGCCCCAGCCGCTCCCTCTCTCTCCGGTCTTGTGCCCGCCATTGTGCTATACTTGTGTCAATTCCACGCCCCGCATTGCATAGCGAAGCCATTGCGCCCGTCTCTCTGTACCATCGCCTCTGCATCTAGCCGTCGGCCGTGCATCAACCACGGGCAATCGCCAGAAGACGACTACAGTAAGGCGAAATCCCCCTCACCGACACAGCGCCTCAGCCCGCGAAGACGGCACTCTGCGCCGGCAGCCGCCGCGCTGGTCTCCCCCGATTCACCGCCAAGGTACACAGGCCTGACTACCTTTCAGGTTAGACTCTACACCCCGCGCCTGCATCATGCCCCACCTACCTCGAGCCTCTGCTCTATCTGCCTTCCGTGCAGCTCCCCGATTCCGCGCCCCCGTCACCAAACGCTTCTTCACGCCCTCGGCCTACAACATGACCATCAAAGCCTACTTTGATTGCACCTGGAGCGGCCCAACCGTCGAGATTGACCAAGCCGGCACTGTGACAAAAACCGGCGAAGTAGCAGGTAGTTACGCCCCATGGCACCCCGGCCAAAGCAGCCCCGAGGCTATGTCAGTCACTGATGGTGGAACTGTCCAGAACAAACCGGCCGCATCAACTTTGAGCTCTTTGACGATGTAGTTCCCAAGACGGCTGAGAACTTCCGCGCTCTCTGCACGGGCGAGAAGGGCTTTGGCTACAAGGGCTCCAAGTTCCATCGCGTGATCCCCCAGTTCATGCTCCAGGGTGGTGACTTTACCCGCGGCAACGTAGGCGCCTGGCGAGACACAATCAGAGCAGCTGGCTGACAGACTACCAGGGCACTGGCGGCAAGTCCATCTACGGCGACAAGTTCGCCGACGAGAACTTCAAGCTGCAGCACGACCGTCCCTTCCTCCTCTCCATGGCCAACGCCGGTCCCAACACGTACGTCGTCGACAGATTCGTATACTAGGTTGAAGCTGACGGGTTGTAGCAACGGTTCACAATTCTTCATCACCACCGTCGTCACTTCATGGCTCGACGGTAAGCACGTGGTGTTTGGCGGTGTTCCCGAGGGCGATGTCGAGTCGTACAAGGTCGTCCGAGCCATTGAAGCATGCGGCTCCCCAAGCGGTACTATCAAGAACAAGAACGCCCCACCTACTATTGTCGCAGCTGGAATCCAATAGATGGTTGTGATTATTTGAGAATGGGGCTAGCGAGGGCACACGATCTTCTTCCCAAGTAGACAAGGCCACTTTTTGGTTGATGCGAGCGCTATGAAGTAAATGATGCAACCAGCTATAAGTCTCTCACATGCAATGTAATTTTTTTTTATGTCCATGTCTAAAAATATTTTTTCCCCACACATGCACACGCCTTGCTGGACTCCCCCCCCCAATACCCATGTGATTCCAGTGATGAATTTTGTTGCCCGAGTGCGGGGCAGCTCTCTCTACTACCGTACCAGTACTTATCTACCCCGCACTCGTCATAGGGCTCTCGCACTCAGCACTGGTGAGATGGATGCGCGCCTTGGACAAGACAAGGGCCTGCCGCCACGAGCCGGCGAAGCCATTCCGACTTGAACATTTACCTGTAAGTATCTAGTCCGAGTCCTGTTCCATGGCATTCATGCATACCAAGTTATACTTGCATTGAAATGAGATTAGCAAACGGCGCGTTGGACATTACTTGACAACACTCCCCCCCCACTTCTGTCCGTCAGCCTTACTAAGTAAGTTTACCTACTTACACCAAAAAGAAAGAAAAGTGAGATAGAAGGAAGGGAATTGCACGCACTTTTGTTGCATCGCGCTGGTATAACATCTCAAATCAACACAGTAATTTAGCTGTGGGAGTAAATCTACATAGATACACGAGCAGGAGTAAGTAGGGTATTTAGCAGTAGTGATAGTGATAAGGAGTGATGGCGGGGCACACAAGGCGTGGGATCCGCTATTTTTTTCTTGGCGTCAGCGCGAATAATGAGGTGCGATGTCGACATTTTCGGGGCGCCGCTGCGGCATGGGATACAGTACGTAAGTAAGTAGCTAAAAGTCGCTAAGTAAGGAAGTAAGTCGGGTAAGTAAGTAAAAAAAAGTACACGTAGGGCGGGCGTGCGTGCGTGTTGTTATTACGGAAATTTACGTACATAGAGTTCTTTCTCTCCTTTTTTTTTCCTTCTTCTTCGTTCGATTGACTCACAAACCACAGAGTCCTTGTAAGTAAGTAGGGTTAAGGTACAATTGGCAAGTATCTTGAGATTGTGAAATTCTTTTTCTAGATTTAATCCTTTTTTTTTATTTTTTTCACTTGAAATTGTGTGCTGGTCTTTCCCCTTTGCTGCGGTTGGCATGTCGTCGTATCATCCCTCGACTCACGGTATCCATGCCGACGACGGCGTCAATGTGCTCGCTGATGTCGCGCCGCCGATTCACACGTCGACGACATTCCGGTATCTACGCGACCCAGACGCTCTCCAGCCAGTTCCTGAGGAGGTCGAATACGTAGACTTGCAGACGCCACTGGTGTATTCACGACTCGCATCCGCAAGCACCAACCGGCTGGAAACCATCTTGGCGCCATTGCTGTATCCTGAGGCTACGGAGCAAGAGCTGCAAGGAAGTGAGGGGCTGGCCAACCAGGTTGTTAGTTATTCGAGCGGGCTAAGTGCGTTCCACGCGCTGCTGGTCAACGTGGTGCCCAAGGTTGTGGCCATCAGTGGCGGGTATCACGGGTGCCATGGGGTGATTGATCTGCACAAGAAGATGCACGGTGTCAAGACGGTGGATCTGCATGCGGACGAGGCGACCTGGGATGCTGCGGGCCTGGGAAAAGGCGATCTTGTGCATCTGGAGACGCCGCTGAATCCCACAGGCGAGGCCTTTGAAATCGCAAAGTATGCGGAGAGGGCGCACAAGAGAGGCGCATTGCTGAGCGTGGATGCAACGTTTGCGCCGCCGGGCCTCCAGGACCCGTTCAAATGGGGCGCGGATGTCGTCATGCATAGTGGGACAAAGTATATTGGCGGCCATAGCGATATGCTGTGCGGCATTCTCGCAACGTCTGCTGGACCCGAGGGCCTCAAGCGCGCAAAGACGCTCCGAGTCGAGCGCATCTTTCTCGGGGGTGTACTGGGCAGTCTGGAGGGTTGGCTCGGCGTACGCAGTCTGCGTACTCTGGATCTCCGTGTTCAACGCCAGTCGTCCAGTGCTGATCGTCTTGTTGCGTGGCTGCATGATTCACTCAACGGCAAGGGGGAAGATGCCGAAGCAGTCAGCAAGGTTGTCAGCAAAGTGTCGCATGCGTCACTGCAGACATCCGACATGTCGTGGCTCAAGAAACAAATGCCAAACGGGTTTGGCCCCGTCTTCAGCATCTACATGAAGGAGATTCAGCAGGCGCGAGCGCTTCCTTCGAAACTGCGTCTCTTCCATCATGCTACCAGTCTGGGTGGTGTGGAGAGCCTGATTGAGTGGCGGCGGATGAGCGACAGTACGGTGGATGAGACGCTGTTGCGTGTTAGTATCGGCGTGGAGAACTGGGAAGACTTGAAGAGGGATCTGTTGAATGCTTTCAAGGCATTGGCGAGTGGTGAGGCTGTGAAGACGAATGGCGAGGCTGTGAAGACGAATGGCGAGAGGGTGCAGGCTGGGCAGGAAGGCGCGCAGGTGCCAGAGGCAGGAGCGGGTGCTGTCTAAGGGTCACATGAATGGTATGCATGCAGTTTGGAGTGAAGAATCTTGGAATAGACGTTTAGTGTCATTGGAAATATCGGTTACTTAACTATGTCTATGATTGCTTCTCTGGATAGTAGTGGCCCAGCAAGTAGTGGTATCACGTGCCATACCCAGCTTTTTACAGCCTATAGGGACACCATATCGAAAGCTCTGATGATGTATTCTCATCCACAAGCTTACCCAACCCAAGACTGCTCAACCCACGCATCAGCAGACATGAGCATCCATGCCCCCACACTCATGTGCCAGGCTCCATGATCCCCCACCCCAAGTATTACGCGGACCGATTCTCCAGTCTTGAAGATGCACTTCTCAGGCCAAGGCGCGCCGAAAAGTTCACCCGCACGCTTGTGAGGATGGGCCATTTGCCAAGATGGCGTGTCTTCTGGGGAAGGTGGTCGGTTCGCCTTCCCGATAGGAGGGATGCAAGGCGTGAATTACGGGCGTATTCGAGGCGATTGTCATCACTCGACGTGTCGCAAGCTCAGAGGGAGGGCCGAAGCAGCTGATGACGCACGTCCAGTCTCGGGGAGTCAGAGTGGTCCCCCACGCGTGATCTTCTCCACGTATGATGAAGCGTGACGACCAGATTTCAGGGCATTTGCTGGTGGGGTTTTAGTTAATGTATGCTCGAGAAATTGCTTTGCGTAGTTTACAGCGGAACAAGACTATGGGCGTAAGAGCATGATGCAGAGTAATTGACGAAGCTGGGGCAAGCTTGAACGGTGACTGGAGAGAAACTTTATGAGGGACTTTGTGGCCAGTATCACAGTTGCCCAATCACAGAGAGTCGAATGGCTGTACGGCAACTGTCCCCAGACAGGGTCGAATAGAAAGTGAGGCCAGTCATGTGATTGGCACCATGTAGCACGCAGCACGCGGGAGGCAGGATTGAGCGTAGACGGGCTGGCGTCATGTGCAAACAGCAAATACGGGGCCATGCAGAGTCTTGATGTATTCTCGGACGACACCATGGGCGGTGGTGGGCGTCGAGTAGTGAGGCAGACTTGGACTGGAGATGGTGCTAGCGTGAGGATGCTCGGAGGGCCGTTGTGGGCCCGCCGACGCTTTCCGCCGCCGCTACGGCCTTCCTCGCGCTTACATGTACTATGTGCGAGAAGCTTTCAACGACGCACAACAAAAATTTGCTCCATGCCATCCCATCCGATACCGGTCGACGCTGTAGAGCCGAGCCCCGGTGGAGATGGTCGTGTCAGAAGAATAGGAGGATTGGAGAGGGGCGAGCGAGGCCGTGGCTACGCTCGGCTCTGTGCGTGGGTGGGTGGCAGAGCATGCACACTGCCATAGGCCATGCACCATGTCCATCCGCCCACGCTGAAGGCAATGTCGCCGGCTGTGGGATAGACAGGCCGGCGGCATGTCAGGTCGCCATGGCTGTGGCTGCTGGCTGGCGGTAGCAAAAGCAAAGCGCTGTGTACATGGCAGATGGTGTCGCCATGTGCTGGTGGCAGAGGCGAGGCTTGGCATACGTAGGCGCCTTTTCCCTCTTGTTCTCGGCTTCGACGCATTTCCACCCGCCCAGCGCAAACCGCAAACCATGCAAACACGACGGCGGCCGCTGCGACGGCGGCCGTTTCCAGGGCGCCGGTTCCCCTCAGTCGCAATAAGCATTCCCGCTCTCCACTCTGCTCCCACCCTCTCCACTGCTCCCCACACGCCATGGCCCAATAAGCCACTGCATCAGTCTGGTTCCAGGTCGACCGCCCTGCCCTCACTAGCGCGAGCCGACGCAAGCCGAGCATCGTGCGCCGCCATGTCCAACACCACGACCATGCTGCACGATATATAGCCCGGACGCGCCATGGCCCAAGGTCACAAGACCGGCTGCAACCCCAGACTCTCTCCATCGCTGGCTCCGCACTGACGCCCACGCCGCCCTACAAGAGCGCCGCCCGCCCCAGCCTGACGGCCCACCACCACACCACACCACACCACACCGCACCACACCATCCCACGCCCACCACCGTGATGCTCCGGACACAGAACCTCCACCGCTTCCAGAGCCTTGCTCTTGCCCACTCCGCCAGGACCCTTTCACACACCCCCCGATACGTCCACCAGAGCGCACGCCAGAATGTCTCCATCCCTACGTCATCGGCTGCCTCATCCCACCACCTCCTTGCCCACCAGCCAGAGACGCACGTCGCCCAGACAAGGGCAGTTCTCGCCCGTCTCCCCACGTCCACTGTCCTCCGCTCCTACCTCATCACCGCCATGTCCTCGCAGCCACTGCTCCTCAATGCATGCTTTGCCCTCCTGCAGCGCATGCTCAACTCCAAGTCGTACCTCATGAGCATTGACCGCAACCCCGTGCTGTCCAACCTGCTCAAGAAGACGTTTTATGCTCAATTCTGCGTCGGAGAGCACAAGGACGAGGTGGTCAGGAACACCGACTTTGCCCGCACGTTGGGCTACGGCGGCATCCTTTTTGAGTACGCACTCGAGGTACTGGGCGGCGAGGCCCCGACCGCCGCCGAGACCAAGAAGGAGATTGAGGTATGGAGAAAGGGCATGCTGCAAAGCGTCGAGATGGCCAAGGCAGGCGACTTTGTTGGACTCAAGTACGTGCACCCGCGCACCGCCTTTCCCCAGAGCACGTGCTAACAATGCTGTAGATGGTCAGGTCTTGGACGCCAGGCGCTGAAGCTCCTCCAGAACCAGCAAGATGCTACCCCCGAGATGTGGGAGGCCATCACAGCAGCCTGCGATGCTGCCGCCGCAAAGGGCGTCAGCCTCCTTCCTGGCGCCGAGGAAGAAGCCACCAACCTGGGTCTTGAGAAGTGGACGCTTGCTCTCCAGAAAAAGTACAACACCCCCGAGCGAGGCCACGCCGTTCTCTACATCACTTACCAGTGCTACCTCCGCGACATCTCCAAGCGTCTGGCCAAGCACCTCGAAATGGCCTCCAAGGGCAACTACATTGCCGGTGTCAAGCTTGTACGCGGCGCATACCTGACTTCGGAGCCCAAGCACCTCACCTTTGACACAAAGGCCGGGACCGACGCCAACTACGATGCCTGCGCCGATGCTGTTGTCCGCCAGCAGTGGACCGACAATGTGCCTGCCCCCACTCCCGGCACTCCTTTCCCTCGCGTCAACATTGTTCTCGCAACCCACAACCTTGCTTCGGTGCAAGCCGCCCAGAAGATCCGTGCTGCTCAGATGCTCACCACCCCCGCCGAGCAGCTGCCACGTCTGACCTACGCCCAACTCCAAGGCATGGCCGATGAGATTTCCCAGGCCCTGGTCCAGGACGAGACAATGAAGGCCGACAAGCAGGCCAAGGTTGTCAAGTGCATGACCTGGGGCACCACCACCGAGTGCTTGAACTTTTTGCTTCGAAGGGCCAGTGAGAACAAGGAGGCTGCCCTCCGAACCGAGGACACGAGGCGCGCCATGGGCAAGGAGCTCTGGAGGCGTATGAAGGGAGTTTTTGGACTCGCCTAAACCAACGGCCTTTTCTTTAAAATCTTTCTTTCAGATTTTCCTTTGTTGAAGCGCAGCATAGCATTGAGCATGGCGTCTGGGGGGGGGGGGGGGGGGTTTTAGTCCTGCACCTACAGTCCATTGGTTTCCTGGATTCAAAGAGGACTTTGTATGGTTTTTTGGCATAGCGCATTTATGACACTTTGATATACCGGCAAATTCCAAATATAGCCCTGGCTTGTTACCATCTACCTTTGCTTTTGACCGCCCAAGTGAATCGTAGTTTTACTTGCACTTGCATACTACTCCGCTATGGTTAAATTAAAGCACTCTAGACAAATCTGAGCAGCCATCTTCAAGCATGGATTTTCTACCAAGTGTCACTCTTTTACATTGCATACACCTTGCGCTGACTAGGTTCAAGGCAATGTACGCCTGACAAAATACAAGGGCCTTGTGAGGCATTTACGTACCTAATTGCAACATGCCTTGGCAAAGCCATGGTTGCACTCACCTGAGGCACGACCAACTCGATTCAACACAATCTTCTTCACCACACGCTATGACGACAGTACCCTATAAGACGCCCCCTTGATCGTTCCTAAGGCCGACTAAAGCTTAGCCAAACATGCATGCATGCAACTTGCCACAGGCGAAAGCCGTTGACAGCGCCATTATAGGCTGGTCCCAGATCTTACGGGCAGCAGGCCGCGCAGCCGGCCGAGCTTGTCAGTTCGTGCGAATGCAGTACGTACGTACAATATTTTTTACCCCACATCTACTGGCTCAACCGCCCGTTACTTTCAACGTTGGGGTTGCTGACACACCTGGCACCGCTGCAGCTCATACCGGGGAGGCATGACACAGCCGCACGCAGCTGAAGCCCGCCATGCCTAGCCTTGCCAATCGTACCACCGCTTGGCCCCCAACGGTTGCCTATCAAGTGCGTTGCCGGTTTTCTTCTTGCGTGGCGGGTATTCCTGCAATGTCAGACGTAAGACAGCCAGCTATGACAGCGCTCGGCCGAAGTACCACACCGTGAGCCGCGAGGGAATGCGAGGCTGAAATGTCCAGCCATGTGCTAGTTACCTGGTATATATGTAGCTAGGGACCACGCTGAGTCTTAGCTCAGGCAGCACCTTTTCTTTCTTAATTATATAGGCCAGTCTACCTGTGCTATCATTTCACAACTCTCAAATCGTCCAGGAAGCCTGCAATCATGGCGTCCGACTCTGCTGATTCTGTCCCAATTCCGCAGCCTCCTCCACATTACTTTACTGGCAACCTCACAGAAATCGATCCAGATGACTCAGGCAGCTCCTTCCAGCGGCTTGCAGACATATATGGCGAGATTTTCCAGCTGGACATGCCAGGCCGCAAGGGCAAAGTCATTGTTGCCTCTTCCTACGACACAATAAACGACTGCTGTGACGGCGAGCGGTACGAAAAGGTCATCAATACTGCCCTCGAACAGGTCCGGGCTCTCGCTGGAGATGGCCTGTTCACAGCTTATTCTGGAGAAAAGGTTGGTCAAAACCATAGATTATGAAAGTTATACAGCTAACCGAGAGTTCAGGGCTGGGGCATTGCACACAGGCTGCTCATGCCTGTCTTTGGCCCAATGGGTATTCGCAAGATGTTTGACGAGATGATGGAAGTTTCCAGCCAGATGCTGCTTCGCTGGGATCGTTTCGGCCCAGACCACGAGATCAACTGCGGCGATGATTTCACGAGGCTCACATTCGAAATGATTGGTTTGTGCGCATTTGGATACAGATTCAACAACTTCTACACTGACCACCCACACCCGTTTGTCGACCAAATGGTCCAGGTTCTGCTTGAATCTGGAAGACGCGCCGGCCGAACCGCGCTCGAGAACAAGCTACGCATCTTTGCCGAGTCCAACCGTCAGGAAAACATCAAGAAGATGCATGATGTCTGCGACAAGATTATCGAGGCACGCATAGCAAACCCGCAACCCGGTGCCAAGGACCTGCTGAACCCCATGCTTGAGGGCGTCGACCCAGTCACTGGCGAGAGAATGTCAAAAGAGTTGATCCGCTACAACATGGTCACCTTTTTGATCGCTGGCCATGAAACCACGAGCGGTACGCTTGGTTACCTGTTTTACCATCTTCTCAAGAACCCCGAGAAATACCTCAAGGTTCAGCAGGAAGTTGACGAGGTTGTCGGAGACGGCCCTTTGAAACTTGAGCACCTCTCGCGCTTGGTTTACCTCAAGTTTAGCATTTACGAAGCGTTGCGGTTCAAGGGGCCCATTGCAGTCCTGGGCAAACATGCATTGAAGCCGACCAAGATTGCCGTAAGTTTTCACTCTTTCGGTTGTGAGTAGTAATTAAGAGTTTGATAGGGCAAATACCAAGTGCAACCCGAGGATATTATTGTCTGCAATCTGCCAGGTCTGCATCACGACCCCAAGATCTGGGGAGATGACGCCGATGTATTCCGGCCTGAGCGCTTCCTGAATGGCGGCTGGGAGAATCTACCGCCAAACTCTTGGAAGGCATTTGGTGACGGTGTGCGAGCCTGCATTGGACGTGCTTTTGCCGAGCAAGAAATGGTTATGACTGTTGCGCTCATTATGCAGAAATTCCAGGTCGAAATGGCTGACCCTGGATACCAACTGCGTAAGTACATCCGTCATGGCCCGAATGCCTACTCATTGCTGATTGATTGCAGACCTAGCAGTGTCTCTCACGTCGAAACCCAAGGATTTCAACATCAAGGTCCGCAGACGACCCGGACGTAGCATGGCTAGTCTGGGCGCTGTTGGAGGTGCCGCTCCATCGCAAACGCCCGCCTCCTCCGGCGCAGAGGCCAAAGACGGAGATGCCAGGGACGCAAAGCCCATTACCGTACTCTATGGATCGAATGCAGGCACTTGCAAGTCATACGCCGAGGACCTCGAGTCAAATGCAGCGCGATACGGATTCAAAGCCAATGTGAGCAGTTTGGACTCTGCGACTGAAAATATCCCAAAGGACCATCCAGTCATCATCATTGAGCCTTCGTACGAGGGGAAGCCGGCGGACAATGCGAAGAAGTTCACCGCGTGGCTGGAAAGCAGTGCAGAGACGAAAAAGCTCGAGGGCGTGCAGTATGCCGTGTTTGGTGTCGGCAACAGTGATTGGACTCACACGTACCATCGCGTGCCCAAGCTGACCGACGAACTGTTTGGAAAGATGGGTGCAACACGCTTCATGGAGACTGGCTTTGCCAACGTCAAAGAAGACCTCATGGGCTCGTGGGAAAGCTGGTCGGAGCAGATGTGGGCCAAACTTCGAGAAACGAGCGGCACCACGGTTGAAGTCCTCAATGGCGCACTCAAGGCTCAAATCACGCCTCCCAAGTTCGCCACGTACCTTGGAGGCAAAGACATTGCGTATGGCCTCGTCCAGGTCAACAAGGACTTGGGCGGCAGTGAAGTCGGACTGGCTAAGAAGCACATGGAAATCGTGCTGCCGCCCAATACCTCGTATCGCTCTGGCGACTATATGGTTGTGCTGCCACTGAACAACACGCTTACAGCAAAACGGGTCCTGAAGCGCTTCGACCTGGCGCCAGACGACACCATTGCCATTACTGGAACTAACAAGACGTTTCTCTCTACCGACGCTCCGATTGCCGTCTATGAGCTCCTGATGACGCGAGTCGAGCTCGGCACACCCATTTCGCAAAGGCAACTCCAGCTCCTCGCAAACGCAACGCCAGAAGATAAACGCGCTGAGCTGCTCAGACTCGCCAGCGACGAAGTATACAAGAGCGAAGTCATTCCCAAGCGCCTCACCATGCTGGACCTCCTCGAAGACCACCCAGACTGCACCCTCCCCTTTTCCGTCTACCTCGACTCACTCAAACCGCTCGCGCCCCGCCAATACAGCATTTCCAGCTCGCCGCTCGCCAACGTGGAATTCGTCCAGGCGGCCGACGGCAGCACCGCGCAGCGCCTCACCGCAACCGTGACGTACGACGTACACGACGAGCCGGCATGGAGCGGGCACAACCGCCGCTTCTACGGCGTCGCATCCACGTATCTCGCGCGCGCCGAGCCCGGCGACAAAATCCGCTGCTTCACACGCCCGACAAACACCAATTTCCATCTCCCCACCGACCCGACCACCCCGCTCATCATGATCTGCGCCGGCTCCGGTATCGCGCCCATGCGCGGCTTCATCCAGGAACGCGCCACCATCAAGCAAGCCCGCAACGCGGCCCTCGGCCCCGCAATCCTGTACTTTGGATGCCGCGACTACCAGCACGACTACATGTACGCTGAAGAGCTCGCGCGCTGGCAAGCCGACGGCATCGTCACCGTGCGCCCCTGCTTCTCCAAGTCCGCGCCAGCAGGCCAGAAACCGCAGCGTGTGCCCGACCGCATGTGGGATGAGCGCAAGGAGTTGGCGGAATTGTTTGGTCAGCGCGGCGCCAAAATCTTCCTCTGTGGTAGTGCGAGTAAGTTGGCCAAGAGTACCGCCAAAGTGGTCATCCGTATTTTCAGGGATCTGCACCCGGAGAAGACGGAGGAGGAGGCGCTGGAGTGGCTGGAGAGGGTCAAGGAGGATCGCTTTGTTAGTGATGTTTTTGAGTAGGTGGAGGTTAGGTTTAGTTTGGTTCGTTTTTCGTCTTGGGTTCCCCTCGTTCTTTTTTTTTGGGACGTGCATGATGGGTCGTGTTGTGGCTTTTTCATACTTGGTTGTTCTGTCGTTTAGCCTTTTGGATATGGAGTTACTGGGTAGTACTTGGGCGAAGTGTCAAGTGATTTGAGTCACGCAATTGAAGAGAAATTCCCGCAGAGTCTTCTTTCGCATATAGTGTCTTCTTCTTCTTCTTGCTGAGAATTTGTTTCTTGCTTTGGAATTGGTGTGGAGTTGGGTGTTGGTGTTGGATATAGGGGTTTTTTTTTGGATGGACATCTTTGGCCATGTTGACACTGACTGACTGGATGACTGAATGACTACCCTACACAGCACCCCATGCTTTCCTTCAGAAATCCCTCATGGTACTTTGGGGGATGGTTTCTGGTTGTGTGGAGGGGGATGGGTGACATTGGGGCTTATTGTTCAAGGGAATAATCCTGTGTCCAAGTACATAGTAAAAGATTGATGTCACACTACTTCGACGAGAGACTGTGTGTACTGCGGCGTTTTGGAATGGTGCGCTGCAGTGGTATTTACTGAGTGCTTGAAGAGTAGAGGGAAGTGTGGAGGCAAATAGCAGATAGAAACTTGGTTCAAGTGATCTTTGTATTGGATCACTGCTCGAGAAAAGTACTTGAGCAGGTCAGCTATATATACCGTAGGCTCTAGGGCTAGTCCCAGTACAGTAGCTCACGTAACATATGAAATAAGTACCAAAGGCGCTTGGCAAAGCCGTGTACGGGTGCCCAATAGGAAGAAAATAGGGAAAGGGACTTTGGTATGGTGGACCGTATACTTACAGACGCGAGGCTGACCGACGATACAGCTTGAAAAAGGACGTCTGTTATCGTATTATCCTACGTCTCCAGGGGAAGTCAGTCTTGCACAACACCTGACACAATAGATGTGATAACAAGTATCTTAACCATTCTAAGGGAAATGTTGTTGCAATGTCCAGTCATGACGATGAAGGCAGTCGGCTAGCGTCAGATACTGTATGCATGACGTCACGTGAAAACGATAAACCCTCAAGTCCCTACTAGGGTAACCTCCTTCCTCACCAGTCTCATTACCGCTACCATGTTATCATCATAGTCGCACACGTATTTCAAGTCATGGACTTGCTCAATCTCGACTGTAGCTCCGACCTGAAATCTTATCAACGAAACCTCGGCCCCCGCACGCAGACGTATTGCTTCGAGGAGACCAACGATACCATACGAGCGCAAATGGACGACCACCGAGTAGATCTGCTGAGCCATGGGCAGATTGATTCCCCTACCAATCTTGCGGGTGTGTCGCAAGTGGTAGCGCAGAGTGATACTCAGCAAAGTGCCTCTGGTCAAATTCCGTCACAGCCGCAAGCGTCCGAGCAGACGCGCCGCGAGAGTTTAGAAGAGTTGAGCGACGATGATATGGCCGAGTTCCCATTAGAACTCCAAGAGGTGCTGGAAGAATGCGCTAAGATGTATCCCGACGAAGTCGATCTCGATTACTGCTACGAGATCGTTGCGGACACGGCCAGTCATTACGTGGAGGACGAAACGGGTGTCGTCGGGACCAGCCAGACTTTGAAGGAAGCCAACAAAGAAGCCGTACGGTTTTACGTAGATGAAGGATACTATGCCTCAGGCGACTCACCTGAGTACGAGGCAATGGAAGACGGCAGTCTTCAGATTCGAGTCACCACAGATGGCTCAACGGCAGGTGACGTGACTATATACATAAAAGAAGTACCTGTGAGACGAACCTTTGGTCGCAATGTATGATGGCGTTCATAGCATACTATGTTGTATTTCATACTGGCTCCAATTCATCTACTACACACTTGCGTTGTCACCACTGCAAGTCTTGATATGAATTCTTCTCTTCTGATGACCACACCAAGCATGAAGCGAGCCCAGCTCACTCAACCGCACTGTCTGGCGTCATTTCAGGCTCCGTCGGAGCTGTGATCGCTCCTTACCCAACGGCATGTTCGAAACAGTCATGTCAAGTGAGCTGGGCTAATGCGACAAGCGGGAAATTAAAGGATGTGCGGCGTTGTCTTGAGAGAATTGCCATACCCCGTACAACCCAGCTCCATATCCCCCCGCCCATCATCCTTGTACCTACCCCCCCTGTATCCGTACATGGACAGCAAGCAAAGCAAATAACACGTAGCCCTGTAACTATCAATGCAAAAGTAAGATTCCTGGATTTGCCATTTGCCCGAAGCCATTTCAATCACCCAGTGCAGATATGCCGCTCCAACATACCCCGTCATCATCAGCCCACGAACCACCACCCCATTTACCCGCACGTGTGAGCGTGTTTCACGCTCTCTCTCTCTCTCTCTCTCTCTCTCTCTCATCCACGCATTCCCCCGTTCCCTTACCAAAATAAGCGGCAAAACACTCGCACGCACACGCACAAACCCACAACCCTTAGACAACGCCTCAGTACCACCCGGGTTTGACATAGAATACCCCCAATTCACACTCTTGTGCTTGGAAAAGCCGTATCGGGAGTCTTGGCCATGTATCCATCTTGGCAACGGCTCGGCACATGTGCATGTTGCATGTTGCATGTGGCATGTGCAAGCAAGCCGGCACGCATGACGGGGCGGAGAAATTTCCACCACACACACACACATACATACATACACACATACACACACGTGTGGGACTTGCGAAATTTGGATTGATTGCGCGCGTGCGAGACGCAGCTTCGCTACTAGCTAGCTAGCCAGCTACGTAAGTACTACGACGATTTCTCGTTGGTGCCGTCGGCAGTACTGTACTGTGCCTACGCAGCGCGCTAGTACTGACGCGGGAGGCCAACGCCAAAAAAAGGGTTGCAGGTTTAGTTGGGGTTTCCGCTGTAATATCAAACGGCGCGGGATGAGGAAGGTGGGTGGGCAAGTGCCGAGGCTCGCGGGCGGCATATAGAGGCGTACTACATAGAGATGAAGGATTGCGGAGAGCGGGGTGTGGAGCGGCATTCTCCTATTCCTTACTTGATTCCTTTATTCCTGCTTGCGGGGTAAAGCAACAAGGAGTACCTTATCGATATGGGCATGTGCTGCGTGGCGATCACATCTACTTCTAGGGCTGCGGGGCGGGTGCGGTGGGTTATTTCGATGCATCGGGGTACGTAGTGAGGTTACTGGTGGGATAACACATGCCTAAGCGTGAGGATGAATGAATGAATGATTGGGATTGTTGACATGAGTAAGAACACAGCGAGACGTAAGTAATCAAGCAAGCAAGCAAGCAAGCGAAGTAGATTATACGCAACCGACCCGAAGATTTTGCGAAAAAAAAATTAATCATATATGGAAGCGAGTAAGGAAGGTAAGCGGAAAGCGTGCGATAATGTCCACAAACTAAGTTTGCAGCATGAGTCCCATACATTACATATCCAGATGGAGCCGGATATACAGTTACACCATAGCACCCCTACCCTACCCTAGTCATTCCATCCACCCATCCAATCACACATATTTCCCTTCCTACTCCTCCCTCCTCCCCCTGCATTCTCCACCGCACCGCCAAGAATCCCCCCCAAAAAAAAGAAGGGAGAGAAGAAAAGCAGACAAAACTACCAAATCCTCCGACAAGCAAAAAAAAAGAAAAAAAAAGAAAAAAAAAAGAAAAAAAAAAGAAGAGCACAAAAAGTGGAAACAAAAAAAAAGTCCATGGAGAACCCCCCTCCGCGGACACACACGACCAAAGGACTCTGATCAGACTAAGAACTATGTAAGTAGTTAACCAACCCGCTATTAAAGTGACTGTTTCAAAACTTTAAATTGCACATGCAAGGCCGAGATTGCCAAGCCCTTTTTGCTGCAGTGCCCCGTTGATCCCTGCACATGCCGCGTGATATAAAGTGTGCTGTACAGTATATTTTTCCGTGTGTGTTTTCAAGTCCGCGGGGTGGGGACAAAACGGAGGGGGATACGCGCGAGAGGGAGAGAGAGAGAGAGGGAGAAATGCAGACAAGACAGAAGCAAGCAAATCAATCAAGCAGCGAGAAAAGAAAAAAAGAAAGAGGACACGGTAAGTAGATTGAGGAAGGAAGGAAGAGAGGAAGAAAAAAAGTTGAATAAGAAATATATTTTGAGTTTGGTTACTATGTACAGTAGGTTCCGCTTGCTTGGGACCGTTTACTTAGGAAATCTAGCCATGTATGTATATTTATCCATGACCTTTTTTTCTTTCTTTCTGACGAGGCGTTTTCTGACTTTCCTTCCTCTTCCTCTTCCATTGTCTTCTCTTCCCAGCACACATCTATACCTATATAGAACTATTCACCGCACCGCACCGCACCGCACCGCACTACCTGATCCCCCCATTTTCCCCCTTTCCCCGCGCTTAGTCGTGCAAAGCGGCCAAGGGAACCAGGGCCCAGCGGGAAGTATGTACAAGTGAAAATGGAAGGAGCCAGGGGGGCCAGTGGGGAAAACGGTAATTAGATTGGGCTTAGAATATCTAGCGTTACGCTCGTTTGGTTGTTTCCAAGGGCTTGTCCCCATTTTCTGGGGGGGGGGGGAGGGGTATTTACGTCTTCTGACGTGTGATGTGTTTCTGCGCCTTGGGCCTCGGAAAGTGCATGTATGTATATGTATGTATGTATATTCGTTGCCAAGTAGACTTGTGCATAGGCCATGCATAACTGCGGCAGCGGAGCGCAAAGAAAAATAAAAAAGGGTGGATATTATTCCGTCTTTGATGGTGTGTCTTGGTGTGTATGCAAGGGTGGCTCGGTTCCTTTCTTTTTGGCCTTCCTCCTTCTCTCTGACACTGGCCTTGTTTAAATTTGTGGGAAAGGGAATTCCCAAATTTGATTTCCTTTCTCTTTCTCTTTCTTTCTTTCCTTTCCTTCTTGCTCATCGCAAAATACACCTCCAAATCATGCTTCAACTCCCCAGCCTCACAGCCGCCGTGCTGGCATTGGCCTCTCTCGCCTCTGCGCAGTGCGGCTCCGGGTCGCCCGCAGCCAGAGTCACAGGCTCAGGCGGCACCTTTATTGCGATGAAAGGGACACAGTCTCTATACACAGGCACCGACTACTACCGCGCGATCCAAAGCGCCGTCGACGGCATCAGCAGCGGACAGCGCGTGTCCATCATGGCCTCGGGCAACATTGGCGCCAACACCATAACCATTACCAGCGGCAAGACTTTCGAAGGATGCGGTACCATTACCGCGGCCATCAAGAGCGGCAGAGGCAACATCGAAGTGACGGACCAGTCTGGCGTCAACATCCCGTACTTGACCATGGCGGGCTCCACGTACTTTGGCATGCGCTTCTCCGGCGCGCGCGACCTCACGCTGGGCAAGATTAATTTCAATCTGCAGAACGGCATGGGCATCCGGTTTGATCGCGATCGCGCGGCGAATACCAATGTCAAGATGGATACTATCACGTGCAATGGCGGCACCTCGCACTGCGTCGAGACGTGGAATATCGATCGCTTGGAGGTGGGTAGCGTCATTGGCAAGAACGTCGGCGAGTGCGGATTGTTGCTGCAGAAAGTGACGAATGCGAATGTGGGACTGGTTGACTGCGACAATTGCGGTGCTGGAACGGGGTATGCGGCTCTGCGCTTTGCGAATGAAGCCGGAAAGCTGAATGGCGCCTACTCGACCAACATCCGTGTGTCGAGCGTCAAGGCGCGTGGAGGCGGTCGCGGCGTCTTTTGCGTATCGCAGTCTGGTGGTGCGGAAATCGGGACCGTCGACCTGGCCAACACCGGAAACAACGCGGTTCTGATTGAGAACTGCTACAACGTCAACATCAAGGGTGGAACGGTCAATGGCGGCGGAGAAGTGCGTTTGTCGGCGAGAACGGAATTTGCAAACAGCAAAGACATTGCCATCACGCTGCGTGTTGATGGAACCACGGTCAGAGAGAGCCCCTGTGCGGCCAACAAGACCAAGTGGAACCTCTCTGGTAACGGTGGACGGACTATTTGCTGAGTGTGTTCTGAATTTGAGGAGTGGACATGCACAATTTATTCTTGTACATATTGGTACTTCGTATATATGGAAGCAATCATTCGACAATTGTTCAGTGTCAACTCAGACTACCCTGGTAAGTAGATCCTACACTTACAATTAGTAAGGGAAGAGATGATGGTTGAATGCCATTGTGGAAGCAACATTAACCCACGCACGCCTCATCCCATCTCTTCAGCCCCTCCATCTGCATTGTTTCATACCACTTCTTCACGTATTCTAGCCCCGCATGTGGTCCGTATACCTTCTTTTCCCATTGATGTACGGGCGGCTTCAGCCCCGTCTCTAACTCACACGTGCGCATCAAGTCGCTGATCGTGCCGCCACGATCTATCGTGTCATGAGTGCTATAGCCTTGGTGCGCACGCTCGTCGCGTTGTTTTCCTCGAAGATGTGACGTGGCAGCTTCGTCGACTGCAAATGTGCGAGCATCGACGATGACGCCGTAGTTGGCCTTGGCCCCTTCAACTGTGACAAGACGGCGGTGGACTTCCTTGGCCACTTGCTCCGGGGGACGTGTAAGGGGATCGCCAAGACCTCCACCGCCCCAGGTTATCCATTCAAGAGTGTCTCCTGGAAGCTGTTAATCATCACGTTGAGTCGCTCCCGATTCAGAACTCACCTGGGTAGACGTGTATGTAGTCCTGCTTGGAGTGACACATCTCAGTATTTTCCTTCTCTGCCGCCGTGCCGTAGCTGTTGTTCCGATACAACACCTTCCTCGATCTGCTCCCTGGCTTGCCACCATTCACACCCCAAGGCTTCACCAGCCACCTATCGTCATGGATGCTAACATCTCCCTCACACAAGAATCTGTAAATCGTTCTTTGTGCATTGCCACCGCGATAGTACCCGGCACCTCCCGAGTCTGGCAAGGCTTCGTTCGCCTCGATGATGACTGGAAAATAAAGCTCGATGCTCTCAGACGGTATTGACTTGATGGCTGGAAACAGACAGTGACAGTCAGGTCCATCTCCGATAGGCCGTGCAGGAACGCCGCCAAATCCAATCTGATAGAGCAAAAAGAATTCACCATCAGGCTTGAAGCCAGAGAAAAAGAGATGTGGTGAGTCTGAGAAGCCAGCCGCGCAACGATAATCAGGGTTCTGTTGGCCAAAAAGCGCCTGCAGGATATCCATCACTCGGCCAAGGAGATGAGTTCGGCAGCTGACGGCAGCTGGGCGGACGGGACGAAGAATCGAACCGGTCGGGATCCGAACGTCGATTAGGTCGTGAAAACCGTCGTTGACAAGGGCGTGGGGATCGTAGACTGCCAGAAGATAATAGCCAATGAACATCTTGAACATTGTGACTGAGAGGTAGAAATTCATCGAAGTACTGGACTGAGGCGATGTGCCGTCCCAGTCAAATACGAGCTTGCCATTCTCCTTCTTCATGGAGCAAGAAATGGCATATGGGCCTACGCCTTGTCCGTCATCGTCGATGAAATCGGTAAAACTCGTTACTTGGTCGCCGAGTTTCTCATCGATCATGGTCTTGATAGCAATCTTGTTTTGCTCCAGTAGCCAATCGGCGGCGGCCTCGTACACTTGGGGTGTATAACGGTCGCAGAGCTCCACGACCCGAGTAGCGGCAGTGCGACATGCAGTGACAAGTGCCATAAGATCGCTACGGAACCAATCCGGCATCCTAGAATTGCGGAACATGACGGTTGCAAGACTCTCGTTGTAGACGCCTTTTGCGTAGAGCTTGACAATCGGAATCTGCAGACCGTCTTCGAAGATTGTGCCGGCATTGATACTCATGGATCCCGGGACCTTGGCTTGTACATCAGTCAAATGACCAAAGTTTGCAGCCCAACCGATGAGCCGATGCTCGTAGTATATGGGCAGAAGAACGACAAGGTCATTGAGGTGCGACACGGCACCGTCAATCTGGTAGACGTCGTTGGTGATGAAAATGTCGCCTTCCTCAATTGAACCATCCCAGCTGTTCAGAAATTCCGGGATAAAAGAACCAAATTGGCCAACCAGCATTTCGCCACTGATATTGGTGATGACGTTGAACTCGTCTTGCTGCTCGCGAATAGCCGGGCTCATCGCACAGCGAAGCATCTACAGTTGGATCAAGTCAGCATGTATCTCGCGCTTTTTGTCGATCTACTAACCAGGGTATCCATCTCCCTTCGAATGGAGCCAAGTGCAGAAGCGATGAGAGTGGCGATGATGGGTTGCTCTTTGAGAAGTGCTTGTGCGGATTCCTTGGTATGCACCGCTTTTTTCGACTCCTTCTTTTCTACAGGCCATATGAGGATATTTCCCATGGAGTCCGTCTCACCAAAGTATCCAGGCAGGATCAAAGTATTCGAGTCCATCTCCGAGATGACGGCTGGACCACGAATAATTTTGCCGGCACCACCAAGTAATGTACGGTCCCAGAATGTTGCCTCGACTTGCTTGCCTTGGCATGTAATGGTTTGTCTAGCCATGATTGCATCCTCGCATGGCTCTGACGTGTCAGATTTTTCGATAGGCTTCAAGGTCACTTCTTCAGAAGCATCAATGACTTTGGCACGCAAGCGCATGGTTTCGATATCAGTATCGGCATTCGCAAAGCCAAATTGTTTCTCATGCGCCTTATTAAACCTATTGCGCAAAGCTTCGAGTACGTTTGGTGAACCATCAAGCTCACCAGGATTCATGTCAACGGCAAGCGTCATGGCCTGACCTTTATATCGCATGTCGGCTTGATATACGACATTCAGTGCAGCGTCATCGTTTGCAAGCGAAGCCTTCATTTTGAAAATACCGCTTTCTCTGAGACGATGTAGCGTGTCCTTGAGCTCCGTTACGCAAATCTGTGAAAAATTGCGGATGAACGTGCAGCTCTGCTCATAAGACATTTTTGTAATGGCATCGCCCTGTGCGCACAGCACTCCAGGAGACGGCGGAACAATTACAGGCCACGAGCCCAGCAGCTTACCCAGAGCGTTGCCATGGAGAGGCCCAGCCCCACCGAGTGCAACGAGGGCAAAATCTCTTGGATCATAGCCTTGTTCAACAGAGACCAACCGAAGAGCGCCATGCATGGACTCGTTGACAAGATCAATGATACCTTCAGCAGCCGATACAGTGTCCATGCCCATCTGTTTGGCGATGGACTCGACTGCTGCAGTGGAGGCGGCAACGTCGAGTTCGAATTTGCCGCCGAGCAGCTTGGACGGAAGTCTCCCCAAGGCCAAGTTGGCATCCGTAACGGTTGCTTGGGTGCCGCCTTTTCCATAAGCGGCAGGTCCCGGCGTTGCACCACTAGATTCTGGCCCCACACGTAGACTCTTGGTGAAGTCGTTGTATACAGCAATAGAGCCGCCTCCGGCCCCGACCGTATTCACATCGACGGATGGTGCGCGCACTGACAAATGGCCGACTTCAGTCTCCTGTCGGATGATGGCGTTGCCTCCCGAGAGCAGAGCGCAGTCAGTACTTGTGCCGCCCATGTCAAAAGTAATCAGGTTCTTGTAAGGTGTCTGTTTGGAAACTAGATGCGAGACGGCCTTGACGCCACCGGCTGGGCCACTCATGAGGATTCGCACAGGCGTTTCGCCCGCCAGCTGCAGCGAAGTCAGGTCCCCATCAGACTTTAGTATACGAATGGTATCGGTGTCGTTGGAAAGCTTCTTTTGGAGATTCTGCATATATGTTTTGACTATCGGCTTGACTATTGCATTGGCGGTCGTTGTGGCGGTGCGCTCGTATTCTTGTATTTCTGGGAGGACGTCGGTTGACGTGACAATCTCGATGTGCGGGCCAAATTCTTCACTTAGAATAGACTTGATCCGCTTTTCATGGGTGTTGTTGGCGAAGGAGTTGAGCAGCGACACGGCAATTGCCTGTGGCTCTTGCTGCTTGAGGTCCTGCAGATCCTCTCGAAAGCGCTCTTCGTCAAACTCGGAATAGACGCTGCCGTCAATCTTGATGCGCTCCTTGGCTTCGACTGTTCTCTCCAGAGGTACGAGGGGCTCGGGTTGGTGGTAGTTCATCCAGGCGCCGAGCCCACCTGGTATGTGGCTCCGCCTGACGGCGAGGATGTCCTTGTGGCCCTTTGTGACGACCAGGCCGCACTTGGCGCCCTTGCCCTCGAGGACGGCATTGGTGGCGGTCGTGGTGCCGTGGTGGATGTATTCAAAGCTACCGTCCCAGCCGTGCCTGTCTTTTAGTATCTTGCGGGCCTGCTGCACGCCCTCGTGCACGCCAATCGACTGGTCGTGGACGTTGGTGGGGACTTTTGTGCGGATAGCCTCTCCAGTGGGGGTAATGACGCAGACTAGACTCGGTTAGGTGCTGAATTGTAGAGGGCTGCACAGCCAAAGGCATACCGTCGGTAAAGGTCCTGGGCGTGTGTCAGCCGCACGTCGGTAACGGTCTTGGGGGGGTGGCGCCTGATGGAGATGCGATGCATAGCCAGACTCGAGCACTGGATAGCGGCTGTCGCGGGCGCGTTGCACAGCAAGTCTTTGGTAGCGGCACACTACTCACCCTCCAACATCAACACCCAGCCTGTATCCTGGGACAGCCATGGTGGCGTGGCGATGGCTGGGCGTGACGGGCGACGGGCAGCTATATAAGCATCGACGGCAAACGGGCCCTCTCGCTGGCCGGCGCTGCGTCATGCCTTAACGATGCTTTTCTGGCCGACCGACGACGGGCAACGGCAGCTAACCAAGTCCCAAGACTTGTTATCAATTGCCCCACGGGTGCTGCTGTCGCCTTAGTGCAGCGATCGACTCTGTACAGCACAATCCACGCGAAGCTGCTAGCAGCACCATTACGCAAGGCCGCCGTCTAAGGAGCGCACACAGCGCCGTCGAATTTTTGGCTCCAATAACTCACTCTGGGCCTGGCCGGCGATGCGCGACCGACACCGACATGGTTGCTGGCGTGCGGGGCCCGCCGAGTGGAGTCTCGATTCTGATTCGGTTTGCGGCCAGTGCCAGTGGACAACAGCCGTCTTGGGGCCTGGGATGGGTGTAGGGCGCGCGAGGGCTGCGAGAATTGCCCGTTGCCGTTGCAGTGCGCTGCATGACGTCGAGATAGCTTCGTGGTGGAGAGAGAGGCGAGAGAGGCGAGAGAGGCGAGAGAGGCGAGAGAGAGAAGCGGGCACGTGCGTCGTCATGTGCTGCTCCGCTCCCCCCGATGGCCATTGATTGCTATACTCTGGCTATGCTATACTCTGGCTATGCTATACCATCGCTGTCTATACCCATTGCTACACCGCACCGCATCGCTAGCTCGGCCCCAGCTTCGCTGCCGCTGCCCGTTGCCGCTAGCAGAGCCTGTCAGCCCTGTGTAGCTTTCACTTTTGTCGGCTAGGGAAGACGGCCCCTTGCTAGTGGTGACCTGGCATGTGCATCCTTGCTATACCCATGTTATGTAATATCCGAAACTCTATCACGAGATGTTGTGTATCGTTGCCTTCTACCCCATCGCCCGGCTACCTTCGTCCGTCCTCCCAAGCACACACACACATACGCCTTATCGGGCTGCCAGCATCTCCACAAACTTATCTCCCAGTGCATTCGCCGCCATGGGGTTGTCTCCGGTCACCAGCTCTCTGTCCACGGTGATACTGCCCGCACTCTTCGCAACGCCCTCCTGCATGTCAGCCCCCTCTTCCCTTAGCCCACTCTCCACCTTGTCAATCTCCCCTCTGAGTATCGTCTCCATGACCTTTTCCTCGGCGTCCGACCAGCTCGTCATCTTGTAGCCCTTGTACTCAAACCTCTTCTTGGGCCCGTACTTGGTCGACAGAAATGCCCAGGGACCGTGGCAAATGGCTGCCGTCGGCTTCGACTCGGCATGGAAATGGGACAGCACTCGGCCCAGCTCCGCATTGTCGCCCAGATCCCTCAAGGGCGCGTGGCCGCCCGGGATGAAGACGCCGCTGAACCCCTTGAGCTCCTCATCGCTAATCTCAGAAAACTTCCTTGGCCTCGCAAATCCGTTTTCCCTCTTCATCCTCTCAATCAGCTCCAGTTCGCGCTGCTTCTCGTAGTAGTTGCCTGCAAATGCGGCAAGCGAGACGCTCAGAGGGTCTGGTGTGGGCTCTTTGCCTTCGGGCGAGGCGAACGTGACTTCATAGCCTGCGTCTAGGATCTTGGACAGGGGCTTCGCAAGCTCCATCAGAAAGTAGCCAGAATCCTGGGAGACTGTCTTTCCATCACTGCCCGTGTTGTACAGGGGAAACGAGCTGGCGTCGGAGAGAATGATAAGGACCTTTTTGCTTGGCGCCATTGTGATTGTATGCAGGTGTTGTCGTTGGTGTTTTTTGTTAGGTTGAAGAGAGATGAGAATTGAAGGGCATCTGGTAGTGTTGTCGAGGTTGAAAAGATGACCATGTGTTTTGTTGATGAAGGTATTGCTGGTTTCATGCGCAGGTCAGTATGACGTAGCCAAATATCGACGCGCTGCCAACGTCACACGCAACTTGACAGCCCAACTGGTTATGTGATCTTCTTTGCAATGCCAAATCCGTAATTTCATTACCGGACGATCTCGGCATATCAGCATGCTGCAAGTAGGTGCAATGGCTACGTTCCTTCCCTTTTCGGCGCTTCTACAATGCATGACTCGTGCATCTCGACTTCGTCTACACAGACTAAAACCGTTGGGACAGCATCGCTCAACACACAGCTGCACATTTAGCAGGCATATTCCAGGGCGACTAGAATTTTCGGCATTCACCTAACCTAAACACGCTAGCACACGCAAGGGGAAGGAAAACCGAACAAGACATGGAGTAGGTCTCTCCATGGATACTAGATAGAGGGCAAAAAAAGTCAAAGTGGAATGTCAAGCGAGACACAACATGGACATGAATGTAAGCATCTAGTCGAGCAAGTGGAGATGCAATAGTCGCTCACAACACATAGTGGGTCTTATCTAGAAGAGAACACGTTGAATTTCTTACATTAATCGTGACTGACGGTAGGATCCCAGGCGCAAGGCTCATATACTCCTAGGTCTAGACTCTTCATGTCCTCGTGCGTGAGCTCAAAGTCAAAAAGCTGGGTATTCTCCTCGATTCTCGACTTGGTAACAGACTTGGGAAGCGGCACAAAGCCCTATCATGGTTAGTGCATGGTTGTCTGTATCAAATTGCTTACATACCATCTGCAAGCTCCATCTCAGCAAGACCTGCGAAGGTGTCTTGTTGTACTTTTGCGCAAGCGACTTTATCAGCGGATCGTCGTTCTTTGTAGTCCGCACGAGCGGTGAATATGCTTCGCACAAGACGCCTCGCTTTTTGCACCACTCGACAATATCAGGGCGTGCAAGCCAAGGGTGGAGTTCGATCTGGTTGACGCTAATCACACCACCCTTTCCTTTACCCTCCTTTTCCTCCGTCTCCTTGATCCAGGCCTCAAGCTCATCCAGATGATGCACGCCGTAGTTGGACACGCCGATGGAGCGTATCTTGCCAGCTTGTACACCCTCAACCAGCGCTTTCCATGCGCCTATTCGGTTTTCCTTGCCACCGTATGGGCTGTGTAGTAGGTAAAGATCGACGTAATCAAACCCAGTAATCTGCAACGTATTTTCAATGTGCTTTTTCGCCGTGTCGTATGACATTTCCTTTGGTGGGATCTTTGTCGTGAAGAACAGCTCCGCCCTTGGAATTCCAGACTGCTTCATTCCCTGCGCAGAAGGGGCTTCGTTCTTGTAGGCTACTGCCGAGTCGACATGGCGATAGCCGACTTTGAGCGCATGGTGAACCACATCTGCAGCAATGTCTGCAGGCGTCTGATACACGCCGTAGCCGAGCACAGGAATCATGTAGCCCGATGGCATCGAGTATTGGGAGTTGATGCTCAGACCCGCCATGGTGGCCGAAGAGGTGTGAAAGAAGCGTGGTGACGCGGTGCGGGGCAGTTGAGAGCTCAGGTGCAGGACTCTTCTCAGAGCAGTTTGCATGCTATTGCTGGGTGAAGAGGGAGAGGTGCATGTGCCGTGTGCAATTGGGCTTTGTGAGTTTTAAAGCATCAATTGTACACCTACTGACGCATCAAGTACGCAGCCTGCGGACATACGGGCGGGCTGCGGAGATTTCGGGAATAAGGCATGCGGACCAATCAGCCACGCGCACTGCTCTCGGTGGATTGCGCCGGATTTTCGGGCTTCGTCGGACTTGTCAGAGCTCGCCATGACAACGCCCTCGCCTTCACGACTTGGCCGCATACTAATTAGTCGCACAGCTGCCTTGCCGTCTTATGCCACCATCCGCCCCAGAACGGGTCTATTAGTGTCCATTTCCCACATCCATGTCCCACAGCGCCGGGATATGCGGCACAGCATGCAATTAACCCGGAGAGCACCATCAACCGGTTAAATATCTGCCGTCTCCTATCACGCTCGAAGCGCTTATCTCAGCCGCTCGCATCTTCTTTTCTCAAAGACTTGGACACAAGCACCGCGTCTATACGTGCCATGCGTACCCTGGGCGGCTTCGCGGGCCTCAGCTGCACGGAACCCGAGTCGACGGACGCCGTAAGCGCTAGAAGGGCCGAAGAAGATCTGGGGAACATGGCAGTACAGAACGCCAGTGGGGCGAAAAGCACAGGTCGAGACGGCCAGAAGCCACCTTGGGTGCCTATACAGGCTGACAGGACCCAGCCCATCCCCGGCTTTTCTCTCTGTGCTCTGAGATGGTACCAAGAGCATGCTGCTGCTCCGAGGACGTACCTGCTTACAGGCCTGAGTCCATATCCATATTCACCGGTGGATTGACGTAGGGTTTGGCCCTCCTGCAGCGTCTCAGGAGCAGTCTCGCGGTTTTAGCCTTGGCAGAGTGTAGGCGCCCAACACTTTTCTCACATTAGCCGAAAACGCGCTGTGCAACCGACTCTCAAAGGTCTCAGATCTCAGGTCTCCGGTCTCCGATAGTACCTCTGAACTGGTGGCCCATCTCAGCGGTGGCTTCAAGCTTGGTCCTACTGCCGGCGTGTGAACAAGGGGACCGGCCAGCTAGAGACATCATCAGTCAGCCATGGACGAGAAGAGGGTGGCATGCTGACGCGCACGTGCGACATTACCTCACGAGTCTGTTCAGAAATCTGCCCCCGCCCGACAGACGCTGCATGGTGCGGCTAAATGGCTGCAGTTCAACAAGGCCATCATCATTTGGCCAAACCCATTGTTCGAATCCATACAAAAGGGGACACTTTGATCATGGGCACACATGTTGATCATAATTACATGTTTGCCTCGCCATGTTCCAGCAGTTTGGTCCTATAATTACCTTGTCCACCTAGTTCTATCTGTTGACCCATGCTCTCGGTCATGGCTCTATTGGGAGAAGCTTGCGCATGCATGCTTTTCTCACGACTCTCAGCTTGTCGTCCGTTCGGCAATGCGGAGGAGATCCCGTGGGACTGACCAATGCCACCAATGCCACCTACGCCGAGTACGCCCTGCTGCCTCCCGCGCTCCCTGCTCGTATTGCCATTGGATGCTAATTCTCCAACACGAGGCCAAAGGCTGCTGTCGGCATTCAACAGCCAGCGTCTGACACTTCGGTGACTTCCGAGCCACTGCAAGATGCACCCCGACTGGTGGACGTGGGGGTGAAGCACGCTTCCTTGACGCTTACCATCCATCTCGTCACGTTCTGGAATTCTCAACAAAGACAATAAGCAGCCTATCAAGGCTTGCAGAAAAGCCATGGCTACGTCAAGCCCTAGCCCTTCCCTTGTTTCATTGGATCCTTCTGCTGCAAGGCCGCTGCCAGCCGTTCTAGCTCTCAAAGTAGGCTTGACCGGGCCGCTGGAGACTTGGAAGAAGAGCCAGCCACGCGCACAACGAACCGGCCTTGGACACGGTCCGCGGCAGCGTTAGCGAGCGGATGCAAGTATGCTTACTGGGGCTGGGACCTGTGGCACGCAGGTTTCCTCTTCTCCGAGTAAGCTGTGAACCATCATTTGACGAGGCGAAAATTCATATTCATCACATTTCCTACCCAGCGGACCAGTCATATGTAGAGAACACATTTTCCTACTCTGCACTGGTTTGCATTTCCCTACGCCTTGTGCCCTTGCAAGCCTTAATGGATGACGTAGAGTCTATACTGGCACACGTCAGACCATATTGGGGCTGCTATGGATGCGTTCAGACTAAACGAAGAAGAGTCTAGGCAATATGCCGTCAAAAGCTCCAACTTGCGAGGTTTCTGCTTGCGACGTAGGCGAAGCGTCGTTCGGTGTTGTACATCAAGAAGGCCCTGATTTGACGGGTACTGCAGTATGGCAAGCAGAGCGTCCCGTCCCGTTGAACGCACTGTACCATGTACGGATCTTGTTATTGCCGCGTATCTGATGCAATACAGCCTAAGCACGAACAATCTGTAGGTCTGCTCGATGTAGAAGGCTACGAAGCGATTTCACAGCCATTGGCGCTGGCTCAATCGGCCAAGACAAACTCCCATATATCCTCCTCTCGCGTCTAGGCCTGATCTCAGCACACTAGCATCATAAGCAGTATATTGGCACTTCTAAGGACATGCCCTTCAGCTGACCAGATAGTCGATATACACTAGCATGAACGTATAACGCCGATCTCATCCAATCACACCGACCAAACCATGATCCGATGCCTTGACGATCTGCCGAAGAAAACGATCTCGATCAAAGGGCTGATTAGGAATGTGCAACTACCACCGTCAGACAATAGTCATGCAGGGGCGTGTCACGATCGCCATAGGCAAGGAGCTACGTACGTCGGGCATGCAGTATGCGAGAGCCCCCCTAGCACAAGCTGCCCTGATGATCCTTTACACACGACAACAATAACACGCCTACGTACATGCTCGCGTGGGAGAGGGAACACCATAGCGTAGCCTACACGTAGGGCTGCCCCATCAGCTAGCCATGCACGTAGCGTAGCGTAGCACACAGCACACGAAACCCCCAAATGCCAGTGTCGATCACGCCTACGTCCATCACAACAGCACCATGTATGTACGCCAACACCCAGATGGCAGGCCGCTGCCGTACCACCAAACGACCGCGCGTACCGCTTCCACCAAGCGCACACGCACCTCGCCATGCTAGAAACGAAGTTCAGACTAGACCAAAAGCAGCAGCAGCAGCAGTAGCAGGGAGGGGGGGTGTCATTCTTGCTACGTACCACACGCGCACACGCACACGCACACGTTTACCCTGGACACGCACCAGCGAGAAAGAAAAAAAGTTTCTCTCTCTCACGCACTCGCTCACACCCTCACACCCTCACTCACACAGTCACTCACACGTGCCGCAAAACCGCATCAAGCATGCGCATGCGAGGACGCTGTGCCGCACACTAGCGACCCTGTGCCGCACACGACGCACACGCACACATGGGACAGTAGAGGAAAGCAGAGCACACACACAGAGTGTGTTCTTTGAATACCGAATCCACAATTTGCACTATCGACGCCCTGGAAACGGGCCGAATACGGCACACACGCACACACACACACACATAGTTTCTACGCAAACGGAGATGCAGGCGTAAACGCGTGGCCCCTCTTTCTCCTTCCCTCCCCCCCCCCCTATTTCCATCTTTTCCACGCGTGAGCAAGATACTTACATACTTAGATATTTGGAAGCGCTGCCGGCGCGGCTTGAGTAGGTATCCCTGCGCCATGCATGCATACACACGTGATACGCTTTGCGCCAGGCGCGCGGAAAGAAAAGAAGTAAGTAACCTACCTAGCCGTGTCAAAACTTCCAGCGCGTGTGTGTGGATCTGGAAAAGCGTGGTGAAGAAGAAGATGGTGATGATGGTGGTAGTGGTTGTGCAGAGACAAGACGAAATGAGATGAGACGAGACGAGACTGGACTAGACTAGACTACTTAGCCAAGAGTACATACATATATGTATGTATGTATCAATGTATATATGTATGAATGAAGATGTATATGTATGCACAAACTACGCCACAGTCCAACAAATAAAACCTAGCCGACACCGCTACCAAACGTAAACCTGATCTGGACCTGATCTAGAACTGTGGAACTGGAACTGAGACTACAATCTTACTCTCGTACCTATCCCTCCATCTATCCACCCATGCATCCCTTAGATTCCCACCTCATTCACACAGTATAAAAGTATATATGTAACCACCTCACATCACCATACCATACCATACCTTCCCCTACCTTCTCCTCACACGCACACATGTCCCCCCCCCCCCAAAAAAAGGCACAGTATAGCATCTAGGCCAAGTCGCCTTTGGCACTGGGGACATGTTTGTTGATTGCGGCGCAGTTCGCACGAGTCGGGTCGCAGATTGCGGCGCGGTAGTTCATGCGGGGGGTGTTTTTTTTCTCTCTCTCTCTCTCACACACACACACACTCACTCACTCACACACAGTTTCTCTTTTGGACTTCGGTAATAGGACTCGTTTTGGGGATAGCGGCTGGGTGGCTGGATGGACATGTGTGGGTTCAACGGTGTGTGGGTATGTGCTGTGTTGGGTAAGTACAGAGGCAAAGAGGCAAAAGGGAGGCCCCGCAATTTGTGGGGAGGAGAAGCGGATGTGTGCACTGCATGTGGAGAGAGGGGACATGTTTCGGGTATGGTTGATTGATTTGATTTGATTGATTGATTGATGGAGCGTCGCATAGCGACTCTCTATGGGACAAGACGGTGTATTTCCGCCTGTCTGTCTGTCTGTTCATTCATTCGCCTTGCAGCAGCGTTTTTCTTTTCATGTATACAGGAGAAGCGAAACGGGTGGAGATGTAGATACAAAAAAGAATGTAATCGTTACTATGTAGATGGAGGGGTGGGCGGGTGGTACATGACTTCTCTAAGCAAGGGTATCAAGCAAGTAAATAAGCGAGTAAGTGGTAGTAGAAGAAAGAAACAAAGATGGAAAGGCATAAACGGCGTGAGCCTCTAGGTAGGAGAAAAAAAAAGGAGGGCGATGCTGAGTCGAGCAGTTACTGTGCCTCAATCTCGCATTGCAAGCCGTCCGTTTTTTTCTTCGCTGCCGTCTTTCTGGAATAACGCCATGTCCGTGCTGCGGCACATTGGTTGGAAGCATCCCTAGGTAGTCATTGGAGAAGAAGAAAAAGAAGAAGGAGAATGATGAAGTCATGATGAATGACTTTCCCCGTAGAATGGCAAAGTAAAGCACACATCATGTGTGTAAGAAAAGGGGGCCGTTACTTGACGACGGCTCAACAGGACTCATTGCGTAGGGAGCAAAGCCGTGCTGAAGATGAGGTTCGAACTGGGAGTAGGGTATTGGCGGGTGGTCCATCATTTGCCACTGACGCGAGCATTGGCGAGCAGTCCATTTCTCTTGGGCGCCGAATTCCAACATCTGTCAGGTTGGTTAGATGATTTGCTTCAAAGAATACCGACAGTGCACACCTTTTGGGAAATGATTTCAAACTTGTTTTGCACCCAGTACTCGTGTGCCATGCGCAGTGCTTTGCGGTCAACGTCGGTCCACACGCGCATGCGTTCTCTTAGGCGCTTGTAGCGCATCTGCAGGGCGGGTATTTGGTAAGACTTTTGGAGTTCTGACTGGAAGCGGGCGGCAATGTCTTTCCACGGCATCGAGTCTTGTTCCTTGAGCTTGAGCAGCAGTCGGTCTTCGTCACTCAGTTCAAACTGGGATGACGTCTGCGAATCCGAGCGCTTTCTTCGCTTGGCGTTGTCGAGAGCTTCCTCGTCGTCGTCATGGTGCCTCTTGATGCTGTGGGAGCGAGGTGTCTCTTGAGGTAGAGGGGCGATGGGCGTGTACATGCGCCGGGGTTGCGGCGAGGCCATGTTGTGGGAGGGTAGTTCTATGGATGGCTCACTGACGCGAGGACTGTGAGTGAGGCCTGGGAATGCTTGGTAGTAGGATTCAGCGGCCCCGTCCCTCCTCCACACCTCTTCCACCACTCCAGGACTCCCTCGTGGCCGAGCGCCTACCAGCAGCAGCAGCACCACCACCACCACCACCACAACACCCTCGCCTACCCCGCCCCGCCCGCTTCACCCCCCCAAATGTCCCCCCAGTCGCTGCGCCCGTCCATGGCCCGCCTGCCAGAAAGCCCCCTGCCCGCCCACGACGTGAACCCGGGCCCGTCGTCTGCCTGGTATGGCCCCTCTATTTCGGCCCCCGACGGCCCTAGTGAGGTTTGTGCTTCACTCTCGCCGCGACATTGGCTGCTCACACGCTCCCCTCTAGCCCGCCTACCCGGCCTACACCAACTACATGTCCTCCCATGCCTCTTCTTCCATCAACCTGTCGCCCTCGACCCCCGCCTACTCGTACACGGCCAAGCACGCCCTGCCCACCGCCCAGCTCGACCAGTCCGTGGCAATGTCCCCAGGTACAGTCTACTCGCGAGACTCGGTCGTGCCCGAGTCTGCCAGTCCGCCAGAAGAGACGCCGTCCGAAGTACGCAGCGCACTGCACCAGTCAGCCTTCCGCCTTGGCCAGCCGCCTCACCTGCTGGATCGAAGCCACGCCAGCTTAGCCTCGCTACCTTCGGCAACAGTCAACTTCTCATGGAGCATGAATCCCCTGGGCATCCAGTCCAACTTCAAGTAGAGTCGACATGGCGGCTGCTCGTGGGCGGGGTGGTGTAGGCGGCGTGCGAGTGTCGAGGGGGCCGCCTCAGTCATATTTATCGACATGGTAACGGCCACCCGGGCTGGCGGGCTGGCGGGCTGGCGGTGCAGGTCACTGTCTAGTGCGTCGAGTGCAATGGCCGGCCGGGTGGGTATGCTGGTATGCTGGTATGCTGGTAGGCTGGCGGGCTGGTGGGCTGGCGGGCTGGTGGGCTGGCGGGCTGGTGGGCAGGATTGGCAGGCCTGCATGTTAGCGCCCCGGGCTTTCACCCTGCCTGTTCGCCTGTTCGCCCGTCGCCCACCCCCCCGGCTGCGTGCTGCGCTGCGTTGCGCTTGAGCCGCGACTGGGCCAGCCATGCCGTGCCATGCCGTGCCATGCAGCGCCAGTCGACGGTTGTGTCCGGCCCACACGCTGACCCGGGACGCCATGCTGGGTCGCTCCATGTGCTGGTCGTGGCCGTCGTCCTGGCGCCGCTGTCGTGGTGGTGGTGGTGATGATGATAGCGTCGCCCGTCGATATCAGCAGCCCCCGGGGCCTCTCCCTCTCCCTCGCCCTCGCCCTCATATCAGCCACCCGCGCCTGTGCCGGCGGACATCTCACACTGCCGTCCAACAAGGGGGGGCACCATCTCCCCTCGACTGGTGCTGGACTCAACTGTGCCGTGAATTGGCATCAAAGACAGCAAATTGCCCCGCATGCGGAGCGTCAGCGGCCACCCGCGGATTCAAAGGCGCTTAAATGCCTGCTTGCGGCGGCTGCCATTGGCCGCTAATGCCGGCTTCGGTTGGCTAATGGCCGCTAATTCGCCGCTTCCGTGCCACCCGCCCTTCCTTCCAACTCACCTCCTCCCCCTTCGCACTCCCCAAACCACCATTCACGCTCCCCAGCCCTCAACCATCACTGCCACCGCCAGCTCCCTCGCCATATCGCCAGCCGGTGCGCGTGCTCGTCGCATCGACACTCGCCCCACCTCGTGTGACTTGGCCGTCCAAACCCGCCCAAAGCGACGACGAGTCCGCTGCTCACTGGACGTCACCCCCCACCACACTGCCTGCCATCGCCATTAGTCCTCGCTCGCGGGCTGTGCGCTGTCGATCGGCTAAAGCCCATGGTCCTGCAGCTCTCGATTCCGCGAGCCCCGCTCCCTTGCGGTCTCCCGTCTGTCTTCTCTGCTCCTCAGAGTCGCCTGCTGCGTCTGGCCGAATCCCGTTGGCGAATGCCCACCATGCCGCCAAACCCTCATGACCTGCTGGTGTGTGTGCGTGTCTATTTTTCACCCATAGCGGATGCCTCGATTTGCCGTGGCGGCTGCGCGTTAACCATGGCCGCCGCACTGTGCCGCCGACTGGAGCATCCCCTACACTGCCTCGCCAAGTTGAATACAGCCACTCCTATTTTTTCCTGCCGTTTCTCTTGCTATTCTGAGCACCGTCGCCTCGTCGCTCAATGCAATTTGCCTCGCCTAACCTGCCTCCCTCTCCTTGGCTTTTCAGCGCTTATCAACCCAAGCATGGCTCGACTATAGTGAAAATGCACTGATGCGTGTTGCCAACAACTGCAGCAGCTACGCCGTAAATCAATCCATGGACAACCGTTGTGGGGCCTGTAACCTCGTGTGCCCACAAGACGGCACAGTGACGCACTGTGGGACTCAGACCACCCAAGTCACACGTCTCAGGCTCCCCAGCGCCGCAGTAGCCCTAATCGTGCTCAGGTACATTAAAAACCATGGGATTTACGCTAAACTGCTACACAGATACGAACAAGACTGTCAGCCGGCTCCGCACATGCCGCGTTGGACGCCTTGCAGGCCTTACTCGATTCTTTATGGCTTCTCCCGGAAGAGGCGCCAGCCGAACCGACAGACTCTTGGATATTATTCACAGCAGTGAAGCATGGCCAACGTGTTTGTGCAACATGATACCCATGGATGTGGGGGTTTGCTCTGGCGGACCGGGCCACTCCGACTTCGCATGCCGTACGCCATGAACCTATGCTGATAGAGGCAACGCCCTTCAAAACAAGAGTCTTTTCTTCGACCGCCCAATTCGGCAGTTTACATTTAGACGAACAATGATTTACTGGATAGATTATCTGCATTTCAGCCATAATCCTTCACTATACTTGGCCCTAGCAGCACAATCCGCAATGACTAGATTCACACGTAACAGAAATGGGACGAAGGCCTAGCCCATGTTGACAGGAAGCTTGGTAGTAAGATTTCAAATCAGAATACACCAAACGAAACAACCGTCACTTCCCTTGTACGTTTCTCGCTGTCTGTGTTTCCCACTTATGTCCAAAATCTCAAATGACAAGGCAGACACCAACCGGATTTTTCACGAGGAGCTCACACTACGGATGTCGTAACCATCAGAACGCATTGCGTGGCACAGACACAGTCTTAATGCGCTACTGCTTCAGGTAGTGTCTCAGCGTGCTTTGTTCACTTGCAACTCGCAACCAGTAGCCTGGTCACATGATATCGTTTGGGCTGAATCAAGTACACCCGTCCATCCATCTATCCATGTCGTTGGAGTCTTTTGGTTGGAATGACACAGTGACGCAGTGGTACCGTGGTTAGTATCCTCATTCGGGTTTTTCCGTGGATCGTTGGATTGCGGGGGCTAAAAAGGCAGGTCAGCCTTGCATTCCCGTGTCAACCCCACCGCCCAGTCCCAATCGGGTTAGCCCGGTTAGACCCTGGTAGCTTGCGTAGACGCGACACCAAGCTGAGCCACACTTCACCATCGACACAATCGCGCTCCATCTTTGTCCTCCTCATCGCTTATTACCGCATCCTGTAGCGACCTCTGCTTCGATAACATCTCGTATTCTCATTCGACAACCCGCCAATCGCTCCGGCACACAGTGCCAACACTTCGCTTTGAACCCCAACACGCCGGCGACAGGCGGCTGGCCTATTGCTGTGTAGCCGTCGCACCCCACCCGTCGTTCCGAACATGCAGTTCAACCTCTTCCACATCCTCGGTGATGTCTCGCACACCTGCTCCAAGCTCATATTGATATGGGCCATACACTCAAACAGCAGTGCAGAGGGTGCGTTTGTCCGACTTGTTGCCAGGCTGGCATCGTGGCTGACTTTGACAGGCGTTTCGCTCATCACCCAAGTCCTCTACGCCCTTGTATTCGCTACGCGCTATCTCGACATCTTCACCTCCTCGGCGACCAGAGATGTATGGCACACATGGAACTTCTCCCTCAAGGTACGGCGACTTCGGATCTCCGCCCCCCGGAACAAGCACGTCTAACGGCTTCTAGATCTTCTACACCCTCTCCTCACTATACATCATCTTCTTGATGACAAGCGTGTATGCGCGCACAAGAGAACGGGAAAAGGCGTGGAAGTTTGGCATGTATTGTCTGGCCGGTAGCCTCGCCATTACTCCTTTTTGGTATCTCATCTTCAAGAGCACCGTTATTGGCCACAACAGTTTCCTCAAGGTTCGTCTTATTCCATTTGATCCAATGAATGACGTGCTAATGCGACAACAGGTCCTCTGGGTCTTTTCCGAAATCCTCGAATCCGTCTGCGTCATCCCCCAACTCCTCCTCCTGCGCCAGACTACTGTTCCGACCGTCATTGATTCCTTCTACTTGGTCGCGCTGGGTACATACCGCTTTCTATATGTTCTCAACTGGATCGTACGCGGCGCCAACGAGTCGCACTACCACGATCCCACATCATGGGTCTGGGGCTCGATTCAAACAGCACTCATGATTGACTTTGCATGGGTTTACTGGACACGCCAGCGCGTCAAGCTCCGACATGGTGGAGTTGTCGACTCGGACGACCTGGGGAGGGGATGGCTGGTTGGACGCTTTATCGGCAGGAAGAGCATGGACTTTGACTACGACCAAGAAGCTGGAGGACAGCGGAACGACTCTATTCAGCCGCCGAACAAGTGGGGAAGGCGAGGCATCTCCGTGTCTGCTGACGAGGGCGTCGAGGGTGCGCCAAATAGCAGCAACTCAGAGAGGAACCCAGAGACTCAGCCATTGGCAGACCCGGCCGCATTCGAGGATGAGAGTGACGAGGATGCGCCACTCCCCGCTGCGTCTGGTACCGCGGCCTCGGTAGCCGAACAGAGTGGAGTGCGAAGAGACGAATGGGACGATGATGTGGACGAAGATGCGACCGAGCACGATGCGCAATCAAAACCCATCAAATGAAGTCCCCCCATGTAAAGGGAAATTACGTCATGGACGGGAGCACAACAAGGTTTAACTCGAAAAGTTATTTCTGTACACTATGTATATTGAAACTTTGTCCGTCTCGCCCTACTTTGTTATTGTTCTCGGATGAGGATGTTCTCTTTTTTTTGGTTCCATCTCTTATTTTAGAATCAAGTTTCATCATCATCATCTTCTTCTTCTTCATCGTCGTCGTCGTCGTCGTCGTCGTTATCTGCATCTGCATCCGCATCATCTCGGAAAAGCACTATGGATTATACAAAAAAATATATATCTTTGAAAGTTTCCATAACTATGTGTACAAAAGTAACTCGATGAACATTGGACTCATAAACATATCGTGTCAAACGTTCCTATTTAGAGAGAGAGAGAGCGAGAGAGAGAGAACAATGAATAAAAATAAGATAAAAAGGTATAGGAAACTAATCCGTGATAAAGATATACACATGAGAAAGCGAAAAAAAAAATTATATCATATCCCCCCGCTGAAGAGAGACGCTTGCACAAAACCCAAAAAGGCCCCCAATGCTCTTGATACCGGGGAATTCGTTAGCGCGCCCTAAAAACGCCAGTGCTATGCCAGTAGTAGTAGTAGCGGTGGTTTTCCCCAAACGCGGGCATTACCATTACCCATGATTATCATATCTTCATCAATTCTCAGCCGCTTCTGTTACGGCTATTAGGTTTCAGCAGACGCCGGCGGGGACGGTAAAACTGTTTGTGCGCGCGGTAGCCGAGTAGACGGCGCCCTCGCCGAGGCCTCTCTTTGCAAAGGCCTTCCAGATTTCGCATGCGTTCTGGCCCGAGGTCAGGGCCTTGTCGGCGTCGATGATGGCGTCGCGGGCAGAGACCATGGTGGGGTTGCAGGGCTGCAGGGCCATGCCGTCCATGATGATTTTGAGCGCAAGGTATTTTCCGTCTGTCGGGACGCCGTTTGCGTCGAAGGAAGGGAGGGCGGCGTCGTTTTTGCCGTGCTTGTCGATGAGGTTCCACAGGACTTCGTACAGCATCGATGCCCAGATGTTGCCGATGGGGTGCACGCGCGTGTACTTGTCTGCGTCAGAGTACACCTGCGGGTTCGTCGTCATGTCGGTGGAGTAGACGTAGTTGCGGATGCCCTTTGCGACGCCAGTCACCCATTCGCCAATCGGGTAGTTGGTTTTGCGCGTGTCGCCTGCCTTGAGGCGCAGCGCTGTGGCGTACAGGTCGCTCCAGCCTTCGCCCATGCCGCCGGATTCGAGCAGACTGAGGCAGCCCGAGTTTGCAGGGCCGCCTGTGAGCCGCGTGGACAGGCCGTGTGTGTACTCGTGGATTACGACACCGGCGTCGAAGGAGCTGTCGCGCCAGGGCGTCGTCGAGGTGAACATGTACATGCGCATGCGGGCAGGGCTGCCGTCGGGGGGAGTAGCAAAGTTTGCGTTGTCCGTGTCGCTGCCGTCTTGGGAGTTGAGGTAGACAAAGTCGTTTCCTTTGCCGCCGGCGCCGTTGTTGTTGATTTCAAAGTTGCCGGCTGCTTCGTTGAAGCCGAGCGTGTGCAGGAGGTCGTGGTAGACGTTGGATGTGTAGAAGAGCTGGGTAATGGAGGCGTTGACGTATGACTTCCACTCGGATTCCTGGGTTGAGTAGGGGAAGTCAAAGACCAGATCCTCGACAACAGGGCGAGGCAGATTGAGGAGGTTGCTGGATGCGTTGTCCCAGTTGGAATGAGCCACGGCGTTGTTACCGCGGGTCGTGTTGAATTTCTGGGTACCGTCGCTGTGCCATCCAAATTCGCTGGCTGGCTTGTACTCGGGATCTTTGATAAGCGATCGTCCTCCTTCGTCTGGGTTGGCCATTCCCCAGGGGCTGCAAGACGTTAGTGATGTAGGGAAGTAGATCAAAGTAACACTTACTAGACGTTGTACGAAGCATCGGCGGAATAGTCAATGGCAGCATGCACCTTGTTGCCGTTTTCGGCATCGACATAGGTCAGGAGCCAGTTGCTGAGGATGTCGGTCTCGATTCTCCATGTAAGCGAGAGCTTGCCCTCTTCGTTGATAAGATAGACAAGGCGTGCTTCTGGGTCGCTAACACATCCAGTCGTCTTCTTGATGGTGTATACTTTGTCGCTCTCCTTGGGCTCAGCAGTAGCTGACTGGGCAGATACAGGAAGGGAAAGGATTTTGACGGCCGACTTCAGAGCGTTGACAGGCTCAGCTGCATCACGCTTGCTCAGGCTTGGTGGTGCTGGAATATCACCCTTGTAGAATGAGTTTCCAAACGAGAAAACCTTGCCGTCACGGGCAATCTAGTATTTTTAGTGATCCGAATTCATATGGTCAGAGGTTATGCGAACTTACGTTGACGTTGAAGTCGGCAGTGTCAATATCCAAACCGTTGGCAGTTTGCTTGTAGTAAAAGTGGGCTACTCCGTTGGTGCCGACATACGAGTCTGGAGAAAGACGGAAAGTAGCGCCAGGAACAGTCAACTTGACTAATTCATCTGCAACGTCCTGGGCACTGGCACGTCTTGTGAGATTGGAGTTGATGGCGGGGTCAACCTCGACCTGGGTCACGTTCGTGTACACAGCAGCATGCTTGATACGAAAGGCATCCAAGTCGACAGCCCGTCGAGCAAGCCCATTGTTGCGTGGATGAGGGTGGCCATGGACGCCAATGGCCGACAGCGAGGCCAGTGATGCAAGAAGAACGGAACGCATCGTGAATACAAGTCAAGTTGGAACGAAAGACAGAGGTAGGGAGTGAAGAGCCAGATGCTGAAGCCGCATGTCGTCAGTCTTATAGATAATGTCCCAGTCGCAAGCGCCGACACCCAAGCACCTTCTCTTTACTCAACTCTGATCCCTAGGGTCCCGCGGGGCGATGCCGGTCGTGTTTGGCGTACGATGTTTGGTGGTAATTGTGCCCGCTCATTGAACAGTCTATCTCCGGCTTCCTTTCTCAGCTTCGCCTCATGCGCAGTCCATTTCCAGCCCTCGGGAAATCAGTAAACGGGAAGCTTGGCGACTTGGCAAAAAAGAGCAGAATAAGGCAGGAAAACTCCCATACCGGGCTCTACAGGCTGGTCACGAAATGCGTCGACGTGGACGACCTTCCGGATCCAGTTACGGGCGGGAGAAGGTCATGTCCGCCCATATACAGCGGACGCGAGACTACGGACGTACAATGTGGGCCCCTGGAATATCGTCCTGTTACAGAAGTTAGAGAAAAGCAATCCATGGCAGTGCTTTTGCTCCAAGCTGAGGCGACGGCGGCTGCAGGAACCCGTGAAACGGAATCTCTTTTGCCTCTGCACGGCTGGCCTGAGGCGTGAGCATTGCGGCGGAGGTGGCTGTCGTCCTGATGTCTCGTGGAGTATTTTCATGGGTACCGGAGGATGTCCCTAATGCGACTATAGTATGTTATTGGACGATAATGCGTCTTGGCAAGGCGACCTCCTGCCTCTTCGGCGGTAGCATGCTTTATCGGGGGCCCCGCCCAGATATGGCGAAGGATGCCTAACAAAATTAGACGCAGGACGTGACGGAAACGACTCATGCCGGTGCAGGGCTGATGGAAAAGCCGTTGAATATGGACGTAGGATCCAGTGGACAAGGGAAGTGGGCAGTGCGTGCAGCGTGGAGGCAGTGAGGCGTGTGGCGGCCAGAAACAAAGAGGCGGTATGGCGCATCGTGAGACGTCTGCTGGTGGAAACAAAGCCCCTCTCCGTTGGCGTCGTGCATGTGAAGGCGTTGCTGAGTTTCTGCTTGTCTGGCAAGGCTGCGAGTTGTAACCGGCATGACAGGAGGCGTGACGTTGGAGGAGCACGTGCGCCACCGCTGGACTACCTACCTAATGCGGAAAGGCGTACTCGGGGTGGCACCGCGCCCTCCGAGGGGATCGCCAGTGCCCCTGACATCTGACATAACCAACAGGCGCATGCAATGTTACCACTGGACCCTGTATCACGAGCAGTCATTTCATGTCTTGCCCTCATCGGCCAGTCATGTCTTGTGTTGAATTGCACCGTTTCACCTCTACATGCCTAGCCACAGCCACCAGCTCCTTATAAGACAATCAGATTCCCAATCTTCACCCCCTGGCTACGGAAGAAATATCGCCTTCGCACCCCTACTCCGCTTGCTCTCTTCAACATGTCTACCGTTGCGTGCCCGCCGCCCACCATGACTAGTGGTATGGGATTGCGTCGTAGTACACCACTCGGCGTATGCTGTACCTCATCCAACGCGGGCTGAACCGGTGGCGCTGCAGGATTGGCATCCTCGTCCTCGTGATCGGGAAAGCTAACTATGATGATGAGCTGGAGTGATGCAGCGTCCGGTGGAAATGCGGGGATGTTGTGAAGCTTGTCGGAGAAGGAACAATCCCCGCGCGGAATAACGACTACTTGGTGCTGCTTCGCAACCTCCACAGGAAGGCGCTCGTTGCAGAGTGTCGTAGGGTGCACGTAGATCTTGGACCACATCAGTGGCTCGTCGGGGTTGTACGTCGTCCCTGGATCCTCTGTGTCGGGCATGGGTACAGCACCAAGGCCAACTGGGAGTGCTCCCGGAAGAGAATGCCGTACCGTACGCTGGCGGTCCTTGTCCTTAGGCAACGATGCCGTCGAGGTGGAAGTAGGCAGAGGTGCAGACAACAGAGCTTGGAGGGATGAGAGCAGGTTCAAAAGATACGATGGCTCGTTTTCAAGCGTTTCAGCATCAACACCCAGCTCAATGCCATTTGCAATTTCCATATCAGACAGATTCCCGTCCAGTGCTTCACTGACAAGGTCAGCCAGCGAGCTCGAAGCGGCCGAAGCTTTCCGTGGCGGAACATCAATGAGCAGATCCAGCACCTGAGCGTCCCGTGTCCTGGTAAAGTACGGATCGAGGGGGTTGAAGTTTTCCATAGTAGAACGCGTCATGAATACTTTTTCATCGCGTCCCAGGGCAATGTTCGATATGGCATAGATGCGAAACTGGTCGTCCATCACGGCCTGACTTTGGATGCGAGGTACTTGGTCCTGCTCACGCACCAGGCCAAATCGCAGTCCACTGATCGAGTTGACGAGAATGCCTTCTTGCACCCTCTGGAGTGCGTTGACTAGTGATGCACTCTGCATATTGGGGAACGACAGGTCGAAAGTCGCCCGAACCGCCATGGATGAGCTCGTGGCATTGTGTGGAACAAGCTCTGGAGGTAAAGTCCAAGGATAATATGTGTAGTTAGAAGGTGATTGTACGTCCGACAACGAGATGCTGGGATGGTCAGCGCTAAACTCTACCAGTGGAGATTCCAGTGTGTCTATGGTTGGCATCAGATGCAGCTTTGCAAGGCTCGCGGCATGATATACATCAAGACGGGCGGCAGTGGCGGAAATGCTGAATGGCAAATGTGCCGGCGGGAGGGGGCATGTCTCGAGGGCTTGCTCGCCAGACGAGGGCTCCGGTGACTTTGACCTCTTTGGTCTTACACGCCTGGGTATAATGAGAGGATGTCCCTCTGTGGTGAAGACAAAAGGTGCATCCCATGTGTTGAGGGGATGCGACGGGTCAAAGAGCAGGAAGAGATATTTGACAGTCTCGCCTAGGAAGAAGCTTTCCATACGGTCGTTGAGCTCACCCGTGCGTACGTCCTGCAGGCCCGCCCATCCGCATCTAGTCCAGCAACGCCTCTTAATGTCACGAAGCGCCATCTCTCCGACGTGCAGATACCAAGGATCTTTGGTGGCTTGGTAAAGGTACCATGTGGATTCTATCCACTCTGGCCGCCCGCCCCACCAGCGCAGACCATGCTCGATGCCGCCCGTTGCAGTGGACCATCGTTCCGGCATCGCAGAATAGCGCGTCCATAGAGCAGTGTAGAGTAGGTGTGTCTCGATAGCCTCGTCGAGCTCTCCAGCCATCGTCAGCAACCCTTGGTAAAATGCGCTGAGGCTATCAATCCAAAATGCCCGGATGGCTCCAGTATATAGATCGACTTGGGCGTAGTGGGGATGCTGGTGCTGCGCCCCGCGATAGATTTGTCGTTTGATGCCTTCATGCGCATCTAGCCAGGCATTAAGAAAGGCGTCGGGGGAATCCGTAGCAGCATCGGCTTCGTCATAGGGTAGGCCAGAGAGCAGTATGTGCGACTTGAGGGCGTATTCAAAAAAACTGTCGATGCCTGCCCCGATGCCCGTGTAAGAGTTCACCCACTGCCCAGTCTCAGCATCAATGCCAGCGCCAATCAGTCCAATGCTGCTTCTGCGCTGCCAAACCGCCCAGAAAGCTTTCTTGGCTAGTTTCTCGTACTGAGGATTGCCAGTCAGGCGGCTGAGGACTGTAAATTCAAGAACAAGACTTCCCGCTCCAGCGCTGCACGTCTCGGTGATTTCGGTGCCTTTATCGTTGGGGTCTCTACCGCATTGGCCATTTTCAGCATCCATGTTATGTGGGGATTTGGCATAGAAAGGAACTCCATGGCGCAGGTTGACGCGGGGGTATGGGAGACCGGTGGGTGTGTTGAAAGCTGGTAGGAGTCGTTCTGCGAGGTCTGTAGCCAGCCGTAGTAATTGCCCGTCGTATACGAATCCCGTCGGCCAGAATATCCCCTCCCTGCCATTTCTCTTCTCCCACGTGGCGTCGTATCCGCGGATGGGCAAGTCTCCGACTGCGAATTGGTGTGCGCTCAGCAGACCGCCCACTCCGCGAATGACAGTCTCAAAGACCTGCACTTTACTGTCGAGATCGAAGCCCCTGGATCTGACACCCTGGCCACTTGGCCCCGGACTTCCGTCTCCGTAGTTTTCAATCAAGAGCTCAATGCCCTGCTGGAACTCTACTAGAGGTCTGTTTGTACCATTTTGCGTAGGCGGAGGAGTCGATGCCAGGATAGCGAGCGTGGATAGGCTGTCAATGAGCGTCAACGAATAGTTGCCCAGCACGTCGTTGACCTCGATGTGGGCAGGGTTCTTGCGGTCTCGTGTGAGTGGGCCGCAGGTCAGTGGGCGCAGTTCGTCTTCTGGAAAGGCATGCTTCATGTAGCTGCCGTAGCCATGGTCAAAGATGTCGCGAGTCTCTTGTCTGGCGGGGTTAGCAGGGCACAGACTGCGTGTGAATGGTAGCACAGGGTTACCTTAGAGCTGCTATGGCCTCATCGGTCATGCAGCATGCGAGTGTCGCCCAGCAGCACATGCACAGCACGAGAGTCCATAGTGGGTGAAGGGGCAATCCTCTGGGCATCGGCACATTCCGCCGTAGAGGCCATCCAGTCGGTCGCATGGGCAAAGAGGAGCCCGTGAGGCGACATCAGACTGTGCTCTGGGTTGAGACAGGAGGGAGCGTGTCAGGCGGCTATGGGGCGGGGCCACATGGCGTGGAGTGTGGCGGGTGAAGGACACGATTGCCATAATGCCGGGAAGCTTCTGGCGAGCCACCCACCCGCCAGCGCCAGAGCGTCATTGCGCCAAGAAGTGTCCCTCCGCCCCCGTCAATTATTTCATCGCAACGCCGCAGACACGCTGCCACCTGACCCACGCCTCCCCCGCCCTCGTGGTTTTGCCCGTCCATGCGTTGTAGAGGCTCAATTCCTCCTCGCTCCTCCTTTTCTGCTCCCTGATCGGCGCTTGAAGCCCGACTTTTCCTCCGCCCGCCATGCTGCCGCGAAGTGCCTTGCGGGCGCTGCGCACGCGGCCTGTCGTTGCAGCTCCGCGCACACTGTCCGTAGCCTCGACATGGCAATGGAACCGTACATACGCCAAGGTCGGAAAGCCCAAGGACAACACATGGAAACCATCGGATCCCATCAAGTTCGCCCAAGACAGCACGGCGCGCCCCAGCCCGGCAAGCCCTTCAGAGCAGCCCGAGTTCGACACTGCCGCAGCACCAGAGAGCAACACAACCCCATCGCAGCCCTCCAGGCCCACCGAGAGCGCCGCGCGGGCCTCAAGAGATGCAGGAAGCGACTTCAACATGAGCGAGCAGGCCGAGATGTCGGGCCCCAAGTCAGCGGCCGAAAACACTGATCCCACCACCGAGAGCCCCGAACCGCAACAGCCGCAAAAGCCTCTGCCCGATCTGCGATATGGTATTCCCTCGACGTTTGCCGAAGAGCAGGCCGAAGCCCAGGGCAAAGGAAAGCGGGATCCAAACGACCCCAACGAGCTTTACGAAGACCCGACACCAGGCGCTGCGGGTGGCCGAGAGGGCGGCGCTGGCGGGGAGCTGCCCAAATCTGCATACGAGACGAGCACCGATAGGCGGCGGAACCGCGTCGCCCACTGGTCGTATATTGGCATGCTGCTGTTCGGCGCCACGGGGGCTGTCTACATGGGCAGGAATTGGGAAAGCGAAGAAGAGGAAGCTGCGCACCCAGACGCTCCGAATGGCTGGACACCGGGCGGTATGTATGCCCGCGCAGCCGCTCGCATCAACGGACAAAAGGCCTACTACACCGAACCTACCTTCCAGAAACTGCTCCCAGACAAGGACAAGATTCCAGGAGGCGCTCCCGAACTGACGCTTGTCTTGAGTTTGGAGGACCTGCTGCTGCACTCAGAATGGTCTACCAAGCACGGGTACCGATTGGCAAAGCGGCCTGGTCTTGACTACTTCCTGCGCTACCTCAGCTCGCAGTATGAGCTTGTCATCTTCACCTCGGTCAAGTCCATGGATGCCGATCCGATTATTCGCAAACTCGACCCCTTCCGCCTCGTCATGTGGCCGCTGTTCCGCGAGGCGACTCGGTTTGAGAAGGGCGAGTACATCAAGGTATGTAGGTGTGATAACTATACATGGCTTTACTAACTTGCTTAGGATCTTTCCTACCTTAACCGCGACCTCTCCAAGGTGATCATCATCGATACGGACCCGTCACACGTCAAGTTGCAGCCTGAGAACGCCATAGTGTTGCCCAAGTGGAAAGGCGACCCCAACGACAAGGGTCTCATAGCACTGATACCCTTCCTCGAATACCTCGCCATGATGAGTCAGACCGGAACGCCCGTCGACGTCCGCACTGTCCTCAAGTCCATGGAAGGCAAAGACATTCCCATCGAATATGCACGCCGAGAAGCCAAGCTCCGCGAGCAATTCCAGCGCGATCTCGCCGAGCAAAAGAAGAAGAGCAGGGGCAGCGCCGGAAGCATGTTCATGAAGAGCCTCGGTCTCGACACACCAAAGCAAGGCATGGTGCTAGGCGACCAAAATATCTCGCAGGGCATGAACGAGGGCAAAATGATGATTGACATGTACCGCGAATTCAACAAGCAAAACTACGTCCATCTCGACAAGCAGATTCGCGAAAACGGCGAGCAGTGGCTCAAGGAAATGGCCGAGGAGGAGAAGAAGATGCAAGAGGCTCAGCTCAAGGACATGAAGGCCGGTGCGTTTGGCTGGTTAGGTGGCGCCGCACCGCAAACTGCTACTGTGCCTTCTGCTGCCTCGGCGCAAGAAGCTGCCGCTAGTCACAATCAGGGTAAATAAACTCCTTTTTGTTTGATTGACACATGTGCAGCCATTTTTTGGTGTTTTGCTGTTGGGATGATGAAGATACCACACACACACACACATACATACTCCAAAGAAAGAAGAAAGCACGTTCCACTCTACCAGGAACTCGACCCTTGTCATGCAAGTCATGTAAATCACGGAAAAGCGGGGTATTGAATGAGGATGATGAAATCTTGTACGATATATACTGTATATTTTTTTTGAGACTACCATAGCAGGAGAAGAAAAAAAAAGACAAAGTATGAAGAAAAAACACTAAACTCTGGAGGCCGAATGAATACAGCCAGCCTAAAACCAAACTCACACATACCTTGTGTACTTGCCGTATTGCTTCGCCTGTCTATCTGTCTGTCTATCTGCCTATCGATGTACATACTTATACTCATGACTCGTATGTATGTAACCCCAACCACAACCACAACCACACTCTTCCTCTCACGCACCCGCCTCACACGCCCCACCACCCCCATACCCCGCCTACGCATCTGTAAACACCTCCATGACATCCTGGGGGACACCGTACGCCTTGAGCTCAGCCCTAACCTCGTTCTTGGAGATCCTAAACAAAAAGGCGCGAGCTTTGGCCCACAACTTGATGCTATCTGCCATTTCCTCGTCGGCATAGGCAATCAGTTCGCCGAGCCAATCTTCTTTATGCGTCTCCATATGCCAGAAGGCGATTGCGGTGCGCAGGTAGATGAGCGCGACATCCGCGGCGCCGAGGACGTTAGTGAGGAAAGCTTCGAAGTCCGGGTTGAAGTTGTCGTCGAGGATGTGAGCGCTGCGCATGCCCCAGAAGGCAGATTCGTGCCACTGCGCAAGCTGGTTGTAGGCGGCGATGGTGCGGGCGACGAGTTTGAGGCGCAGGATAACGCGCACGGTAAGGCCTGTTTGGCCGGCGTAGCGGCCGCTGGGAATGGTGTCGTGAAAAAAGACGTCGGCGAGGACGCGGCGGCTGCGGCCGTGGATGAGGATGTGGATGGCGTGGAAGGCTTGTTTGTAGAGGTCTAGGGCGCGCTGGGCGGCGTCTTCTTTGCTGGGCGTGTGCGTGGCGAGCGCGGCGTCCCCCGCGGCCATTAGGTCTGTTGCCGACTCGAGCGATTCCTGGAGCGAGGGGACGGGTAGGGCTTGCAGGCGGGCGAGTTCTGCTTTTACCGACGACGAGTAGCCGTAGATGCGGATGCCGTGGAGGCCTTTGACGTGCTCAAAGGGGAGGAGGAGTTTCTTCTGCAGCGCAATGGGTACACCTAGGCCTTCTTTCTGGCCTGGGGCCGTAGCAGCAGCAACGTCGTCGTCGTCGTCGTGAGAAAATTCAGTGCCGGTCTTCGCGGGATTCCGTAGAATAAATGTCGTCGAAAGGCGTTCGTTCAGCATGGGATACGACAGCGCGCTGTAGTACCACGTCTTTGTAAACAGATGCAAGTCGTCGACGAGCATGACGACCGTGTGTTCGGGGACCACGCCATGGAACGGCGCGGTAATCTGCACGACGGCATGGTGGTCTGCAAAGGCGTCTGCTTTTGCGTCGGTGCATACAATGGGCACGAGGCCCTCAGACGAAATATGGTTGACTAGAACTCCAGGTAAGGATAAAATTAGTTTTACCACTTGGACATGAATGGACGACGCAATCACGTGAAAACGAGAAACCGAAGAGGAAACCGGGGGAAAGAAGACAGAGAGAACTGGAGAAGAGGGAAGAAGAAGAAGAAGCTCACGAACAATGGCCACCAGCCACTCTCACGCTGCCATCTTGCTCCAGCTCCAGCTCCCCACGCACCCCATCCGTCGCCAGCACATAGACGCGATACATACCCGCACTGGGCCACGGCGTAGCCACCTTGACAAAGACATTTTCGCGCCGCCACACCTTCTTGCTCTCGGCGTACACCTGCTTGCACACGTGCAAGACGCTGAGGTCCCAGCGGTACACGCCGCCGTAGAAGCCGCGGGCCTCGAGATCGGCGTTCTGCACCAGGTGGTCGCCCGGGTGGAAGTAGTGCGAGTAGACTTGCTCGCGCAGTTCGAGGGGGAGCCGCAGAAACGGGAATGCGGCGCCCGATGCTGTTTCTGAGTCGTCTTCTGTGCCGCTCATGGTAGTAGGGGATGCTGGTGGGTCAGAGGATGGTGGTGGTGGCGGTGGTGCTGATAGCGAGGCAAAGAGGCTGGTAGGTAGGAGAGACGACAATCGGAACATGCCGAGAATTTTGGGCCGATCGGGAATCTGGGCATGCAGCGGAACAGCTGTTTGAATCGAGGAACGGGCTTACATATATCATGCAATCGAGTGGGCTGGCGGGTTGGCGGTGGGCTGCTGTGATGGATGGACGGGGACAATGCGCTTCGCCGTTATCTCCGAGCATGGACCGTTGAGCCGAGGCACGCTGTCTGCACACGAAAGAGCGACGTTCCAGTGCATCACAAAACAGCGTGTTCAACACGGCGAGAGAAACTGTCTTTGCTTGCTTGATTATATGACCTCGTCCTTCTCTGATAAAAGAGACTGATCATCTGATGACGCCCCTATACATGCATGCGCTGATTTTGCCTCTACAGTCCGTACAAAAACGTCAACTTTGCATCCGCATATCTGGTTTCCTCCAGACGCTCTGCTTCAACCTCCTCTGCGCTCATCTGGTTTACTATCCTCAGCCTTTTCGCATTGATCGTCTTAAGTATGTATCGGTAAGCGGTATAGCCTGCAAGGGCCGCCACGACGAAACCCAGGGTAGCGTAAAACGGTGTCAGATATCCAGGCGAGTACTTCTTCTTGTAGAGCTGACCGCCAATTACGCCGGCGAGGTTGCCGAAACCGTTGACGCCGAGGACGAGGGAGCGTTTGCCCGGCTCTTGAAAGGTCATTTAGCACAACAACATTCTGCGATAGACTGCATGTAATTCGGTTGACATACCAGGATTATTTCCGCTCAGCCAGGCTACCGTAAGCGGAGCCGAGATATAGCTGCCGAAGAGGAGAATGCATAAACCTATGTATTTTGCAGTGTGAGAATGTGTGGCGGCAGTGACACTAAGGCCAACAACGGCGATGCATATGCCCAGGATGATGTGATAACCTCGCTCCTTTCTACAGTTTCATTAGCAAAGCCCGCCAGACTCAGCATGGAACATGCATACCGGTGGTCAGAACTAAGGGCGAAAAGATAGAGACCTATAGCACCACACACGAAAGGGGGTACAGACATCTAACATAGCCAAATCAGCCTCTGTGCAAACGACATCGACAGTCTGAAATACGAGGTTTGCATGTATTGACGAGTATCCCAGCCCCTGGAGGACAATAGGCAGAAAGACTGAGAAGGCTTGGCTGGGCACACTGGCACAGATATTGAACATCAATAAGAACCAGAGCTTCCAGTCCTTTGCTGTTTCCACAATGTCCCTCTTGGTAAGCCGCTTCTTCGGTATGCCGTCACGGCCGTGCTCATGGGTGACAAATAACGCATTGTCTTGCATGATACGTTGAGTAGCAAATACCTGCTCGTCAGACGTAAGGAACCATGCTGATGCCGGTCCCTTGGGCAGCCAAAACCACGCAATGAATGCGATGAATACAGTTATGCTCCCCTCAATGATGAAGAGATACTGCCAGTTGTGCAGTGATGTGCCATTGAGGTGGAAGATGCCAAACGCTAATGCTCCCGTCAGCTTGAGTGCTACTTTCCATTGTGGATGACGTACCAATCGAGCCCGAGAAAGCACCAGCCACTGCGTATTGGCCATAGAACAGACCAATCCGGACGGCTAGGTCGTAGCGACAGTAGAAGATGGAAAGGTAGGCGACAGCTGTAGGATAGAAGCCTGCTTCAAAGGCACCAATCATCAGCCGAACCGCAATCAGTGCGCTCCGACCATGAATAAACGCATGTGCTATAGTGAAGACTCCCCATCCAATCTGAGACACGTCAGAATGTCAGCTGCATGGTAAAGGCGGTCGTCTTGCCATGATGATGGTGATCCAATGCTTTGCCCCGAGCCATCTCCCAACTGCAGCTGAGGGCGGCTGCAGCAGTACAAAGGTGACAAAGAATAGCGAGACAGCGAGGTTGAGATCGTCCGGAGTCGCGCCGATGTCCCTCGTAAAGCCTGTGAGCAGAGTCATGAAGGGTTGTGATCAGCACGGCCGCGATCTGACGTACCTTGAGTCTCCGCATTGCCGACATTGGATCGATCTAGTCCGTTCAGGAGATAGAGTAGTGACAGAAATGGTAGGAGAGCAATGTCCATCTTTCTGTTTACCTGTCTAGACATGGATGCGTGCTCAATGCCCGCGGTTGAACTATCGGTCGACATTGCAACCCACTTGCCTGAGCTGGCGATGACTGGCAAGGCAGAACCTGGAGCGGGGAGGACAAGAATTTAAGGGCTCTCTCTTACTCTAGCTAGTAAAGTCCATGGTCTTCACAGGCTGCGCAGAATTGAAGCCGCCAGAGACAGCTGCCTTCACTTGCTGTATCCTTACTGGTACGTGATCCTTCAGCGAGGCTTGCGTGCCAGGCACTTTTGCAAAGACAATTTTCTGTACATGTGCCGGCGTCTTCCCTGGAGCAACTTGCCCGATTCCAGCCAGCCATACAGGGCCTTGGCATGCACAGCCCCGGACGGAGCCATGTGCAAAAGGCCCAGATGACCAATCGGGAACATCGGGACCAGGAAAGGCTTGGTTCGCTGTATGTAGACGCTGGTTTGGGCCAGCTGGATTGCAAATGCCAAGGCAGGCCATCTTGCAGCGCTCGCCTAGATCCATGGGGGCGATCGCCAGGCACGAAGGATGCTTCCTCCAGATATCGGTGGCTGAAGCCATAGCAGAGCAGACAGGTGCTCGTGGGCAGCTCGCGGCCACCTCGGTGCCTCCCTCTGTTCCGTCTCCGTCTTTGTCGTGCCTGGAGCGGCTCGTGGCGCTGATTGGCTGGGGGCCTTGATGAGGTCAGCAAAACCCCGGTCGCCTCGGAGGCTAGCAGAACGACGCTCGTGGCCGCGCACCGCAAACCACCACGGGGCGCTCTGCAAGGTGGAGTCACTGCACCCATGCCATAGGTTGGCGATTCCGCGGAAAAGCACCCATTATCCATAAACGTACAAGACCCGCCTCCCACATTGGTGGGGGGAACAATTCCGCCACCGGTACTTTACATCGGTAAGCTGTTGTGTAGTCGCAGCCCGTCGCTTTGGATCCACGTTTGCATTTCCTGATACAAGCCGTGGCTCTCGCTGAGGGTCACGGGGTTGCCCTGTATATCCAAGCCCCGTGGCACGGTGCACGGCGGTCCGGGGGTGCCGGCGCCACCATCAGAATAGCTTCCTGGCTCCGAGGCTGGGTGTTCAGGAGAGAGGTAGCGGTCGACCAGGGCCTTGAGGTCTTGGAGCACTTTGAAGCAGTCTCGTGGGTAATTGGTGCCGGTCCTCGACTCTTCTTCAAATGTGCGCATGGTGAATTCAATCTCGGGCGTGTGCACCTTGGCAGGCGGTATCTCGCGGCTGCTCGAGTGGTGAAGAATTTGCTCGAGTAGCAGGATGACGCCAGCATTGAAAACAAAGTGCAAGCCGGCTTGCAGCAGCTTTCTCACACTACGCAGCCTCTGGGCTAGAACCATGTTGCTATGCGCAGCCTCGAGACAAATCTGGATGTGTTTGCCATGTACATGCTGTTGAGCAGACCACTGGCCATTCATGTAGCGCTCAGCGACTGCTTGCTTAACTGCTGCAAGTAGAATTGGGCGTGTTGTCAGCACAATGAGCTGGCTTGCCGCCAAATGCAGAGAAAGAACAGCAGGATCAGCGCCTTCACAGCTTGCCAGCACCGACGGAAGCTGCAGCCTCCAGTCTTCGAGCATCTTGAGGGCCTTGTCAATGTTTACGAGCGAGTAGCCAGGCCTGAAATTGCGCGGAGCAATTTTGAACGTCTCACACACAATGTACCCGGAGATGCGAGACAGCTCGACGTGTGCACGAAGGCCTGCACACGGCGGCATAGAACTATGCGTGTCAGTGACTTTACCCGGGGCACGGTGCGTGCATAAAAACTTACACATCGTCGCATGGGAGAGGAATCCGAATGGCCTCGTCGGCTATCGTAGGCGGGCGTCCCATGAGCACCGAAAGCCATCTGTCTAGGATGTAGAGTGTCCAAAAGACTCGCTTGTGCGCTTCATCGGTGCAGGATCTAAATGCGCCATGGATCATGGCAATGTGGATGGCCAGGCTAACCTTGAGCACACGACATCAAGTAAGTATTGGCGCCACGTGCATTGCTTGCAAGGAGGTTACTGACATAGACGTATGCTGCATCTCTGCGGTTGAGTTCAATCAAGTAGAAGCCCATCAGCGTCAGTACGGGCACATCACTGAGCGTGAAGCGCACCGTGTCCAACGGGTTTCCGAGTAGCTTCCGTGCGCGCTTAAAGTAGGCCTCGCCGGCATGCTGGTCTGACTTGCGGAGCATAGGATGACCAATCGACGTGGCCAAGGCGAAGCAGACGTGATAGAATGCCAGGTACCTGTGCGTGTCGTCGGTAGTCATGGAGCTGAGCGACACTGAGCTGGCACTATGCACGGGGGGGTTGTTGAGATCGCCCCACCCTAGAACAAAGTATCAATAGGTTAGTCTTGATGCTGCTAGCGCCCATGACTTACAATAAATGCCCCCAGACGCAAATGTTTCTTTGCCGTCCTGGACGTAGGCGCGCAGTTCGGCCAGCATCATGCTCATGTCTGCGCGGTCCGGCAACCACAGAGGATCTACAGTAGGGTTTGGGATGGGCCTCGAGTCGTACGTCTGGTAGCGACCAATCGAGGCGACAAAAGAGGACCCATCTGCCGATTCGGGTTGGAAGGTCAAAGGAACTAGCGTGAGCATGAATTGCTTTAGGTAGTCAAGAAACGTCGCGCCCGACGTCTCGCCCAAAAACCTCTGGGTGCCGCAAGGGTCCACGAGCAAGCGGCCGTCATTGGCGTCGGCCTGGTCGAGCTCCATGGATACCGACTGAAAGGTAGGGACACTGGGGCGGGCGGTAGAGGCTCCATGGTCGAGTTGGGCGATTAGCTCTGCCGCTTCTTCCGGGGCAGCTACTTGAAAAGCAGCCTCGAGCGCGGCGCAGCGCCTTCGCAGGCGGTCCAGCTCGTCCTTGAGCGAGACCTTGTCCGACTCTGGGGTTGGGTACTCGCAGTCGCGCGAAGTTTTGGAGCATCGTTGGCAGGGCTGCTCGCCCGAACACCTGACACGGCGCACATTACACGCATTGCATCTGCGGCATCAATGTCAGTCGTCGTAACGTCATGCCACAAGAGAGGAAGGGGTCTTTGCCCGCAACGCCGCGCAAGACGTTGGTTGAGACCCGCTTCCTGGGTTGCTCGTGGTAGGCCATGCTGATCGAGATTTGCCAGTCACCAATCGTCGACATGCTCGAGCCAAAAACCCTGCGCCCCGGCTCCGCACGAGCTGGCGGTGGTGGAAGACGACTCACGCTCTCACGACACGTTTTCTTTGCTCGGGCGCGACCTTGTGTCGTCTGGGGTTGACGGGCAGGCGCTGCGGCTGCGGAGACGAGCTCTCGGATGAAGGTCCAAAGTCACCGCCACACCCTTTTTATACGTGTTTCCTTTCTTTTCCTTCTCTTCGATTTCTTTTTTGTTGAGCGGCCAGTGTACGTATCCAGTTGTTGGGCTGGCCTCGGATGTATCCTGACATTGGTGTGCCCGCGATGGATGCACTCAGGTAGCCAGGCACGAATCGCCACCGTTCAGGGGAGGGCGCATGCTGCGAGGCCCACTGCTGCAGCAATGCACCCATGCATGCTGTCTCAAGTCTAGTCGAAATAGGAAGCTGTGCAATCGAGGCATACAGATGCACACACGAAGTGTTTCTTGGGCGGCAAAGGATCGTCGTGCAGTGTGCCTGAAAGTTGATGGTCGGGACGTGGGGGGGCTGGCAGCCACTCTCTGCACGCACCCCCGACCCGTATCCCTTCGCATCATCCCATTTCGGCTTTGCTGCTTCTCACCCACATCTCTCCCCCCCCCCTCCACCCCCCGCCCGCGCACAATGCATGGCATCGCCGCGTGAAGCACGACGCGTCGACGTAGAATCCTCTCGGGCCGACAATGCACACCATTGGCATTAGGCATTGGTGAGTCGTCGTCGTGACGGGAGCCAATGAAAAAAAATTGAAAGTTAAAAGTACCACCAGAAAGGACGTTATTTCCGGGAAGTCTGAAAGGCCTATGCTCGGGGACAAAATAGCCAAAGGAATGCAACCAACGCCGGCTGGGACGCTCACTACTCTAGATCGACGGCCAGTTGCCATCTACACGTTGTCCTGATCATGTATTTGGCCTCTTCCTCGCTCATCCAGTTGGTCTCTTCGCCGCCGTTCCACTTGATGCCCACAATCTTGCCCGCGCCCTCACCTTTTATATCCATGACTACAAAGAGCTCTGCGACTTTCATGCCGGTCCAGCTCCGGTGGAAGTGCACCTTCAGCTTGCCCGCGCGGTCTGGGCCCTCGCTGTAGATGAACCATTTGTCGTCCATGTCCTCTGGGGCGTGGCCGAGATAGAGCGAGTGTATTTGCGAAGGCGGCAGATAGACGTTCCACGGCACGAGGAGAGGATTGTCAGGGAAGGCCTTGATGGGCAGCGACTGTGGCACCACGCGCTGCCGTGGTTCGGGCGAAGGGGGCGGCGTGAGCTGGAGGCGCGTCGACTGGCGACGCTCTGGGTCGGGACGTTGGTTGTATGAGGCGGTCCTGGGTCGGTGTGATGTCGACAGATGGACGGCTATGGTTGCGCTTCTCTCTGGCGGCGAGGGCGGCGGTGTGAGTAGGCCTACTGGGGCGGGAGCGTACGAGGGATTGCGCTGGAGTCTCCTGGGCGAGCGAGGCATGGGCGAGCGGATTCCCTGGTTCATGAGAAAAGGCGAAGGCGGCGTGTCGCCTCGTTCCCGTCTGGAAAAGCGGCGAAACAGCGACTTCTTCCTCGACAGCGCCTGGGGGGACTCGGCCGCCATCATGGTCATGGTGGTCTTCTGTTACCCCACTATGCGAATGGGGATTCCAATTCCGGAGCTGGCTGCAGGATTCGACAGGCCTTCGCGGACAAAACTCTGGGGGTGCGAAAAAAACAACGGGCGGCGAGGGAATGAAAGAGGTCGGACAGCACAGCGACGGGCGGCGACGAGTATTAGCGGGTCGAGCAAGGCGATTCCCGCTGGCAGTGCAGTCTTCAGGCGGCCTCTCTCCCCCTCGCGAGAGGCTGAGGCTGGCTTTATTTAGTATGCACATGCGGATTCCAGGCCCCATGCAGCCAAGTGGACTTGGTCCAACGCACACCTGGATCCACTGCGCGTGCGCAACATGCACCAGACGATGGAGGGCCTCGCTGCACACAACGTCGCGCCCTGCCCACCGTCATGCACCCAAACTTTGCTTCTCGTGGCGCCGTCGTTGTGGTTAGTCGTCGTGGCATGGCTACCCGGCCTACCGTAGTCTACACCTAGTCGCAGCCGGCCTGCGTCTCTCGAACCACACGTGCGTACCTTGAGCCTGGCCGTAGCATGGTCCTGAAACAATGACAGGTCCAGTTTTTTTTTGTTTTTTGTTTTCCCAGTGGGTACAGTCGGGGCCGGGGTCGCCTGCTTCTCCGCCATGGATAGGTATTTTTTCTCTCGTTGCCCAGCTGCCTCTCGAGGTGCTCGCGTGCGGTGGGCGTCGATCGCCTCGGCTCCTCAAAGGCCGAGCATCAACTAGATCTGCGACCGACTCGTATATATCACCATTACACAAGCAACACGGCGACTAGGGCACCTTACACACTCGACCTATTACGTGACCGCACCGCCTTTGCTCCCCTGCGCCTAAACACGCCCGCGTCTGTGGTCCCGCGAATCGGAGCGCTGTGCTGATCTCGCGCTGAACGAATAACCGGGGCGCCAGCGTACAATGACTCTGCCCAAAAGGGGGGTCGTTGTCTTTGTCGACACAGCAACTGCAGTCTCACGTGCCAGCACAGTGAGACAGCATCGAGGAGTTTATTCGTGGTACCCCAAGCGTTGGTCTCCGATTGACTGCGACTACCGCTGCACACCCTGGCTCAACCAATCCACCATGTCCAAGTAGTGTGCCAGCCTGAGCCACCCCATGACCCCGCGTCAGAGCATCACTATAAAACCACCAAAGCACGCCACCTCGAAACCATGTTCAACCTCCGTCACCACGGCATTGGACCACTCACCCCTGATTACGTATTGCCTTTTTTACCGCATCTTTGGTCGACCGATGCCTTGAACGCCCTGTACATCCAAGAGCCGCGCGCGGCTTAGCATCATCATGTTGCTTTTTTTAAACTTTTACGCAGCCCAAGGTTTGGACATTGACATGCTACTCGGCTGTGAGTGCAGACAAAGAAGCCACAGGCCGGTCATGGCCTTGGAGTGGGCGCCACGGGGGGCTCAATGCAAGTGACATGCACACGACAGGCAGCCACACTGGGGGGGGGGGGGGGGCTCAGCTAAAGCCACTGAAGATCTCGCTGCAGATGCCATGACACTACATGGCGAGACAGGCACAGGCACAGGCGCCTACGTGTAGGAGAACATACGTGTAGGAAAACAGCAGTGCAACCTTGTCCACCCAAGTCCTACTTCCGACGTTTCCGACTCGCCCCTCCTGGGAAATGCTCCAGCTAGTGCATCGACGATGGACAGGGAAGGACCTGGGATCTTGGATGAGAGAGAGTTGTGCCTATCCAACAGGTCCAGCATACCCTTTCACCATACCCGCACGTAGCATGCCTTGGACCATGCACTCCACCCTGGTCCTCAGCCTCCACCTGAAATCCAACACTACCGGTATCCATAACAAACGGTACTGAATTCCGTAAACATGTCGTGTGCTCTTCACACTTGAGGCTCAGCAGACTAGATTGTTGGAAAAACAAGTGCACATGATGATGATGATGATCTTCTCAGCAGCATTCTTCAAAACAACGAGCAAAACACATGAATCCCGTGCAATCTAAGTATGTGTAAACAGTTGAAGAAAAAAAAACCCCCCCATGCTAGGAAAATCTCACAACAAAAATCCCCAAACCATGCTACTCCCCACGCATACCACTCATTTCCCCCCCATCAGCCCTTCATTCCACCACGCAGCCACAACCCATATTTCCCCTCAACGCAGCAATGTCACACCTGCGTTTCATCCCGCTTGATTCCCATCTCATTTCAACGGCTACATGCAGTCTCAGCCAGACATCCCTCGTATCCCATGTTACCTCATTTTAAACTCAACCCCAGATAAAGAGACTAGTAAGAGTGAGTCAAGAATGTATACTGTAAAGAATGTGTACTCTATTATACCCATAAGTACAAGTGAAAAATTTATTTATTTATTTATTTCTGTTTCCTAATGCAGCTTATGTTGGAAGTCAATCAAGGGGAATGGAAAACAGTGTAACTATGTAATCTCACGGGATAATTTACCATTGTCTGCCTTGGATGTAAATCTCTGTTCCGTACTTTCTACTCCTATTTCTAACTCTCCTATTTCCCATTTCCCATTTCTCAAGCCCGTATTCCAATCAGCTCCGTCATACACACTGTACCCAGCGTTTACTTGAATTTTTTTTTAAAAAAAAATCTCCGTAGCACATATATGCGTGCGTGGGTGGGGTGACAAACACACAACCATGGCCTTATATATCTCTCTCTCTTTCTCTCTCTCCGTTGTGTATCGGTACCTGTTCCACGGGTTGAAGAGGGTACACCAACATGAGACTGTGCTACGTATGTGGTGCGCAGGTAGATCGTGTAGCGGAGGTATAGTGGGAACTGGTGGTGGGCGAATGGGGAGTAACGGTGGGGGGTAGAGGTGGTGTGATGATGGGTAGGTGGACAAACTGGGGTGGGTGGATGGGTGGATGGGAAAAGGGGGCATAACGTAAGCATGTGCATGTGTGTGGTGTGTGGTTTGTGGTGTACAGATGAGATGACGACGTATAGGTTGCAAATATGAAGACATACACTATTCTTGCTTATATTCTTTTTGTTCAAATCGTAAGAACCTAAGACTTGCATTTTCTCCTCAGCATGAGGAGTGGGGTTTTTTCCCAGCGTCGTCTCAATACATGACGAATCCAGAACCCGAAGATTCCAATCACAGCGCAAATATGATTCGATGATTTACTCCTTGTACGTGATGGTCTTCATGCGCACAAACTCTTCAATGCCCCATTGTCCGTTGAAGCGGCCAAAGCCACTCGACTTGGCTCCACCGTGAGGCAGTGTCCATTCGTCGTGCACAGTCATCGAGTTGATATGGATGGCGCTATCGGTCCTTGTTAGTACCAAAAAAAAAACACACATTCTCGATCCGTATCACGGCAAGACGAGGAGTGGGGGGGAGTCTGTGTAATCGGTGCAACTTACCCGCTCTCAATCTGCTTTGCGATGCGCAGGCCACGGCCCAGATTCTCGGTGAAGACGGCGCCGGACAGCCCGTATTCGGTGTCGTTTGCAATCTCGACTGCCTCCTCGTCGCTGGAGATCTCGATGACGGAGACTGAGGGCCCAAAAGACTCGGTGTGGAACAAGTCCATGGACTTTGTGACGCCGTCGACGATGACGGGTCGCATGCGTGTGGCCGACGGCTCGTTAGTGTCTGGGTGCTTTTCGTCTTTTTCGTGGTCGCCTTGCACGACGGTTGCGCCGTTTTTCACGGCATCGGCAATGAGGCGCTTGTTCTTTTGCACGCCGGGTGCGGCAACGAGAATGGGCGCGGGCTTGTCGCCGCCAAAGATGCCTTCGACGGCGCCCTTGAAGGCCTCGAGGAACTGCGGCTTGATGGCCTTGTGCACCAGGATCCGCTCCGAGCTCATGCAGATCTGGCCCGCGTGGAAAAAAGCGCCCAGCGCACACTGCACCGCTGCCGTTTGCAGATTCGCGTCGTCCAGCACAATGGCGCTAGCTTTGCCGCCCAGCTCCAGCAGCACCGGCTTGAGGTTCTGGCCAGCCGTCGACGCGATGATGCGCCCGACGGCTGTGGAGCCTGTAAAATTCAGCTTCTTGATCGCAGGCTCTTCGATCAGCGCCTTTGTGATTTGTGCCGCGTCCTCCGGGCGATGGACCAGCACATTCAGCGCGCCGGCAGGAAGACCTGCCTCGCTCAAGACACTGCCCAGAGCCCACCATGTACGTGGGCAAAACTCGCTGCCCTTGAGAATGCACGTGTTGCCAGCCGCAAGCGGGTAGAGGATGGCGCGCATGCCGAGAATGTATGGCGCATTCCTGCGATACCAAGTATCAGCATGTGCAACAAAGAATCTTTTTTTTTTGCCAGCACAAAAGAAATGCATAATACTTACCATGGCGCAATTCCCAGCACAACACCGTAGGGCTCCTTGACAACCAGCGCACTCGTGCCCTCCTCTTCGCAGCTCGGAATGTGGCCCATGACTGCGCTGATTCGGCCCGCAACGTCGCGCAGCATGTCGGCCATCTTGGGCACGTTGAACCCATTGCTAAACATGTCTGCAGCGCCCGTCTCCATCTTCATGTAGTCGGCCAGCTCGTCGGTGCGCGCCTCGACTACATTGGCTGCCCGCAGGAAGATGTCGCGCTTGGCCGAGTGCTTCATTTTCGACCAGGCCGGGAAAGCAGCTTTTGCTGCCGACACGGCGCTCTTGACGTCGTCCAGCGACGCCGACGACGAGTTCCATATTTGCTGGTGGGATGCGGGTGACGTGACGGCGAATGTCGTCTGCGTAGTGACCTCCTTGCCGTTGATGAGCAGCGGCACCGTATACGCGGGATCCGGCTTGACGACTTTGATGTTGGACATGTTGGTGTGTGGTGGGGCCTCGAAGAAATGGGATAGTAAGATTGTACTTGTTACGTAGTAGAGCTGTCGGCTCTTCGCAACGCAATTGACAAGAAAAAATATGGCTAGACGAGCCGCGAAGCTCCAATTTATTCAATTCAAGCTGTTCGAGCTGTTGGGGCGCCCCTTTCAACCCGTCTCTGACCCCGCCAGCACGGCAGTGAGACGCGGGAGAGTGGAGAGTAACTCGGATGCATGGTGGGGGCGCGGTAACGCTCCGAGGCGAGTAGATGACCCAAGGCAAGATGCATCAGAACGCAGCAGGATGAATTGGGATCCTTGTGTTGGTGGCTATGCGCTTGGGAAGAATAGAATGGCATCGCTTGATTGTTCCAAATACCTTGGTTGCGCCATCCGACGAGACAGCATTGACGTGGTAGTTGGCATGGTACGTAGCTAAGCTCAACCATGTACATCAGCGGGGTAGCTATGCAAAGCTGAACATGGCAATAATACTCGTCACCTATACCTATAACAGCCTGTTCAAAACCATCGCTCTGTATAGCCTCCATATGGCCCGGTCCTGGCCGCGCCGTCCCGCTAGCCGCAATATAATTCTAGATGGCTGTGTTCCAGACCCCGATACAGATTCCTTAGGCCAATCCCCGGCAATACAGTATACATGAAAGGCGGCTGATTCATCTTCCCAAGCTGCACCGTGTTCTGAAACGTGCACTGTGGTTATGTTGAGCTGTCATCTAGCCCAGACACATGATGGAGTGGAGTATACAAAGCCACGTGAAACAGAGGCGTTGAGCGTCATTAACCAGCAGCTATGCGCATGAGCCAGACGATTTCTCTCCCAACAAAAATACATTCCTTGTTTTATGTGTGATTTGGACGTCCTGACGCGGCGGCTTTCACACTGTAGTAGGTTACATGCTATCTAATCGCGGTAAGGTACTATACTCTATTCCTTATGCAGAACATAAAGGCTTTTATGTAGGTAATATTGTTTGCATTGAGAAAGAGCAATATTTATAAGAAAATACAACAAACTACTTCCAAGATAATAAGACTACCCTAGCAACTCTAGATAATAGCATATAATTACTCACTTGAAACAAACAACTTTACATTGAACTACTGGAAAACTACAATAAACCCTAATAGAATTCGAACTTGATAACAGTTTAGAAGGTGGCTTCGACATGCAATCCCATACAAAATACATTACAATCAGCCTCGATCCTCATCGCTAGACATGCTGACATCATCAGAAGATTCAGAAGACTCAGACACAGTATCTTCTGGGTCATGCCAATATTCGTAGTGTCTTATTGCATGTGAAAACACGATACCTGCTTTCGCGGATGGTCGAGCAAGCCTTTTCACGGTCTCTTTGTACTCTGATTGAGAGTAATATGGGGTTTCAACTCTGAGCTCGCACAATTGGGGTATATGAGCCTCATAGTTGGCTAGCATGTGCTCCAAGCCCCCAATCCAATCCAAGTCGCATGTACGATTTCTGAAATGCGTCCGGAATGTCACCAGCGACGGGGGTAATCGCTCCACAAATCTATCTTTTTTCCCCGTCATTATCGCAGCTAGAGGGCAACTGAGTTCTTTGAGAGACGTGAATGCCTTCATGTTATTGCGAACATGAGCCTTGTCAGGAAAGTCTCTATCGGTCTCGTCATCGCGATCAACATGAAGAGTTTCAAGGGATGTTTTATGTCGGCCCAACATCCCAATTACAGTCTTGGATTTGGATGTTGGCAGTCGTCTGCTTTCTGGTAGTAAATTCGAGGTGGCGGCCCTGGTTTTGAAAACCTTTAGGCGCCGTGACGATGCGATCAAGGCTTCTAAACAGTCTTCGGTGTAGAAAATATTCTCTACCACGAGTTCCTCAAGGTTGTTACAGGCCTGTGGGATGAGGCGTTGAATTTTTCGAATATTCTCCTCATCGTAATTAGGCTGTAGTTGGTCGTCGTACTCACTGCATTCCCGGACTCTGTGCAACTGTAACGTGCGTAATGACTGTATGTGGAACAGGGGCGAAACAGCGATCACATCTGTGAGTGACATGACAATAGTGATTGACCGTAACCGCTCAAAGCCATGTGCGTTTCCAAATCTACCCATGACGGCTCTGCTGATGAAGGCTACCCACACGGGACATGGAGTTTCGTATTCGTAGGAACATTCGATACGAATAGACGTAACGTTCGGTGTGAACAGTAGGATTGTGCTATTCCGCATTACACCATGGTCTTTTTCAGTACTTCCGTAGCAATCAGTCGCACAGTCTTTCCAATACGGTATGTCCAGTGCCCGCAATCCTTCTTTGATCACCTTCTTGTCCTGTGCCGTTGGTGTGTGAGGTCCAACGGCGCGCGTCTCATACTCGATTGTAATGTCTACGTCGCGTACCAATCGTGCGAGTTGTGGATTCGAAATCATGGTACGGAGGAAAAGGTAGGGCTCGCCATAGGTGTTGCTAAACCGCGCATAAACCATTTCGGTTATGATTCGGTAGAGACGACGGCTAGTGAGTGCGAAATTGAGAAGTGTTCGAGCTCGGTGAAGTTTACGTTCCATCCTGCGGAGATGCTCCGATATCTCGAGAATTAATTCGTCAGGTAAATCGTGGAGCGTAGTGCCCGGTTCTTGTTCGCGGAGACGGCATATTTCATCTGCTTCCTTTTGCTTTGCATCTGTTCGAGGGAGTGGAGGAAAATCGTGCTCATTAATGATTGTCATGATGGGCAGCGGTAAATTTGCGAGCTGTCTTTGAGCAAGAGGGTGTGTTCGTTGGAAAAACCAAGGGGCGAAAGCACCATCTGACAAAGAATGGCAGTGGTCTGTGCTTAGCACCGTGTCACACGACGCTATTATTATTATTATTATTATTCCATTAGAGTCTATCTGCAGTCAGTGACTATGTAAGA